TGGAATCTCGACGAACTAAAAAGCGACGGTGGCGCCATTTAAGCCCCTGGTGGAAACTCGGCGAACTAAAAAGCGACGGTGGCGCCATTTAAGCTCCTGGTGGAAAATCGACGAACTAAAAAGCGACGGTGGCGCCATTTAAGCCCCTGGTGGAAACTCGACGAACTAAAAAGCGACGGTGGCGCCATTTAAGTCCCTGGGGAAATCTCGATGAACTAAAAAGCGACGGTGGCGCCATTTAAGACCCTGGGGAAATCTCGATGAACTAAAAAGCGACGGTGGCGCCATTTAAGACCCTGGGGAAATCTCGATGAACTAAAAAGCGACGGTGGCGCCATTTAAGACCCTGGGGAAATCTCGATGAACTAAAAAGCGACGGTGGCGCCATTTAAGACCCTGGGGAAATCTCGATGAACTAAAAAGCGACGGTGGCGCCATTTAAGACCCTGGGGAAATCTCGATGAACTAAAAAGCGACGGTGGCGCCATTTAAGACCCTGGGGAAATCTCGATGAACTAAAAAGCGACGGTGGCGCCATTTAAGACCCTGGGGAAATCTCGATGAACTAAAAAGCGACGGTGGCGCCATTTAAGACCCTGGGGAAATCTCGATGAACTAAAAAAGCGACGGTGGCGCCATTTAAGCTCCTGGTGGAATCTCGACGAACTAAAAAGCGACGGTGGCGCCATTTAAGACCCTGGTGAAATCTCGACGAACTAAAAAGCGACGGTGGCGCCATTTAAGCCCCTGGTGAAATCTCGATGAACTAAAAAGCGACGGTGGCGCCATTTAAGCTCCTGGTGGAATCTCGACGAACTTTAAAGGCGACGGTGGCGCCATTTAAGCCCCTGGTGAAATCTCGACGAACTAAAAAGCGACGGTGGCGCCATTTAAGCCCCTGGTGAAATCTTGACGAACTAAAAAGCGACGGTGGCGCCATTTAAGCCCCTGGTGAAATCTCGACGTACTAAAAAGCGACGGTGGCGCCATTTAAGCCCCTGGTGAAATCTCGATGAACTAAAAAGCGACGGTAGCGCCATTTAAGCCCCTGGTGAAATCTCGAGGAACTAAAAAGCGACGGTGGCGCCATTTAAGCCCCTGGTGAAATCTCGAGGAACTAAAAAGCGACGGTGGCGCCATTTAAGTCCCTGGTGAAATCTCGATGAACTAAAAAGCGACGGTGGCGCCATTTAAGACCCTGGCGAAATCTCGAGGAACTAAAAAGCGACGGTGGCGCCATTTAAGCTCCTGGTGGAATCTCGACGAACTAAAAATCGCCGGTGGCGCCATTTAAGCCCCTGGTGAAATCTCGATGAACTAAAAAGCGACGGTGGTGCCATTTAAGCTCCTGGTGGAATCTCGACGAACTAAAAAGTGACGGTGGCGCCATTTAAGCCCCTGGTGAAATCTCGATGAACTAAAAAGCGACGGTGGCGCCATTTAAGCACCTGGTGGATTATCGACGAACTAAAAAGCGACGGTGGCGCCATTAAAGACCCTGGTGAAATCTCGACGAACTAAAAAGCGAGGGTGGCGCCATTTAAGACCCTGGTGAAATCTCGATGAACGAAAAAGCGACGGTGGCGCCATTTAAGACCCTGGAGAAATCTCGATGAACTAAAAAGCGACGGTGGCGCCATTTAAGACCCTGGTGAAATCTCGATGAACTAAAAACGGTGGCGCCATTTAAGCGGTGGCGCCAACTAAAAAGCGACGGTGGCGCCATTTAAGACCCTGGTGAAATCTCGAGAACTAAAAAGCGACGGAGGCGCCATTTAAGCTCCTGGTGAAACGAACTAAAAAGCGACGGTGGCGCCATTTAAGACCCTGGTGAAATCTCGAGGAACTAAAAAGCGACGGTGGCGCCATTTAAGCTCCTGGTGAAATCTGACGAACTAAAAAGCGACAGTGGCGCCATTTAAGACCCTGGTGAAATCTCGACGAACTAAAAAGCGACGGTGCGCCATTTAAGCTCCTGGTGGAATCTCGATGAACTAAAAAGCGACGGTGGCGCCATTTAAGACCCTGGTGAAATCTCGATGAACTAAAAAGCGACGGTGGCGCCATTTAAGCTCCTGGTGGAATCTCGACGAACTGAAAAGCGACGGTGGCGCCATTTAGGACCCTGGTGAAATCTCGAGGAACTAAAAAGCGACGGTGGCGCCATTTAAGACCCTGGTGAAATCTCGATGAACTAAAGAGAGACGGTGGCGCCATTTAAGCTCCTGGTGGAATCTCGACGAACTTAAAAATCGACGGTGGCGCCATTTAAGCCGCTGGTGAAATCTCGATGAACTAAAGAGCGACGGTGGCGCCATTTAAGCTCCTGGTGGAATCTCGACGAACTAAAAAGCGACGGTGGCGCCATTTAAGCCCCTGGTGAAATCTCGATGAACTAAAGAGCGACGGTGGCGCCATTTAAGCTCTTGGTGGAATCTCGACCAACTAAAAAGCGACGGTGGCGCCATTTAAGCCCCTGGTGAAATCTCGATGAACTAAAGAGCGACGGTGGCGCCATTTAAGCCCCTGGTGAAATCTCGACGAACTAAAAACCGACGGTGGCGCCATTTAAGCCCCTGGTGAAATCTCGATGAACTAAAAAGCGACGGTGGCGCCATTTAAGACCCTGGTGAAATCTCGATGAACTAAAAACCGACGGTGGCGCCATTTAAGACCCTGGTGAAATCTCGAGGAACTAAAAAGAGACGGTGGCGCCATTTAAGACCCTGGTGAAATCTCGATGAACTAAAGAGCGACGGTGGCGCCATTTAAGCTCCTGGTGGAATCTCGATGAACTTAAAAGCGACGGTGGCGCCATTTAAGCTCCTGGTGGAATCTCGACGAACTAAAAAGCGACGGTGGCGCCATTTAAGGCCCCTGGTGATGAACTAAAGAGCGACGGTGGCGCCATTTAAGCTCCTGGTGGAATCTCGACGAACTAAAAAGCGACGGTGGCGCCATTTAAGCTCCTGGTGGAATCTCGACGAACTAAAAAGCGACGGTGGCGCCATTTAAGACCCTGGTGAAATCTCGATGAACTAAAAAGCGACGGTGGCGCCATTTAAGACCCTGGTGAAATCTCGAGGAACTAAAAAGAGCCGGTGGCGCCATTTAAGCCCCTGGTGGAATCTCGACGAACTAAAAATCGACGGTGGCGCCATTTAAGCCCCTGGTGAAATCTCGATGAACTAAAGAGCGACGGTGGCGCCATTTAAGCCCCTGGTGAAATCTCGACGAACTAAAAAGCGACAGTGGCGCCATTTAAGACCCTGGTGAAATCTCGATGAACTAAAAAGCGACGGTGGCGCGATTTAAGACCCTGGTGAAATCTCGATGAACTAAAAAGCGACGGTGGCGCCATTTAAGTCCCTGGTGAAATCTCGAGGAACTAAAAAGCGACGGTGGCGCATTTAAGACCCTGGTGAAATCTCGATGAACTAAAGAGACGGTGGCGCCATTTAAGCTCCTGGTGGAATCTCGACGAACTAAAAATCGACGGTGGCGCTTAAGCCCCTGGTGAAATCTCGATGAACTAAAGAGCGACTGTGGCGCCATTTAAGCTCCTGGTGGAATCTCGACGAACTAAAAAGCGACGGTGGCGCCATTTAAGCCCCTGGTGAAATCTCGATGAACTAAAAAGCGACAGTGGCGCCATTTAAGACCCTGGTGAAATCTCGATGAACGAAAACGCGACGGTGGCGCCATTTAAGCTCCTGGTGAAATCTCGATGAACTAAAAAGCGACAGTGGCGCCATTTAAGACCCTGGTGAAATCTCAACGAACTAAAAAGCGAGGGTGGCGCCATTTAAGACCCTGGTGAAATCTCGATGAACGAAAACGCGACGGTGGCGCCATTTAAGCTCCTGGTGAAATCTCGATGAACTAAAAAGCGACAGTGGCGCCATTTAAGACCCTGGGGAAATCTCGATGAACTAAACAGCGACGGTGGCGCCATTTAAGACCCTGGGGAAATCTCGATGAACTAAAAAGCGACGGTGGCGCCATTTAAGACCCTGGGGAAATCTCGATGAACTAAAAAGCGACGGTGGCGCCATTTAAGACCCTGGGGAAACTCGATGAACTAAAAAGCGACGGTGGCGCCATTTAAGACCCTGGGGAAATCTCGATGAACTAAAAAGCGACGGTGGCGCCATTTAAGACCCTGGTGAAATCTCGATGAACTAAAAAGCGACGGTGGCGCCATTTAAGACCCTGGTGAAATCTCGATGAACTAAAAAACGACGGTGGCGCCATTTAAGACGCTAGTGAAATCCCGATGAACTAAAAAGCGACGGTGGCGCCATTTTAGCCCCTGGTAAAATCTCGATGAACTAAAGAGCGACGGTGGCGGCCATTTAAGCTCCTGGTGGAATCTCGACGAACTAAAAAGCGACGTTGGCGCCATTTAAGACCCTGGGGAAATCTCGCTGAACTAAAAAGCGACGGTGGCGCCATCTAAGTCCTATTCAAAGGGCTGTAACTTTTGAACTAGTAGCCCAATCTTGGAACTGTTTGAAATTATGGATTCTACAGGCCACATTCTATTAGAAAAATTTTTTTCCGGGTCGATCTGAGACAATTTTTTCTGAGGGCCTCAAAAAAAGGCAGTGTAATACCTTCCTTTTTACCAAAAATCGACTGCTCCAAAATTTCTCGGGAAAAACACTTTTTCTTATTAATTTTGGTGCGTAGAATCCAAAACAATTCGTACTTTTTCGATCAGACTTCTCAATCAAAAGTTATAGACTAGAAACCAATTTCGAAAAAAAATTCAAAAGGCTGTAACTTTTGAACTAGTAGCCCAATCTTGGAACTGTTTGAAATTAATTAATTAATTAAATTAATCTCGATGAACTCAAAAGCGACGGTGGCGCCACTTTTGATATCTCGATGAAGTAAGTAAAAGGCACAGGCGTATTTATTTAGTCTGGTTAATATAATAATAGCATAGCAGTGTTGGAACATATGTAGTATTTGGTTGGACGAATGGAAAGAAAACGTTAAGTATGTACGATTTTATTATTGGAATATAAGAGCTACAATGTTCGACCATTAAGACTGTATACGAGTTAACATGCTAATAGTAGTAGATAACAATTTTTCTTAGTTAACTTATAGGCCGTATTTAAATGTCTGTTACTATGAGCATTTCATTTGTTCGTATCAACAAATTGCACACATCACAGTATATGAAGAAGTGATTACATTAAGATCGTAATTACTGTATTAATGAATTGGTAACAGCAGATTTTATGGAAAAATATACAGAGATAAAGAAACACGACATAACATTCTTGTCTATCACAATTAAAAACTATATACATTCAGGTCTCTGTAGATTTTTTCTTATGTTTTCCACATTAACCTACTTTTCGCCTAATAGCTTGCAATAACTGCTACATGTTTCATATTTTTGTTAAGAACACTACACTTAGAATTTCAATTTTATATGTAGGTACGAAGACATCATAGAAGTAGACAACATTCAATGAACCATATGCTTAATTCCTAATTGCACAAATAGGTAAAACACTTATTATTAAACCAGTAATAATCACAGATAAAATATGTACTTACTCTTAGAAACATTTACGCCAAATTTTGATATCGTGTGCGTGATTTCTAAACATAACTGACTAGGAAATATATTCCTACATGAGAAAGCGATTAGGAATCTTAATTTTGCAAAAGGTAGGGAATTATGTAAACATAAGAACTAAGAGGCATTTTTCACAAATTTTCTAGGGTGTAGCCATAGACATTTTAATAATAATAATCTTAATGGGGGGGGGGGGGGAAGATTAATGCATGGTTATTTCATTATGCAGCATTTTGCTCCCACCAGATCTTTGTTTGTCGCTATATATTAGCTCTCTGAAGGAAGAGTCTGCGAGAGACCTCATTGCAGCCACCAGGCCTCGCAGTTTAATCATGGACGTTAAAGAAGTAGGGGGTTAGCGTACATAATTCAGCGTTCATGTAAACGTCGTAAAACAGATAATGCATTCACGTGGTGGCGGGCTTTGATAATCATATACCTCAGCCACCGCATTCCTGGAAGCGCTGCCACTTGGGCCACAAACTCCAGTGTATTGTGCTCCCAATAGGCATGTATTTTTTTACATTTTTTAATTGTGTTTTTACATGTTCTAACATAGTAAAAAGTATAGACACTGAACAATTCAATTTAACTTGTAAAATAATATTTTAAACAGAAAAGACTAAGGAAAGGAGGCATGCATATAACGTACGCTTGTTGGGATCCAATTAGGTTTCTCAATATGGCCGGCTTTAACAATTAATTTTATTAATATGCATATCAAAATATTTCGGGAGTTTTCGGCTATAAATAGGGGGACTATGGAGGCACCACAATGGTAGCCCAGTGTGCAAAGGCTCTTATTGTAAATAGAGAAATAATGAAGTTCTGATAAAGGTACGGTACGGCTAAAGCTACAGGTAATGCTAGACATTGTGGTAAATAATATATTACACAGATTAAATTGAAATATGCCAATTAAAAATTTAGTAAGCTGTACTACATAAATAAGATTAAATGGTGAGGTTCAAAACTTTCATTGTTAAAAAAGTCATACAAAAGGCTTTTTAATTATCTAAAAATTAAAAATCGCATAAATTAATAACAACTAGTTTGTATTGATATGTCATGTAACTTCGATTCTATTTTTGATATCATTCATCGAGCGCCTCGAACTAAGAAACTTTAAAATGAAACTTTTTGTTATGGCTTATGACAAATATATTTATGTTTTAAAATCGGTGTTCAGTTTTGTTCGATCACTTGAATTTAATTTTCAGAATTTTAATTTGCACACAATACTTGACCCTTTTAATCTAAACCTCTACCTTTAATAATAAAAATGCCCATTTGATTTGGATATTCTGTACGATTGTTTTTGTTAAAGAATAAACTACAGGAACACGTCAATTTTCTATTTGTAAAAACAATAATATCTTGTGGTAGTTAACTGTAGTTTCTAATCAATTGCTACAGTTTAGAAAATTTGTGAAATGTTGAATACTACTACTCACGTGATCTCTACATGGAACGTGTTATGGCACATTTTCAGAGCGAAAAAAAAAACACAGGGGCATGTTAAAATACTAATTCGGCATAAATCAAACAATTACTACTCGCACTGAAATATGTGCCAATATATAAAGGCTTGTTACTAACACAGTTGGAATGGCACCTTTACTTTAACTTTTAATATCGCTAAATTATTTCTGTTTAAACTCTTGAGAAATATGGAGTTGTATTTTTAATACCTTGTGGTGCATGATGACACAACCGTCTATTATATCTTACAAAAACTAATTTTTCAAAAATAGATTACTTTATGTATGTTACACATTTATACTGTGAGAAATTTCAAGATCAAATAGCGACATAATTAAACCAAATATTTACATAATTTTACAGTAAAATTGTACGTTACAAATCAAATTAAAAAAATAAAACAAAAAGTAAAAATCGAAAAACTGTATTAAAAGGTCTTTCTCTTTACGTTTCTTATACGTTTACCTCAAAAAACTATGTCGCCATGGCGCTGGTATTATTTGAGTTCGTAGAGTGTTCTTGATTAAGTCTCTGTTTAAACAAAATTGTTTCCTCAAATATTAGCCTTTTTAGTGTTTCCTTTGGAAGATCGTCCAATTCGCAATCAAACCGAAAAGGTTTCTCCGCCACTGGCTAAAATAACAACGTAACACCAAAAATCGCTCAAGCGGTTGATACCTCATCTGCAGGATCATAATACTGTTCCAGATATGGGTGCGCCAAAGCTTCTTCGACACCTATCCTCTTATGCGGATTAAATGTAAGCATCTTATCGAGTAGGTCCAAGGCTTTCGGATCCGCATTGGGAAACAGTTTAACCCACGGAACTTTAGGTTTAAACGGTAATGATTGAAGATAACTTCGTGCCTAAAATGGTGAAACGGAAACGGTGACGGTACCTTTCAAATTAACGCTCTTACCTTCTCATTTATAATACAATCCAAATCTTCTTGCGAAGGCGACCCTAAAACACCCAAAATATGATTTAATTGATCGAGGTAATGCTTTCCCGGAAAAATTGGCCTGTTTGACAACATTTCCGCTAGTATGCATCCGACGGACCATATGTCTATCGATTTAGTATATCCCTAATCAGAAAATATAAAGGTCAAAATGATAAAAATTTGTGGACTACTCACTTTAGAATTTAACATAATTTCGGGAGCTCTGTACCATCTCGTTGCTACATATTCCGTTAAGAAACCTGTGTGATCGTGATCAGGGTCAGCAACTCGGGCTAATCCAAAGTCACAGATCTGCAATTACGTTACTTTTTAAAGATATGCCCTAATAGGTATACTACAAAAATATATTATGCAAAAAAAAGGTAAAAGGCCAACATGCTTTGTTCCTTCGTCACTCCCGACTACATCGACGTGAGAGGCGAGCTGCTCAGGCTTTCCAGAGCCTCTTCAGTCAGGCAACGGAAATCTAAGGATGGGTAATTTTAGGAAGGGCTAAGGATGCTTATTTGTTATTTACTCACCTTAAGATCACATGTTGTGTTCAAGAGAAGATTACTGGGCTTGAGATCTCGATGAAGAACATTTGCAGAATGGATGTATTTAAGACCGCGTAAAATTTGATACAGGAAGTAACATATATGGTCATTGCTTAATCTCTATAAAAAAAAAAAAAATAATACCGTTCGATGGATTTTGATGTACTAAAATTCTGAGAGCCGACTTATTTGTGTTACTGTGATTTCATTAATTTATAATGCTGGAAAATATTTTTATAACTGCATTCCTAATAAATTGCCAACAAGAAGAAGAAAATGAATAGAACCTTATTGAAATGAAATTATGTATTTTTAACATACGCTATTACGAGTGTTAAGTCTATGTGAAAGTTGAAATTCTCTTAGCCTTAGCCGCACTTTCAACTTTTCGGTTTGGATGTGAAATATTTCACTTTCAGCTTAAATTTTAGGGCTGGACATTTGTGTTGACGGACTTATAAGGTAGATTATTTCAACTGCACAGAAATAAAAGAGAAACAAGTTATGAAGTTATAAACCGTATTTTTTTAGGTTGGTATTAGCAGTAGAGGTGGGTCGTTCGCGAACTGTTCAAAAGATCCGGATCTCTATAATACCCAAATGAATCGGATCCCGAAACCTGAACAAACCGGATCTTTTGAATCAGTTGTTTTACGTTTCGATTCGATTGAATCGGTTTGTCTCGTTCTCTTGCTCTTCCCAGTTCACGCCGTTCACGGATCAACGTCGAGTCTAATCGATTCTTTTTTATAAGCGCTTTGACTTTGACATTTAGGTTTTACGATTTCCGACTCTGGAGCCGTCGCGTGTCTTTTTTTTCTCGTACAAATAAAAAGGGTGTAGTGAATGTAATTTCTTAAATTGTAATATGGGTATAAACTGTAAAATAACCTTGGCTTATTTTAATTACGTACACCTACACCGGTCGTACACAATCATTCAGCTTTATTTCATACAAAATTAAATAAATGGCTCGAAAACGAACCAGTGAGTTGAGTGAATGAGAGACACCAAACCGGCTTCCGATTCAGATTTCATAAGATCAGAACCCAAACTAACGAGATCTGGTGATCCGATTCAATGAAGTGAGCCGTTTTGCCCAGCTCTAATTAGCAGCACTTGAAAGTGAAACACAATTGCATCATGTAAAGCTCATCACACAATGAAAAAAATATGGAATAAGAAATAGTGACGCTGTACACGCAAAACACAACAAACAAATAGCAACAGACTATAAGCCAATCATAACACTCATGTTGTTTGAATTAATGTCATTATAATGGCAGCTAAATGTAAGGCAATAGCAGGCTAATTGGACCGACATCAAATATAATTCCAATTTCCAAGTTCATAACTTCACAAAAACAACACCTCATAATGTCATTGGTTCGCAATATGAATAAGGAATAAAAATTCGACTGAACGAAATTATTATTTCTTATTTCCTAGGCTTATTCCATATTTCAGTGTTGTGTGCAAATCCATAAAGATGAGTAGATTGAAAATTGTTATTTCATATTTCTTATTTTTTTCATTGTGTGATGGGCTTAAAGCACATCTGTCGCTTCAAAAATGTCCAGAAAGTTATTTCACTTTCAACTTTCATAAAATAACCCTAGTTTCTAGTGAAGCCTAAGTTCTGTTAGTAGTTTCACTAAAGTCCTTGGAGGTAGTTGAATCTACCTAAAGTGTTTCAATTTGAAAGTTTGGTATACACGCCACTACCACGTTAATTATTTTCCTATAATACATGACACTAAATAACTTTACGATGGAATCAAAAATGAGTTGGTGTCGAGTCACCTTTGGAATTTTTGTTTACATGGGAATTCGTATCTAACTTGAACTTCCGAAGGCGACTCAACCGCCACTCATTTTTGATCGCCCGTTACCTACCACATTTTTAACATTTCAAATAGATTATTCGAATTTGGAAATTTCAAAAGTTACATAGACATTGTATTTGGGAAACAAAAGTTGCATCGATTTTCGATTAAACCGGAAGTTTGAATATGCGATCAGATAGATCTTAATGCCAAAACATAAAGTTATATTTAACAAATTTTTCGTACCTTGCCAAATAAACGCGATATTGAGGTGATCCTCTTACATCGAACGCACTGTATACCACGGTAAAGAGGTCTATTATTGCATTGCCTTCGCGCTTTGTATTCCGAAGCGCAGCAGGCAAAAATGTCACTTTCAAGTTTTATACAACAAAATATGTCGGCCCCACTTTTCCGATTGATTAATCTAAAAACCTTTACCTGCGTTTTGAGAAGCTTGTAGAGATCGGTTTCCATGAGGCACTGTACAATATATACGTCCTTCATCTGATCAATGGTCACCGCTCTTAGAATATCTCTAATGTCTATGATCTGAAAAAAAAGTATATGTTAATCTTCCAATCCTCTTCGCTATTGGATAGGTCTTAGACGAAATGCTATATTTTACCATTCTCGTCGCACGACAACACCCCGTCTGGAAAGACGTCAAACTCCAGGAGGTTATTTTTATTTTTAGACTAATATTCGATTTCTAGGATAAATCGCGCAATCACTCGTCATAACATACGCGTTACTGAGGAAAATGGCAGTTGCTCCAACTTGTCCATAATGAACGAAGACGACGAGATTTATCGAAAAATTCCTTCCCGATGCGCTCATAACGATTCGATCCGCATCCCAATAGAATTAAATAAACATTGTTACGAAAAGGAAAATGTTTTACCCTTGGATTTACCAATCATGGTCTTGTAAGTATTTTTTTAGTCTTCTAGAAGCATTTCGGAATACGGATTCCTTCCTCTCAGACCTCGTCTCAGATATTAATTTTGAACACTTACATTGGGGATTACGGTGAGTCATAAAAAGCTATCTAGTTTAGTATATCTTATCAATAACTTACGTTTTCATGTTTGAACCGGGTTAATATCTTAATTTCCCGTAAAGTTCTTTGACAGTACGTTTGATGTTCGAAGGGAGAAATCTTCTTTATTGCTACTTTAGTTTTAGTTACTGTGTCCAACGCCGATCTGAAAAGACAAAAAATGTATAGATAAAATACACGAAAATTAAAGAATAAGTACGAAATGCAGTCGCCCCAAATTGTTGACGGTGCTTGCATAAATCATTTGATTAGCGTGTGTTGTTAACAAGTAACATCTCGCTATTGTGAGCGAAGACTTGTTCACGAAGTACACAGTACAACTTGGATTATTTTGGATTGGGGATCACAATAGGTACTCATTTGTCGAATGTGGTAATAACGATGCATTTTTTACACTTTAATCCAGTATCCGGGTGGTACCAGAACAATGTAATTTAATTTCGGTAATTAACGCGAATATGTATGCGTATAAATTTATAAAAGCATATTGGTGGCCTAATCGTTCTTACGGAGAGGTTACAAGTTACAACGTTAATAGTTTATATTTGCAACGATGGTAATATAGTTGCATACACCCCACCTTTTGAGATGATGATAGATGGGGCTGAAGTCAACCGACATGGTATAAAAACGAAGTTAAAAATAATTAGACTGCAGTATTCCTGCTAACCCTTCACACAAACTCGAATTCCTCTGGAAACAACAATTCAATGCTATAAGAATTAGACCGCCGGCCGCGGAGATTGCCGGTTCATCAAAGTAAAATTCCGAATAAGTACCTAGTCGCTTTATGGACATCCGAAAATAATGTGCGTAAAAATATACATGTACCAGAATCGAAAATACTTTTATCACTTTTCCGTTCAGTGGGTTGCTTAAGGAACTGTTCGATGCGCAAACATGTATTTGGATCGAGGAGTAGAGATACCTACGTCGTAAAATTTAGTTTTCTACAACAAAAGTACATACCTATATATTTTAGCAAAAAAAAAGAGCGACGGCTAACGATTAAGGTGAGGTCAGAATATACGAAGCATTTTACCTACATAAAACTTAATCAGGCGTGCGAAAGAAAAATTACCCTCATAAATAAAATAAAACTGCAGAATAATAGCACGCCCCAACTTGCCCGTTTTCAGGTGAAAATTGTGCTAAATTGAAGAACTGTGTTTGTGACTTCATTACTTAGGTCATAAAATGTGTGCCAGAGAGCCAGTGCGTGACAATACAATATGATTACCTAATTAAATTCCACCGTACAAATTCATTTGTACACTTATTTTATAACATAATTACAATTACAACCTCTAATATTATAATATAAAAACACTTTGAAGTGCACTCGAAGTACTCAATTAAATCGAACTGTTAGAGCTAAAAGAGCCAAAGAAATGATAAGAAGGCAAGTGGTTCGGCTAGAACAGTGGTTCCCAATCGAATTGTAGATGTCTACGGACCGAAAGTGAATGACCACGGATCACGCATGCATTTACTTTAACTTTATTATGTCACTTTTGCACATAAATGTGAATTAGTTGACGTTTTGAAAATAGGGATTAGAATAACGTAACATCATCAATTTGAACAATGGTACGTAACTGTTGACCCTCAACTGTTTTTAAATAAATGTTAAACGTGTTATTTTGCGAGAAATTCACACTGTCCTCAGTCGTTTATCCCCACACGGCATTTTAAGGCGCATTTTCTTAAAAATATACGAAATTTCCATTTCAATCATAGAGGTGAACATTTGATATCCAAATTGTTAGTTTAGTAAACGGAATTATTTCACAATTTACCAATAATTACTCTTTGTGTCTATACCGGGTATTACCAAAGTCTAAATACGTGCAAAGTTTTTAAAGTGAGTTATCATGGTTTAGGTTTGATTTAGTGCTTATCTTGGTTTCACTTTAAACAGATAATGCCACAGTTTTACCGCACTTAATGACGTCACTATTTTCATTAGGTAAACTTTGAGTTTATTGAAATCAAAACATCTTACACTTATACATTTTAATGTAATTTCCAATATGCCTCTTATTTAGTAAGTTATTGTTGATATATCAGTAACTTTCGTTCTAAATTCTGTTTTTCCATTAACATAACTTTTAATCGGGTGCGAATTATAGTTTTCCGAGTAGAATTTTTTTCGATAGACAGAGAAGTTGATCCCAATTTCATTTTTTCGTTGTAGGTAACACTAGCGTTTACTACGGTTGGCAATAAAATATATAGATGTGATTTTTGATGAAATGTATTCAGCAAAGAAACAAAAAAAATTAATATTATTTTCGAGATTATTTTTCTTAGTATGTAAAATTTCGTATTTGTGTATATTTTGTGTTTCTTTGTATTTCCACTGTATGTATACATACAAAATTGGCATTTTTTTCTATTACTCTCGATAATCCGGATCCTTTGATCATCCGACGGTTGCGTGATTCCATATAGGTATGTCGGATTATCAAGATTGTACTGTATTGTAGCAACAAACAATTAGGTAACTTCTGGCTTTGAAAATGGTCATGAAACACATGTAGGCGAAAGACTTTTAAGACACTTTGTGGGGACCACATCTCGTAAACTGATGGGATGCATGCAATGAGAAGTTTTGTGCTTTTATTAAAATAATTCAAGAAGTAAACTTCGTAAAAATAAAACTCCAATGCGAATTATGCGAAATTATATTATTATTTATTAAGTTGATAAGGAATTAAAATTGAGGTTTCTATCTGGATTTAAGCGCAATTATAACCTACAAGTTCAATTAACAACAAGCTCAAATCGACCTGTTTCTTCTTTCAAGTTATGGTTAATTAAATAGCCAAATTGAACGGTGGTTTATATAATATGATTAATATATAGCCCCTATTGTGTTGAGCATATTCAAACATTCCGCGAACGAAACTTTGAAGTATTTGCATTTTAATTACACCTTGAAGTATTATTTAGTGTAATAATTTATCGCAAGGTAGAGTGGAACAAGACCCTTTAAAATTGCGGCAGATTTTCGGGAAGGTTTCTTTGTTACAAAATCTATGTAGTGTAAACAAAGGGACGCGGTCGTCATGGTTACATCATTTATTCGCTAAGGGCAATTCGAAGTTTATCTCGATTTTATCCCAATACAAGAATTGCAAATGCGAGACGGCATAAGGGATGGATCGAACATGTGAAAACTAATTTCGCGCTAACGGTGACGTAATTCGATTACTGAAATTTCCCTTTACTCACATAAAACTCGCATTGAGGACTAATGCGTCGGGACGTACTTTCGAGGACGTTACCCTGAACCACGCCCGCGTCGGCTCGAAGACCTTGCAACCCCGGTATACCGTACGTATCTCTTATCTGTCGTCTCTCGTTCATTACTACAGAGCGAGATCAATAAAGGGAATCATCTTCGTCAAAATATCGAATTGCTTCCTATTGACACTTGCAGAATACGTCATTACTGCACTATTAAAGTATTAAAACTAAAGAGAGGTAAGTAACTCAAGTATCGTATAATTGGTTGCAGTAGAAAATAAGTATAAATTGTGCACAACTGTTCTGCAGGTAAAACGCATTTTTTAAATCGGATATATAGCTTAGTAAATGGTTGCTATACAGAGTGGGTCATTAGTGTGTCGGTGGAAGATTGCGGGTTTATTAACGCGCACATATTTAATAGTATACTTATTAAGATACAAGTGTATAATCAAGTCTTTAAAGCACGTGTAACGAGTTAAATGGCACGACGCGTTGTAAAATCTAAAGGAAACTTGGTAGGTGTAAAATCCAAATTCAGTAAAGCTTATTATAAAGAATATAAAAAGTTCTTTTCGTGGACGAATATGGAAGCATTTACGAACAAAGTCTTAAATGCATCGATATAGCTGGCAGCTAGCATACACCTATGCAGGAAATGTCAAAGATCTTCTGCTTTCATCGAAAACTTCAAATAATGCTGCGATTAAAAAGTTGAACAGATTTGGCAGCACTGCATACCCTAAATTACGTGCGTTTGTGAAAACTTCAAACAAAAGATCTGTATACAAGCCAAAGAAATCTTCTGCATTTACAGAAAGCGACCTAGGAAGATTTTTATTTCAGCATCAGATGACAGTTTCAAAAGTATTAACTAGCGTATTTTCCGAGGTATTTTCGTATAATCGATTGCGTTGAATTGAGTGCGCCAATGTGTCAAAATGTGACACTTGTGGCTGTTTTAAAACTGAAAACGCCAACTAAATTTACGTATTTGATAACGAAATTGAGATTGTGATGCAGGTACTAATAATAAAAAATTCATTATTTTATCTTTTAAAAATGGGCTATGAAAAACAAGAGTTTTTGTTTTGTTTTGTTGGGAGCGAGGTTGGGGGTAAGTGAATGTTTTATCATTTGAATTGGTGTTTATAATTTATAACGACCCACTGCTTACTGAGAGGCTTTGAAAATCGAAAAACACTGAATATAGAAATTGTTGAATTACAAAAAAAAGATAAGATATACATACCGACATGGTTAGAAACTCGGTTAGAAAGCTAATAAAATCCTAAAAAAAACTTGGTAGTTCCATTAAAGAAAAACAAGTTACCTTTGGTTGAAATTTTGAAAATTGACGGAGTGAATTCTTTGAACATAAAATAAGTTTAACTTTAAGCGTACGTTAGTACATTTCGAGGTACATTTTCATGATTAGTAAGACTGCCAAGTCACGGCCTCCTAAGTTTTATGATATCTAACTGCGATATTCAATTTTTACCGGACCTCTACTTTTTGAAAAAAATGCCGGATTGCGGCTAAGCGACTCACTTTAGATATCATGTCACTTTATGTATTACAATACTTTACAATACAATAATTTTTTCAAACTAAATTTGGGAAAGACAAACCAGAATCTCATTTACTACATCCCAAATAATATCTAAAATTTGATTTTGGGCATGCTTATAGCCATACCCAGGAGCTCGTTTGCACGTTTATTTGATGTTCTTTTAAATATACCCATTGAAAAATCATACATGAGATGCGTTTTTTACAGTAACTAATTATTTTATACGCATCGTTTGCTTCGAAATCCCATCACAACGCCCGAATTTTGTTCTAACTACAAACAAAGAGCTCAACCCTCGATTTTACGAATCTGGAGCGAATTATTCTGGGGGTTTGCGTGTGGAGGTAAATACCGAAAAAAGTAGAATCGAGGGCATAAAATAAGAAATTGCCAATATCCGCGATATTTGAAATTAACGCAAAGATTTGGGATTTGCGTCCTACGTTGCAAAGATCGTCCTTGACCCGTCGCAATGCGGTTCGTTCAATAAACGAGCGATTATTTCCGCTTCCGTAAACTCCACATTGCACATGCACTTTTATTCCCATTCGAACAGGTAAAAATTGAATCGATTTAGAAAAACTGGAATGCAATAAAACGGGGTCGATAAAGTTTTCTTCTGACAAATTAATTGGATTAACATTAACAAAGCCAAGTTTTATTGTCTCGATGATCATAAGCACAAACACAAGATACTGCCCCAAATGAAATTTGTTTTTTTGCAAGCGACTGCAAAATAGGCACTTCCCGGCCTATAGCCCTATAGCTATATAACGTATAAGTAAAATTGGTCGATTTTGTGTAAAATAAATTAATGGAAAGCCATGGCAACACTCGTACATACGTACACTTTCCCATGACAGGCCACAATTGACAGAAAATTAGAAAACTAAAATTGAAAATTTGAAACATTGTCTATTTTTATTTATAAATATCGCGATTGCACAAAAAAATGTGTACATCGCGCCTGCGACATGTGTTTGGTGTTAGGTACCGAGAGAAGTTTTTGTCTCGGCTTACGCACCGACCAAAACTTTATTCTCTCGGTACACCAATCATTTCGCAGCCTTAGTATACAAATAACTATTTGTTCATATAGTCAGATACTTTTTTACTACTAAGAAAATGCATCAATTGACTTTAAAAATATCAATTACCTCGTCAATTACAAAGGCATTAAAGTTGGCACACAGACGAATGAAAAATATTCGATTCCTATGCAACTCGTAGACGAAAAGCGTGAATGAAATCATTCGTGGCGCGGCGATGAATTTGCATAACTTTACATTTTAAAATTCATTGTGTAAATGTAAATTAATATCTCGTAGGTACCTACAAATAATGAAGTTAGATACTATCTAAAAACTGCACTACTCAATGCCTTGAATTAAAAACAAATAATTAAAGTAATTGCTTTTCTTTCGGTTTTTTTTCTTTAAATTAAACACCAGAAAATGAAAACGAGAGGGAGGGAGGGGATGTGCCGATCTGTTTAAAGGAATTTCATTGACATAAGTAATTGTGCGTGCGTTATTATAATGGTATTAACGTAAATTGAATGGCGCAAATAATATCCGTTAGGTAAGTAAATATTGTTGAGTGGTGGCTGGTGTGGTAGCAGGAATAGTAGATTAAATACCGAGCTGGGAGGTGGTTCATTACCTACCCCGAGGGCTTAAGGTACCTCACCGACGCGCGAAGCGCGGAGGTGAGGTATAAGCGCGAGGCGTTGGTTATGAACTACTGACCAGCGAGGTTTGTATACTATTTTACTCACAATCGATCATTTAAAGTAGTTAGAGCGCCTAGGTAAAAGTAACAAGAAGTTGGTGAAAATTTGGTCACTTATTCTCTGAGAGACGCACTTTCTAATGGTCAAAAGAAAAAAGTGTTCCTATGTGCCGTTTCTGAGATATTTGACAGTAAAAACAGGGTATTTTAACATGGGCTCTTATGGACAGACTCAGTTTTTCTGAGCTAGCGAAGGTTTTTGTATCAAGACTTAAATGAGATGGGTCTCATTAGAAGCGAAATTTTGTGACGAATCTAAATATGCACGAAAAAGTACATGTTCATGATGAAATAAGGAAGATATTTACCGCCGGAGCGGCGTCTGCTCTGACGCGGCGGCACGCTATGCAGCACGCGTTTAAATCTGATGACTTTTCCACTAGGTCTAGTATATAACTGAGCTAGGACAATCTTTTCCTTCTTCTGCTGAGCACTTTTCTTCACAAAAGGCATGGTGTCTTTCAGAAAGAACACCAAAACCAGCGATATTTATAAAGGCTTGCACACGTCTTGTTGACACACTGATCGGATCGAGATCAAGAGAGCGGTTGGGGGGATCTCTGGCGCCAACATCGAAAAACCAAATCCACTACACCGACTTCACGTAAAACGCCAAATTATTTAGTTTCCCGGCTTTTACATACGTCTCGCATACGTTTTGATTAAAAACAAATATATTCGTTTAGGATTTACCGCTTACACTGTGAATATTTAGTCGCGGTGTGTCGTCAACATTTAGTGTGCAAAGGTTTGAAACAGGGTCGAAAAGTAGGGAGACTAGTCAAGTTGACTACTGTATATACCTTTTTAAAAATCATGTATGACGTTTGCATTGTGCTGAGGTACAAAATACCACTCATACCGTATTTCTAATTATGTTTCCTTCATAACAACATTTTTTTGGGGACGTTTACCGTAAGTAATAGGTAGGCCGAGTACATCACTTGACTTCAGCCGAACCCGCTCTAACTACTTTAAGGTAAAGTATCTAGTAGAATTTGTAATAGTTCGTAATTATTTTAAGAAATATAGGTATCTGTGACATCGTTACTAGGCAACTTAACAATTTTGTTTCAATTTGTCAGTCAAGCGCATTTTTCTTAGCAAATTTTTCTATATTTTTTCATGAATAATGTCCGACAGTGAATTTGAAAGCACTCCACCAGAACTGCGAATAGCTGCAGAAAAAGCGACTGATGGCACGATTCCAGAAAAAAGCAAAGAGAGGTACGAAAATACTTACAACACGTATAGCCAATGGTGCGAAGCAAAAGGTGTGGGGCATCACTCTGAGACGGTACTTCTTGCCTATTTTTCTGAACTAAGTAAAAAAAGCAAAGCTTCCACATTATGGTCCAGGTATTCCATGTTGCGGACAATTCTAAGTATTAGGCATAATGTTAATATCAGTAACTATGAAAAATTACGAGCATACTTGAAAAGGCAGAATGTGGGATACAAACCTAAAAAGTCTAATGTTTTATCCGAAACAGAAATTGAAAAATTTCTTAATGAAGCTCCAATAGAGTATCTTCCGCAAAAGGTATAATGTTTGAATTTCTTTAGCGCATACGAAATACATGGTTAATTACATATTTCTTTTAGGTTGCTTTGATTGTTGGCATTTCTCTCGGCATTTCTGGTGCTTGCAGGTGTGATGAGCTTTTAAAAATGAAAATGACTGATTTGGAAATTTTGGCACATCGCATTATAATAGTGATTCCTGTAACAAAAACCTACTCGTCCCGTACATTTGTAATTACAAAACCGGAGTGGATTAAGATTGTAAAACATTACTACGATCTTCGCAACAATGTACATTCTGAAAGGTTTTTTCTACAAATTAGATCAGGAAGAATTACAAAACAACCATTTGGGCATAATTCTATTGGAAATTTCCCCAAAAAGATAGCAGCTTTCTTAAAATTGGAAAATGTCAATGGGTTTACAGGGCATTGCTTTAGACGCACTTCAGCAACATTGCTAGCAAATACAGGTGGAGATATTCTGCAGTTGAAACGACTAGGAGGGTGGAAATCTAGTACCGTAGCGGAAGGGTACGTTGAGAACTCAATACATGGGCAAGTACAAATTGCAAATATGCTGTCTCATGCAGAGAAGCCGCAACCGTCGACGTCTGCGGCGACTTCTGAAATTCAACAAGGTGTTACTTTAACTGTCAATAATAGTGACACCGCCAATGTAACCATTAATGTTTACAACAATAGCAAATAGTTTCGTTCTTCGTATTGTTGTGTTGATCTAATTAAATACATACTCAATTGATTCTTATAAGATATGAATAGCATTTGCAGGTAAGGAAAGTGACAGATGCTAGCCAGGAAAGTGACAGCTAGCCGGGAAAGTTACTTTCCCGGCCAAGGTGAGTAATGAGTCGCTTCGCAACCGCTTTGAAGGTTAGGAATTCAGATAATACTAACCGATTGTGAGTAAAATTGATTAAATGGGCTATTACAAGGTATTAATAAAATTCTAAAAGTATCGATGAAGAGGGAGAGCTACCATCACTTTTAAAAATGTAGATAGAACTGCAGTTTTGTGTTCATCATAGACACGTTACCATTTTCTAAATTGAAATTCTTGAGCATTACGTGTGTCTGTCTGTATGGAGTGGTCGTCCATTCGGGGTAGCCAATTTGAAAAACTGTAGCCGAATGTATTGATTTCTGTGTGCGACCGTTTTACATGTGTGTATCAATATGTATTGTCATACACAGAAAAAAATCGTACTTTAACGACAAATTCATCATGTATTTGACCCGTATTTCTTTAAAAGAAGTAAAGACTAATTTAAAATAATCAAATTAGATTTAAATCAAAAATAATTATTTTGACTCAAATAAATCGATGTAATTGATGTTTCGTCACAAAATATTTGACTTGGATTAACTTTGATTCAAAAATATTATATTTGACTCAAGCAATTTGCTTTGAGGAGTTTCACATAAATATCCACACAATTCGCTTAAACATGTTGTTCATTTGTGTAACATAATAAACCAGTACATGAATTTAACTTTTCCTGTATTTAATATAAAAAACTTGACGTTTTGAGCTAAGTAACTAAATAAATCTCTGGAATGAAATGAATTCATTTCAATTGCATGGGTGCATAAATATTTCCCCCTCCAATAAAAACATGTCGTAAAATTCGACTCGGTTGCTCTTTACACGTTCGAAGTTTTGCGTTGCGACACCGAAAAAATTTCTTGCAAGTGCGTTAGATAGTGCGTTTCATCCTGAGTGTTTTGGTTTTGTTTTATATTTTTAAGTTACCTGCGGTTTTTATGTAGGTGTACTTCTGAGAGAATATTTTGTAAGTTCTTATTCCTTTATCATATGTGGAATTTTATATTTTTAAGGTTTTATACTTACCTATATCAATTTCTTGTACATAGGGTGCCCGGTAACTATGGAGAGCCAAAATAAAAGGTTGTATGAAAATAAAGTAAAAATTACGATTTTGGCCCTCTAGATACCAAAAATCCCGTACGTTATGACTGGGTTCTGATTTGTTTCTAAAAAGTTCTGAATAAATGAATTATATTCATATTGCATTTTTATTATGTATTTAATTTTTGATATTGTGGATATTACGGAAATTCCCTTTAACAGCACAATATTTAAATGAAAGAATGATATATTTGCGTCACCAAAATATTATTTAGTCTCAACTGTACGCATGTCGAATAAGAAATATGTAGCTTTTGGGCTAAATATTTAATAATTGCTTCAATTCACAGTATGGGTTGAACAATTTTTAAGTTTTGTTTAGTCAGGCATGATATATTTACCTTAAATATTTTTAAATTTTGATCTAGAATATGGTTTTTAATTCAAACACGTCGATACTTTCAATTTAGGCGCAATGTATTTAAACCAAATAAATTGCGAGGTTAGCAGAAAGAATAGGTTTTTCACTTAAACCAAATTAATTGTTAAATCAATTTGATTTGTGTCTGAGTTAATAAAAATTTGCATCATAGCCTAAATATATTGTCACTTAGACTGAAATACACATGTAGTTGGCCCTATCCAAACATATATGTGCTTCGGTCAACGCAAAATTTGCTTCATTGAAATGATTTGTTTTTTGTGTGTATAAAGAGTGAGTTTTTTTTTCATTTTAAGCATTGGGATCTCAGAAACCATAAGATATACAGATTCAGTTAAATGAGGAAAGAGTTGTCGTTTTAAGAGCTTATTACTAAGATATGTTTTTGTTTTTTTGCGAAAAACAGATTTAGTGAATACAAGTTTTAGACATTTTAACTCGCATTTTAATATTTAACATTATGAACATACTAATTTCCTTCTGTATTTTACAATTTTTGAGTTATATGTACTTTAATAAGCGGAAAAAAATCTACGATTTTTGCTCTTTGCATATTTCTGTATTTCTAATACTAACGATTCTACAACAGTTAAATGAAAAATCACTAAATCTGTTTTTCGCTCATATCTAGTAAACTGTGGATTTTATTCAAAAAACAAAAGCATATCTTGAATAAGCTCTTAAAACGACAACTCTTTCCTCATTTAACCGAATCCTCTACGTGTTACGGTTTCCGAGATCCTAATGCTTAAAATGAAAAAAAACTCACCCTGTATAAATGTTGCTAAAAGGCATACTTCAACAACTGCGCATATATCATCAGAAATGAATTAACCATAATTTACACAGCACCCTCTCATTAAGAGTCTTCTTTACCTAAGCGCAACTTTTTTACATTATAGTGTATAAATAATAATAATAAGATTTTCTGTATGTTGCATTTTCCAACATGTTCTCTTTATTTCCCCAGAGTTTCATTATATTTTCCCTCAATTTGCTCACATCCGGGGCTGTCAACAACTTCCTGAGAGGAGGGACGGATATATTTTAGTTATTTACATCTATAGGGAGAATAATAAAAAGAAACGACGGACAACAGCGAGACTAGGCTACACGTCGAACGAAAAGCGATCAAATAGAATTGAAGCAGAATTTGAAAATATTTAATACTTAATTAGTATCGGTGATACTATGCGATCAAAAATAAGTTGCTGTCGAGTCACCTTACCTTTGGAATATTTGATTACATGGGAAATCGTCATTAACTTGAACTTCCAGAGGCGACTCGACAGCAACTCATTTTTGATCGCCCCGCCCGTTACCATAATAACCATAGGTAGTCACGAATGCGAACACGAATTTTTTAATTAAATTTAAGAATCATCATTTCAAACTATGACAACCCTCAACTTTTATTATAATCCTATGCAAGGACGTTATGATGGCACGTTATTTTATCAAGAAAAAAAATCGTTGATCGTTGTTGTTATTATAAAAGAGGTCCGAAGAGAATAAGGCCAATTAATTACATATGCTAAAATGAATCAATATATTCCAAGCCCTTGGGAATTCTGAAAATTGACGCTTTAACAAAGCCCGCAGTCCAGTAAATTAGGTTTATGAATCGTTGGCGTTAGCGCGCGAGAAAAAGAAATGAAAATCTTTTTGTGGGTGCGTGATGTTTCAATCAAGATTGCTTTTAGAAAACTACGAGATTATAAATTCTTTTTTGTGCGACTACGTAAACAATCTCCTTATTTCGTTCCATTGGACAGTAAGAGCTCTTTCACATTATCCGTCTTTTTAACGGACCGGTGAAATTATAGGTCGCCCATAATCATCTAGTGTAGTCGACAACTGCTCACTACGACTGTTAAGGTTGCCGCACACTTGTCCGTTCCGTTCCGTCACGTCGACGGTTCGCGCTAACGTGACGGAACTAGTTAATGTGCGCAGAGACGTGTAATTCAATGTCTTTTATTTTCAATGTTTTTTTTCGCATACACTGGCTTCTTTGTTTTTGAGAAGTTTTGAATTGAAAAGTTAAACTATTTATTTTATTTTTCTAAAGTTCATTTTTCTCTAAAAGTAAATATCAGAGTGAAAAATGTCGCGTAAGTGCGCGTTAACCTTTAAGCTTCCATCCTCGCTTCCATCGCTTTGCTTTACCGTTCAAGAAACAAAGACTAAGCTACCGATTCGTCTGTCTGTGTTCGATTTAAGATTGAATTTAAATCACTCGCTTAGGTTGTGAAACGTGGAAAGAAAGCTTTAACGCGTACCTACCAACAATAAACAATTGTCAAATAAAGTGTCGGCGAGCAGCTTCAAACGAAATTCTCGACCCTTAAAATAACCGGTGAAGCCACACAAGCGGACACGTACGTAATTTAATACGTTTTATTATATACGACGCGATGCAAGGAATTTATTGAAATTTTACACCGAATCAATAAAGCGCGACGTTAATAAATATTCTACCCCCAATCTAAAAATTTGGACAATTCATTTACGTTTAATTAAATATTGTTTATATTCGTATTTCACTTCGGGGTTTAATTAAACCTTACAATTATAAACACGTGTACCTACGGACGCAACCGCGCACCATACACAAAATACACATTTTTTGATAAAAGAAAAACATAGTCCATGGCTACTTAGACTAAAAACTCGTGAAAACAAAATCTTTATAATTAATTTTTTCGCGTACAAGAAAAGGTAGAATAATCGTTTTACACGATTTAGATGCCGAATTTATATCTCTATAACTTTTATTTGAAGTATTTTTGCGTAAAATAATTAGGAAACGTTTGCGCATTTCCCATGTTAAACGCCTATGTTCCACTTTTCGATTTACTCCCTGTACATAGTTTTTTCCGCACAAAAAGATTTGAACTGATTCCATGTTAAACTATTCGCTTTTTTTGTATTGGAAGGCCTCAAATTATCAATGTTATCTTCAATAACTTCAAGTGATTCACTCCCGAAACGTGTTTTATTCATTTTTAACAACAACTGACGGATAACTCACTTTTATTCTTTCGTTTCTATGTCTAGGTACAAGCCCACTACGTTTAGGTATTGGAATAGAAAGATGCAGTGCCAATAATAAGATCACAGAACAAGATGACAACGGGGAATAAGAAAATAAGTGTCAACTTTTCGTCGGGCAATAGTCATCCCGTATATCCCTCGTGCACGCCAAATACCAGATCTGAGTATTCAGTATTCAGGTAGGATTTGGCGTGCACTTGGGATATAATATTTGAATATTTTGACAAATTAATAAAGCCTCAGATTTCTTACGGATTGTGAAATCGTGTAGTCATGTTGAATTCAACAGGTGCATTTACCCTTACTGAAAAGTCGCTAGTCTTGGAGGATTGAACAGCGATTGTATCATTACCTACGATTTACAAATTGAGCAAGTTGCAGCGAAGTATGAATTTGCGAATTGATTGTTTGATAACTATTATAGGATAATAAAAAATTGAATGATTTTCATGTAAGAGGCACTGGACAGTTTCTAGTTTCACAGTCCGTATTACGATTATCATTACATATATGATATAGTGTAATGTTGATTTCTCAAAGGGTGCGAGTAGTAATTTACCTATCACTAATTTCGAGCGATCTTTAAAAACCGACCATTGTCGATTTATTCGGGAATACCTATATACATAACCTCAATCCGACAATTAAGAAAAAGATAAAACTTAAATAATGTTTGTTTGAGTCGCGTGTCGCATATTTAATTCAAGGGGCGTGAAGGAATTTCAAATGCAAATATTAATAAAATTATTTGACACGGCCGAAACGAGATAGATAAATAATGGTGGAATTGCACTTACACGACCATGCCGTAAGCTCCTTCGCCGATGTAGGACAAATTTGTATATCGCGGGCCCGCTTCGAACATTTGTCCTCTCACAATTTCAATATTTGGATTTGCACTCGCTGTAGTTGTGGCCTCCGCCATTTTCAATGAGTTTGCTAATACCACTAGCCCTAACGAAAGTCTCGCGCAAACTGAACTAAAAATCAAACGCGATTCTGCCCGTAAACCATCAACCCTAAGTTGATAAGTGCGCCGGAAAAAGGGTTAGCCCTTCGTAATTGACACATGTGCAGAGTTTACCGTATCACGACTACCTACGTAACGCTAAACATTTAATGCAAACGGTTACACTGTCTATAAAACTCTATATACTATTTCATTTTAAAATTTTGGACGGCCATTTTAGCCGTTGAATGCGCTACCGCAACTGAAAATCGCCACCCCGGCGCCATCTATTCCGCAGATTTTGTACTGCATCTGCATAACCTAACTTTTTGTTATAACAAAAAACAACTGTTTATGAAAAAACAAGAATAATGAACGCGCCACCGACATTTGAATCATTCTTACTTTACGAAGGAGAAAAAAAGTAAGCGATTTCATGCAGGTTTTTTGCAGTTAACCCAATTTTCTAATAGGATAATTCGAGAGCAGGACACAAAAGTGACTAATGCCGCTATTTTTACGGTGAACAAGGAAGATCACACACTCGGAAACATGATCCGAAAGTAAGTATATATGTAAACTCTATGCTACCTACTGTAAGTTCCCCTCAGTCAGCTATTGAAAGATCCAAATGTGCTCTTTGCCGGATACAAACTGCCGCATCCGTTGGAACATAAATTTGTGCTACGTATACAGACAACTTCAGATTATTCACCGCAAGAGGCTTTCATGAATGCTGTGGCAGATTTAATATCGGAACTTTCGCTTTTTGAAGAACGTTTTAAGGTATACCGTATGTGTCGTAGTTTTTAAATTAAACATTTGCCTTTCAGGAAGCAATCAAGGAAAAGAAAGAAGGTTTAGATTAATTGTATTTTATTGATTACTTTTTAATAAAATTTAATTTCCACTGTACAATCTTTTTTGAAACAAATTTATTCATTATCAATGGGCATATAAAAGGGTATAGGGAATTGCAATAAGAATTTCAAGTTACAATGGTAACTCAAGTTACAATACATATTGAATTTATTGAACACCCCTTTTGGTAGGCAACCTTCCATTCAACTAGAGACCAAAAAGGTGACTCTAGTGGAATACTTTTCCCAGAAGTTGGAAAAACGCATGTAGAAACTGCTATGGAAATAAAACCTTCTTGGATAGCATGAAAAATTGAGGTTTGTCATTGCTTTTTATAATTTACATCAACAACTTTTCAAATTGTCTGAATGTAGATAATAATATCACTATCACTCATTATGCTGATGATACCACGATAACATTAAATGGAAAAAACTTAAATGAATTAGAATACTGTAGCAACGAGATACAATTCAAGGCTCGGGATTGGTTCGCAGCAAATCAGCTGCTTCTAAACATAGATAAAACACAGCGTATGATTTTCACATTAAAACAAACCCAAGAAGAGGAAAATACAAAATCGGTATCTTTTTTAGGGGTCACCTTAGACAAAAAACTAAACTGGATAGAACACACGAACCAGCTAGCAGCAAAACTAACTACTAATATCTTCATGCTAAGAAACCTAAAACTATCAGTTTCGCCTCATGTTTTGCGCGTAGTATACTTTTCCACTTTCCACTCCATTATGTCGTATGCGGCTCTCAATTGGGGACATTCAGCTGGGCGACATAGAATTTTCCGATTGCAGAGGAAAGCTATAAGAACAATTGCCAACATAGGGTATCGCGAAGAATGCAGACAGTTTTATAAAATTAAGAATTCTGACATTACCTTGTCAATTTACTTACCAATGTCTAATACATATAAAAAAAAACATAGCTCAGTATACAAAACATAAAGATCTACACCATTATGAAACAAGAGACAACAATAACCTCATAACCGATCATTTTAGGTTAAAGTTATCACAAAATGGCCCAAACTATTTGTCTCACAAATTTTATAATAAACTGCCCCCAAAAATACGGTCTTTACCACTACACCAATTTAAACTAGTCATCAAGCAACTGTTGATATCTCACTCCTTTTATTCTTACGATGAGTTTTTAAATTGTAAACTTTAATGTGAATTGTAACCTGTTTTAACTTCACTCCAGTACAACCTTGACATGTGTAAGTACAATATGTATAGCAACACGAATTATATATTATTATTATTAGAGGAGCATGTCTGGGTTGTCTGTATTTTCAATCGGAGAAAGGGTGAATTGTGACACAAGTTTTCCTAATAAGGGGTTTACACTGGTCGATATATAGCAGTTAACCCTGCAGTGGTGACGTGAAATTTTGGAACACCAGTGGTGACCTCGGTCTGAGAGACCAAATTTGATTTTGGCTTGATTTCGTAGTTACTACGCATGTAACTTGGCTTAAAATAAAGGAAAACGTTCCGTCAATAAATAAACAAAGGCATATAAATCGAAAAAATAAATTTTATTCTTGTAACATAACTAAATTGAATTATGCACAACACTAAGCTAACAGGGGGATGCGCGTTGCAATGCTGCGCTGACTATAGAATTTTCGTAGCATCAATGGCGGCGATGCACTGGAAAGCGGCCAATTACTCACAGCACTAAATATACCCAAATTTCCGAATTTTTTTGAAAGAATGTGCAGTGGCAGCTTGAATTCTTAGGTACACCAAGGGTGACGTCGGTCTGACAGACCGAAAGGGTTAATTGTCAAAGAACGACTTGCTTCATCAAGTTGTTCGTCTGGTACTAAACTCGGACACGCAAAATATTAAACTACTATCTCAAATTTGCGAGCACTGAACTGTCATCAAGAATCCGTTTCCCCAAATTACAACACCACAAATAGGCTGATAAGTAATCTGGTCAATTTATTTTTCATTCTCCAAAAGACTAGCGATAGCAATTAATTTGACAAACATTTACAAGGAAGTGTAATAAATATGAAACATGTTCTACATTATGTAACAATAGACTAACGTTGAAGCTCCGTTTAACAAGTAACGAAAATATATCATCTGTTTGTTACACAAGAATTGTTTAGTTGTGTACCTACTTACCTAAACTTTATACAAATATCACGTTATTGTTAATTACTACGATAGTACCTAAAAAATAAAAGTTATTCTCTACGTTTAATTGAAAATGTAAAGCAAAATACATTCAAAACGTTTGATCTTGCTCCGTGCAGTCTTCTGTGCAATGCCCGAAAACTAGAAAAAGATTTTTAAATATTTGCACGATTTAGAAATGTGAAAGCGTACGTTCACAAATTTCACAATAAGGCCTATTTGTAGGTGCCGCCCTCTTATTCCTACGAGGTGGACGTACTAAACCGGCGTCGGTAGCTTGTAGCGGACAGTCTTCTGTTTCGTGATCGTCAAATATCTCGCATATATCGCAGTAAACCCTAGGAGCTCTTGTCTTAGATGGTTGTTCAAGTCTGTCAAACATTTTGTTAGAGAAATGACATCTGGCGGCAAACTTACAAATCTAAATCATTTACTGCAGCGGGACTAAACCCGGATTCTAAAAGTCGAATTCTCGCACGCTGCTCTTCGTTTTTTCTTTGCATATCTACTATAATTGAATTGAGAAATTCTATTTGACCTTCTGTTTGATGATTGTCTTCTATGAACGGTTGAGTGCGTAAAGATGTCCCGGATTCGGGTGCCTTATCTAACTGTCGAATTAAAAGTGCATTCATACATTTCGATAGTGCTTTTTGTGTATAACTAAACGCTTCATGCAACGCCGATAAAACAATTGTGTGTAATCCTGTAGATTGTGATGTTTGGCTTAAAGATCGAGGTGTTTGTTGTGTTGTTGTGATCAAACGCATCATCGGTAATGGTACTTTAAGTGCCGGTGATCTAGTCTCCTCGTACACGGAACATGTATTACTGCGCAGCTTGTTTTTGAGTACCTGAATTATTCGCCTCTGCTTTTCGACCTGCGGCGTCCCCCCTTGACCGTTTACGCACGCATTAAGACGATTCTGAAGGTTATAAATTTGCACATCTTTTGAATCGGTCGCTCCAATACCAACGGTTGTAATCGGTTCGGGAAGTCGAGGTATAATGATTTCTTTTTCAATTGGTTGCAACTGGTCTGGTAAAACTACCCTCGTAAAAACTTTGATCGGTGCTTGCGGTACGAAAACTTTGCGTAGGAACAATTTTGGAAGCGCGCAAGTGACACCGCTCATCGTCGGCACCGGAACGTATTTTATTTGAACGTGAGGAACTGGTTGTATTACTACTTTAGGAACTTCACGCAGATTCGAGCGGTTCCAGTTGTGATCATTAATGGTAGCTTGAGAAGAGTAAGGTTGAATTTCTTTGACTATAACCTGAGGAGGTTGTACAATTGGGACTTGTTTTATTATAATTCTCGGAGGTTGGGGAACGGGAACTTGAATGATGTTGGGTGTCGGGCATTCGACATTACCTCGTAGTGGTACAACAACCTTTTTCAAAATCACTTGAGGTGGTTGCGGTACTTGTACAGTTTTAATAATAATTCTTGGAGGTTGGGAAATCGGAACTTGTTTAACAACTGTTCTTATTTGAGGAATGGGAACTTGTTGGCGTATTAATTGAGGTGGAGGGCAAGAGGCACCTGCTACCACAGGTACTGGTACTTCTTTGATTATGTTCCGTGGTGGAGAAGAAAGTGTTCGGATGATTATTTTTGGAGGTTGAGGCATCGGCACTTGTTGAATAATGTACCTTGGTACATTGACATTTTGTTGGCAGGGTACCGGTACTTCCTTAATTATTGTTCTAGGAAGTGGTACCATTGGGCAGAGTTCTCTATTGAAATATGGCTCCTTTCTTACAATCACTTTAGGTGGTTGTGAAACGGGTACTTGCTTAACTATCACTTTGACAAGTGGCACGGGTGTAGAAGGCAAACGTGGACATGGTAGAGGTATGTATTTGAAAACTACTTGAGGAGGTTGTGGTGACTGTGGGAAGTATGAGTGCCCACTGTGCTTCGTGAGGATATCTGACACATCATCTTGATCATTTACATTTTGAGTGGGTCGAATGAAAGGATAAAGCTGTTGTGTAGGTCTTAATGGAAGAAGGGGCTGGGCACACCTGTTAATCACAATAGGAGGTTGAGGAACGCGGACAACTTTTACTACTACCCTTGGTTCGATTTGAACATTTGAAGTAGGTACAGTTCTTATTATTGGTGGCTGGGCAACAGGTACATATCTGATTTGCGGTTGTGCACAAGGCTGTGGAACGGACTTGTAAACAATTTGAGGAGTTGAAATAGGTTGATTTATGTATTTTGGTACTTCGCGAATAACGATTTGCGGAGGTGCAATCTTTGTAATTACTCTAGGAGGTTGGACAATGTATTGTGGTGTACATTTAACTGGCGCAGTTGGATAATCGCCCTTAAGGGAATCACTCAGTGGTAAAGGTTGAACGCTAGTACCAGTAACAAGAGGCGGGGGAGAGGTTCCAATCACAGGTTGTGGAATGGGTATATATCTGACTTCTTGTGGCGGGCATGTTTGTGGAATATACTTCGGTACTTGTTGAACGATAACACGTGGAGAAACATCAGGACATTGTGGTACAACCCGTGAGACTCCTGGATTTGGACAATTTTGGAATATATATTTAGGTACCTCTCGAGTTAAAATTTGAGGTGGTTGTGGTACAACAACGGGTACAGTTTTAGTAATAATTTGTGGCGGTTGTGATTGTGGAACAGAAACATATCGTGGAACTTCTTTCACTAAAACGCGTGGAGTTTCAACAGAAGCTGGACAGGGTAATTGCCGAACCACAACTCGAGGAGGCTGTGGTACCGCAACAGGTACTGTTTTGGTAATAATTTCTGGTGGCTGCCGAATGTATTGCAAAACTGGATAAGGTTGTGGAACATTTATAATACGTGGAGGTTGTGGAGTAGAAATGACTCTGGTTATAAGCTTGGGTTGCGGTACTGGGACTTCAATGGGTACCATTGTCGGAGGTTGGCGAATATATCGTGGAACTGTTTTAACAATGACTTGTGGAGGTTGAGGAATAGGAATATTTCGGATCGGACATGGTTGCTGTACATACCGAGGTACTTCTTTGGTGATAATTTGTGGAACCTGTACGGAGGGTACGGTCGGAATTGGTACAAATTTAATTTGTTGAGAACATGGTTCCCGTATCACTTTGGGAACTACTCGAGTTATTACTTGTGGAGGTTGGGGTACTACTTTGGTAACAATTTGTGGAGGTTGATAAATGTATCGTGGAACAGGATAGGGTTGTGGCACATATTTGTTAACAATACGAGGAACAGAAACGACCGACGGAATACTAGGAGACGGAACGTGTACCACCTTAGTAACTGGTACGTATTGAACTGGCTGTTTGGGACAATTTTGGGGAACAAATTGCCTCACAATTTCTGGAGGTTGAGGAACACGAATTAATTTAGTGACCGGTACATACTGAATTTGCTGTCTTGGGCAAGCTTGAGGGATAAACTTGGGTAAATGACGAGTAATAATTTGTGGTGATCCAGGTACGGCGCGTATAATTGGTATATATTTAATTTCTTGCTTTGGACACACTCGATTTACAAATCGAGGTACTTCCACAATTTGCGGAGGTTGAGGAAGTGGTACACTAATTGGTACATATCTAATTGGACCAGTTCTAGTTATGAATTTTGGTATGTCACGAGTAATAATTTGTGGTGGTTGAGGGACGGGTACAACTTTAGTAATTATTTGTGGAGGTCGCTGAATATATTGAGGTACAAATCGTGGAGCCGAAGGTACTGTGACTGGAACTGTTTTTAGATATGGTTGGGGTACTTTTTGAATTATCACCTGCGGAGGCTGAGGTACCAAAACAGGTACTCTTTTAGTGACTGGTACGAACTTAACTTCTTGATTCGGACAGGCTTGGGGCACAAGTTTGGGTACCTCACGAGTGATAACGCGAGGAGTTTGAGGCAATGGAACTAATCTTGTAATTGGTACATATTTAATTTGTTGCTGTGCACACACTTGAGGTACAACAGATTGTTGAGGTACAGGTACATATTTGATTTCCCCTCTGGGACAAACACGAGGTACATATTTCGGTACTGCATGGGCAACTATTTGTGGAGGTTGAGGAATCGGAACGCGTTCTACCTTAACTATAGGAATATACCTAGTTGGCTGTGTGGGGCAAATTCGAGATATAAATCTGGGAATTTCGCGCGTAATAATTTGGGGAGGTTGGGGAACCGCAACCTGTACAACTTTAGTAATTATTTTAGGCGGACTGCGTATGTACTGTGGTATATTTACAACGTGAGGAACATTCGGTCGAGTCTGCTGAGAAGGTACAGGTATGTATTTTATTTCAACTTTTGGATAAGGTTGAGGTATTAAAATGGGTACTTGTTTAACAACAATTCGTGGAGGTTGAGGTTGAACAACAGGCACCGTCTTAGTAACTGGTATGTATCTCACCTCTTGTTTTGGACAAATTCCAGGAACAAATTTAGGTATCTCGCGTGTAATAACACGTGGAGGTTGAGGTACTGAAACAGGTACTACCTTAGTAACTGGTATGTACTTCACTTCCTGTTTTGGGCAGATTCGTGACACAAATTTGGGGACCTCTTGAGATATTATTCGTGGAGGTTGGGGCAATGGTACTTGTACCGATTTAATAACTGGTACATATCTAATTGGTTGTTGAGGACAAACCCGAGGTACCTCTACAGGAACAATGCGTGGAGATCGAGGTATTACCTGAGGAACGGGTACATACTTAACTGTCGGTTGCGGGCAGACTTGTGAGATATACTTAGGCACTTCGCGAGTAATAACTTGTGGAGGCCGAGGTAGAGGTACATGGACCACCTTAGTAACCGGTACATATCTGATCTCTGGTTTCGTCAAAATTTGAGGTACATAGTCACGAGGTTGGATCAACGGTAACACTTTAGTAATTGGTACATACTGAATTTGCTGTTTAGGGCAGGCTTGAGTAATAAACTTTGGAACCTCACGAGTTATAATTTGTGGAGCTTGGGGCAAAGGTACCCGTACCACCTTAGTAACTGGAACATACTGAATTTCTTGCCTTGGACATACTTTAGGTAACTCCTGTGTAACAATACGTGGAGGAAGAGGTAGAGGAACACGTACAATCTTAGTAACCGGTACATATCTGATTTCTTGCTTTGGAACAACTGTTGGAGTCGGAATGTGTACTATCTTTGTGATCGGTACATACTTAATTTCCCTAGGGCATACACGAGATACTTGATTGGGAGTAATCTGGGAAAGTTCCGGACGTGGTGAAACAGAAAGGTTCGGTAGATTGATATGACCAGTATTATGGGACTGACCACCCAGTACAATGGAATCTGAAGCCAAAGGCATTTGGGTTAAAACAGACGATGGTGCTTCCGTCACAAACGAACAGGGTTGAGGTATAAGTTTTGGCACTTGTTTAATTATAATTCTGGGCGGTTGGGGAACAGGTACAGTCCTTGTGATGATTTTAGGAGGTTGATACACACACTGGTTTGGTTGTGTAATATGACCAAATTGAGATGGAGTAACAAGGTTGGGTACAAACGGCTGTTGTTTAATTAGCGAGAATGGTGTTGGAATGGGTACATATTTAATTTGTTGTTTGGGGCAACCGCGAGATATATATCTCGGTACTGTAATAATCTGCGGAGATTGTGGTACAGGAACTGGTACAATTTTGGTAATAATTCTTGGAGGTTGATATTGTGGGACAACACCAATGTCCGGGACGTTTAGATGAGTACTGTCCGAATGGTGAACTGATGAATCTGTATCATCTATCGTTGATGTAGGAACTTGCACGTATCTTATTCCTGGCTGTGGTATAAATCTAGGTACTTCTTTGATAACAATTCTCGGTGCTGCAGGAACTGTTACAACTTTAGTGATTATTTTCGGAGGTTGATAAACGATCTGTGGAACTGGTTGTGGTACATACTTATAGATGGCACGTGGAGGTACTGAAGTAGAAATTACATTCGTTACACCACCAGTTTGAGCAATTGGCGAACTAGGCACGTCAATTTTGGAAATTTGGGGCACCAGTTGTGGAGCAACTGGTACGATTCTAGTAATGACTCGCGGCGGTAAATTAATATATTTCGGTACTGAAACAACTTTCACTACGACCCTTGGCGCACAACCAAATTGGTTTGGTGTTGTAAGTGAAGGAACATACGAGAAGCCAGTTGGCGGCATAAATTTGGGTACCTCTCGAATTATCACACGAGGAGGTTGAGGTACCGGAACTGCAACAGTTCTCGTAATTATTTGTGGATGTTGCTGAATGCACATCTGCGCTGGGTACCTCTGTGGTGTGGTATGAATCTGAGGCCAAGATGGAGAAATTCCACCATTTGGATGAGCAATATAGCGATTTATGATTCTAGGGGGTATAGGAATGTACTTAAATTGTTCTTGTGGATATTGTCCAGTAAACTGTGTGGGGAAGAAAGGTACAGCCTGTGAGAAGGGTTGAGTACTGAAATGAGGAACTTTATTGACTATAATTTGTGAAGGTGCATTTCTACAAGGCTGTGTAATATATTGAGGCACTTTCTGTATGATTACTTGAGGAGGCTGCCGAACGCAAGTGACATTGTCTTGAGTTACAGATATACCCGAAGCTGGATTCGATGAAGAAATGGAAATCTCAGGTTGTAATAGTGTATTGGGAACTACGCCAGACGGTACATTTGGACACGGTTGGATCACATATTTAGTGACAATTTTAGGAGGCTGCGGTAAATAGACAGTTCTTATCACTGGTGAACTGTAAGGAACACCCCGACTGCCACCAGGAGTTGTAAATAATGTTGACTCGGGGGCGTACGGTGTGTTCAAGTAACTTGGTACGCCTTGAGCGTATAAGGGCGATTGATATACCGGAATGCTCTTTATTATTAATCGTGAAGGTTGGGACAGTGGTACAAATCCAGTACCTGAGTTCGGCAAGACCGGCACATGAACGACACGAGTCAATATTTTTGGAACGTTGAATGGGGATATTTGACCAAGTGATACGGGAGAGCTTATAGGGATTCGCTGCACAACAACGTTATAGGGCAAACACTGTTGGCTGTTCGGTTGTAAGTTTATGTTATTCAGTTCTCTTAACACATTCGGAATTTGGGTTCTTAGAAGATCAATTTCGGGTGTTTCCGATATAGGCTGTTGTGACTGACCGCCAATGGGTTGGATTACATTTGGCTGTGGTCCAAGCATCTTTATGTTATTCAATCTAATTAAAAGGTTCCGCAATAACGGTTTCAACTGATTTGTTGCAGGAATAATGGGACCATATGGAATACCACCACTACCAAGATAGGTGGTTAAAAGGTTAATTTGACGTTTTAGGCTATCAATTTCCACCTCTTTTTCTGGAGAAATTAATGGGCAACCTCTACTTAATAGAAGATTATTTATTTGCCTTCGTAAAAGAGCAACCAATTGTGGATACCTTCCTAGGATGTGTTGAGGTATTCCTGAATTAAAAACTGAAGAATAGGGTTGCTGCTGGCCCCTGAAATTCTCCAACTGCGCCGCCAGAACCTGAACCTGTCTCTTTAAGAAATTGACTAGTAAATCTTGTGTGGGCCACACTGGAGACTGCAATCGATTAATACCGGCGAACAAAGGAATTGATTGAGAAGAGGTTCTAAGATTTCGACTGTCAGAGTCACAAATTTCACGACATTTACTCAACAAGTTAGCAATGGGAGTGGTTGACTGCTGAACGTACTCATTCGGGTACGGGAAAGGACTAGGATTAAAGTACTGATTATTTGCAGGGGACCATCTGATATTCGACGGTGAAAGGTACGGAGGGAAATTCTGTATTGGTCGCAAAGAACCGTTCTGCACATTGGAATATGGAAGAAGATAATTGCCGAAATTTTGTTTGCAGGATTCTGGTAAGACACGCACCTTTTTTACAATGATCTTGGGTACGCACGGTTGCGCCGGTGCTTGCGGTTGATTGTTCTCGAACACACCTTGAGGGCATTTGGAACTGAATAGATTTTTACAATTATCCTGGACCGAGGTAAGATAAGTTTGAAGATTCTGAATTTGTTGGTCTTTGAGTTTAATTAAATCAAGCGCCTTATCCAGCTCTATTTGGGTATTAGTTGGTAATTCGAAATCAATATTGTCATTGGTATTAAAGCGAATCAACTTGCACTGTGTTGGCAGTGAATTATAATTATTCTGCAATTGTCGTATGTAATTATTTTGTATGTACAATTCGACCTGTTTACGGTGCAAATTTAGTAAGGTATAAGAGATCATTTTTTGGAATTTATAACTTTCGCGTTCGATTCTGTGTCTTAATGCGTGCATATAATGTTTGAAGTTAACAAAATCGCGTAGCAACGTGTACATCTGATTTTGATCATTTTGAACGACTGCACTTTCTAAGTAGTTAACCAATTGACTGTTTATTTTAAGCGATTCGATCAGTTTTTGCATGAGCGTGAAGTACGAGTTTTTAATCATCGTAAGCTGAACTTGTAAGAATAATGGGTTTTGTAATGGATGATCAGTTGGTGTGTTTCCTTGTATATTTCTCAATGTGTTATTAGGTCCGAAATTGTACGCTCTGCCTAGTTGTCCCTATGAAAAACGCAATCAAATTCCCGCACAAAAATTGAACCAAAAGCTCCCATTTCTACTTAAAAAAAAGTACGCAATACGCCCAACATGCACTAAAAGCTACAAACTTAGGCACTTAGTACTAGTGTACTTACCTTGAGCATGTCGTTTTGCAATCTCAATATCTCTTCTTTTTGAGCATTTACTTGCAGTTGGCTGTCTGTTAGACTGAGACGAGTGGTCTCCAGCACCTTTTGTAATTCGGCAATCTTCTGAGTGTATTCGTTAGTGGAGGAAGCTTGAAGATTCTTCGCTAGCTCCAACATGTACACGCACCTATCGGCATCTCCATTATTATTTACTTCACTTTCCAAACGCGCAATAAGTTCTCGTTTCTGTTGCTCAGTAAGTTTCAACTGATTGAGTAACTGCTCGTGAATATTCTTTTGCATTTGTAATTCTTCCGCAAATTTCTGACCGAGCTCAACTTTTTCTGTAAGAATTGCCACTTGATTAAGCAAATTCGTGCACTGTTGATTTTGGGTCACCCAATTTTTGTTGACTTCAACTTGCGAGAGTTGTAACGCGTCCTTCTCGTTTTGCAATTGCGTAATTAATTTAAGATTGTCTTCCAATTGGGCCGAAAGTTCGGAAATTTTATGATCCTTTTCGACCACGTTTATATTACGATTCTGACAGTCTCGTTTTAATAACTCCAACTCGGTTTGGTATTGACTGACCAGAGCAGATTTTTCCCCTAAGTCGAACTGGATTTGTTTCACTAGTTCCTCGTGGCCCCGGCGCAGGTCACCTTCGTTGATTTGGAATTGTGACGTTACATGTTTCAGTTTTGCTTCGGATTCGATCAGTTCCTGAGATTTTTGGGTAAGCAAGTTTCTGGTGTTCATGTTTTCGGCTGTTATTTCGTCGATCTTTAGCTTACACGAGTCAATTGTCCTTTGTAGTTCGCCCGTAGCCCTCTCCAATTGCTCTGTTAAATACCGTTTACTCTCTGCGTGATCGCTGATTGCCACTTTCGAAGCGAACTCCTTTTCTTCAATTACGCTCTGCAGCTGGTTGACCTTCAGCATAAGCTCCTCCCGAATTTTAACTGCCTCCGCGTTTGACGCGGTACACTGATCGCGCAGCATTTGCTCAGTCTGCTGAACTGTCTTTATCTGCTCTTCTAAGGTGGCAATGGTACGTTTAGAATCTTCGTTGACCTTCAACAGTTGTAACTGAAGTTGTTGTTCGATGCCTTGAGAATGTTGCAATTTTTGCAAGTACTCGTCCCTTACGGTTGCAATCATTTGTTCTTTTTCTAAAACGGCCGCGTTCAGTTTACGCAATTCACTGCTGTAGTCACCGGCGGATGTGATCACACTCTGAAGTTCTTGTTCCAGTCTGCGTTTTTGTTCTTTCAAATCATTGATAACCTCCTCTGTACTGCTTAATTTTCGTTGCAAATCGCCATTGGTTAACTGCAATTCAGTAATACGTTTCGTGTATTCGGCAGCGGAAATTTGATCCATTTGGCATTGTTTTTTCAAGGAATCAAATTCCAACTGTAGTTTATCGATGATTCCGTTTTTGGCACAAATATCATCCTCGAGCTTTGTGGTGACAATGGAACATTTTGTTAATTCTTCTTTCTTCAACTGAAGTTCGGCAGCTAATTCCATCAGTTCTGATTCCTTAATTGCAATCTGGCGAGTGTGCCTCTCGTGTACATCGATGCTGTTGCGTTCAAGGCTTACCTTCGCTTCATTCAGATCCTTTCGGAGCCTTTGAATTTCACTAACGTGACTGCTTATTGTTTTCGTCGCCTCCGCTATTTCGGCGTTCTTTTGCGTAATTTGAATGGTAGACGTTTTTTCGATCTCTTCCCTTTCTGTGATTTTCTCCTTGAGAGTTTTTTTAAGATACTCAATTTCTTTATTGAAAACAATCTCGGCATCTTGTTTACTGCGTTGATATCTCTCAATGTCCACGGATTTCGCGTTGAGGTCAATTTGAGTGGTTTCCAACAACGCCTTCAAACTTCTGAGCTCATCGGTCTTGGTAACCAGCAGTTGGTCCTTGGATTGCAGTTCAGTATCTTTTCTAAGCAGTTCGGCTTTTAATCTTTCTACTTCGATTCTCAGACTACTTTCTTCAGTGTGCGATTCTGTTGTTTTTTTAGTGAGCTGTAACTTTACAAGTGATAGTTCTTCTTTCAGAGACGTTATTTCCTGGTGGTAGATTTCACAGGAAGAGGAACGATCTTTTAGTTTATCTTTGTAATTTGATAATTCTTTTTCTATTTCGAATTTATCTGTGCGACTGGTGGCAACGTTCAGTTTTAGTTCATCAATTTGTTTTGAACTTTGCCGTTGAAGATTGTCTAAAGCCGTTTTTGTGGTTTCCAATTGATGTTTTAGGAACGTTGCAGTTTCTGCAATTGACAATAAAATTAGCTACCTAGATCAAACTACATATAACTATAACTAATAATTTGATCTTGGAATTTTACCTGTTGATGTTTGGTGTTCGACTTGCAAAACGTCACGCTTTTGTACCACCTTATCCAGATTCGATTTTAAAGATTCGATTTCATCGCGAGATTTGACCAACGCTTCTTCCGCTTCAAATAGTTTGCTCGATTCCGTTTCCAACTGATCACTCTTCAGACGCTCCGCAGCAAGTTGTTTTTCCAAGGCAATTATTTTGTGTTTATTGGTTTGGTTGACAACCTACAAAATGAAGAATTCATAAATTTGTAAATTCAAAGATACGATACCTCAACATCGCCTTTGGTGATAGCTGCTTCTTCGAATCTGAACTGTAGATCTTCGTTTCGTCTTTTCTCATCATCGAGTTGAGAAAGTATACTCTGACGATCAATATTCAATTGTGCTAAAGCTCCGGTAAACTCGTTCAGTTTTTTTTCACATTCTAATCGGTACTGGAAGAAAAATGAGGTAAATTATTAATTGCTTCCAAAATATAATTATTGCATCACAAGATCTAATTAAAAAAAAAATAATTAACGACCTACTGAATATTGATAACCGATTAGTACTGCACGTAGGTTGACCGAAATTTATGATCCGCAATAATTAATTTTGCTTAATAAAACATTTTTTTTCAAATTTTTTGGGAAAATATTCCGAAATTTGTGAAAAATATTTTTTCTAAACAACTTACATGTTCGTATTCCGCTTTCAGAGTGGTCAATTTCTGCTGGACCTTTTCCGCGTGATTAGCTGCCCTAGTGAATTCTGCATTTTCCAGATCTCGTTCCTTCAACAGTTGTTCGATGTGGTGCTGTTTTTCTCTAAGTACGTCCTGCCCCAACAATAACATACACACTCTAAATACAAGTTCGCCAGAAGTTCTCATTTTATGGCACCACCACAAAACTACCGCAACATTACTAATAGAACGTTAATTATACTCAATCTTTCGCAAGATCTTAAAGCTCGAACAAGGTGTTAAGTTTTAAGATCTGGTTCTCTGGACGGCCAGATTGAAACTGAAATAAAGTTAAGGCTGTGATTATTAAGATTAGTCGTCGTAGGTGTTGCACCTTATCAACAAATGAAATAAAAATTAATGAACTTGGCAACATTTGCGTAAAACATCTACCACCGTAAGATTAATTTATAATGCTGTTTTAGACGTTTTCCTTTTCTACGAAAAATTACTTAGTGAGTCAAACTGTACCTATCTATAAACTAACTAAAACTTGGCCTTTGGCAAAATTTAGTGGGCGATGGCAATTGCTCTCAAAATCGTTCACCGAGAATCTATTTGGCGTTTTCGAAACTTGAACGGCTTTAACCGGGTTGGTACATTTTGGTATGGTAACAATTATTGCCACAATTGTTTCCATGATTACCTCCACAAACCCCGTTAAATGAGTCGAGTTTTCAAAACTTGCCCATAGTTAAAGAAATCTACTTAAATAAGGGTTTATTTCATAGGTACCGCAATTAATTAACAATAACGTGTATAAGAATAGTACATTCTTCAACGAACGTAGAATAGTGACTATTATTCACGTGGATCATCTAAGTAAATTCTACGCAAATACTTTCTCTAAGACTATGCGACTTATGCCAGAAATGTTGCAGACATTTGCGTATACTGCCTTTTTATTTTTTCGGCAGTAAATTCATTGTGGATACTTCAGCAATTTCTAGAATTTCGAGGGGCGTACATGTTAGATTATTATCAGTATCACTACCACTACTAACCTCTATTGAAAATAATAATAATATGTTCAGTTGCTGCGTAGGCAGGTTCTGATCTTCCACCGACTCCCTGAATACAATTAGAATTAACATAATCAAGTAATGCTTATAACTGAGTAATATAATTAAAAGGAAAATATGAAATAGTAATAAATGCACATACAGTAACTAAATGAGAATAAGATGAAAAGAGACTGAGTAATATACAAAGTAAAGCGGACAAAGAGACGAGAGACATGTTAAGCAAGATAAATATGAATGACAATCTACAACGTACGTACAGGGTCATCAGCTAATATTTGACACGATACAATTTTGAAATACTGCGGAGAAAGGGGCTTGAAATGGTGTATCAATGAAAATTATACGAAACAGCAGTAGAAATGGATTGTGTCTTTTCGTTTCGAAAGGCGACTTACGGAATTGCAAAGTTAATACGCTCTGTCAAAGCAATGTGATTTTTTCATAATACCTACCTACCACGAATTCTGAAAAATTTAATAATAATGGTAGAGAAACATCTTTTTTTAATGACAAATCACTAATCGAGTGGAACCAGGGACTGATAAGACAGACGTGCTACTATAATTCATCTTGACAGATACCCACAATTTCAATAATGCAATTCCTAACAACTAAATTCAATTTTTTGATTTTGAAATCTGTGCTCAACACCAAATAAATGTTAGAGGTAACACTATGTCACTATCCACTGGAAGCATAGTATTTTTCAAGCCTGTAAATTTTCCAGCAAGTAAAAACCGTCGCTTCCGATCGTGAATGCAGGTAAGTTTTCTTAATTACAATGTAACAACGATGTTTGATAAGAAATAAAATACGAGCTGTTGAATGATCTGAATCACGGGTGAACGCAACCGCAGTTTCCACTCACCTATTCAAATAACATAATATTGCAAGTCACCTCGAAATGCCAACATTTGGTTTACACACATCTGGATAGAAAGGGATGGAATTCGGTCTGGGGCATGTACTTTATAAATGGAAGTAGAAGATGGTAGGTAACAGCTGCAAATCTTGATTTGAACACAGTCTAGAATTCTATAGATACTGTGATTTGGGCATAACAATTTATAATAAATTAATAACTGTACAGAATGTTGATAGTTCTTTTCTAACAGCCATCTAAGGTCTCTCGAAATAGACATTTTTTATCATATATTTTTTCATTTAAATACTTCACTAGTCCAAATAGTGCAAGAGTCCTGCCTACGATAATAGCTTTAAATAAAGCTAACTGACAGACAGTATTTTGCTTTTGAATTTTAGCTATTTTCCAATTAGAGAAGTAGAAGACACAGTAGGTGTCCAGATGAGATTTTATGTGCTTATGTAATCTGACCAGTGGTGTATACCCAGTATTCATGATGGCCTTTAATGTGCTGCGCCATATAAACAAGGTATAATGAACCATTAATTCGGGCATTAATTTAAAAAAATTATTCCGTTTATCATGCAATTAATTGTAAATAGTAAAAAAATGGATGCAATGCTATTGTGATTTTTCTGAGCATCAAATTCACTATGGTGACCGTCAAAATCAATATCATTAGTCAGTTTTTCTCCCGAGTGATAAGATTACCAAGTTTGTTACTCATTGTAGATATCCATCAGTAGCTCTTGATAGCTTCAATTTCAAAAAAATACTTCCCCAAGTAGCCATTTTGGTATTATTACCTTGATGAAACCTTCAAATAAAGTTGAAATGATGGAGTAGCCATTTAAAATGAAGGAAAAGGGTGGTGTCGAGGCGTGGGGGGGGAGGTCAAATGTTTGTCCTACTTTCACCATGGGTATGTATTCTTCCTGTGTGCAAGCCATATGGTAAATCCTGGACCTGCTGCTCATGGACAACTTTCCACTAGAGCAAGTTCTAAGGTTCCAACGAAATGTTCAAACTTTATCTTACTCTGGAGTCTGTATTAGCAACCCATAGTTTTGAATCCCCTTGACAATAATGTCCCAGGGCAGACCCCCCCCCCCCTCCACCAGGTCAACAATTTTTCTCCACCATATAATATTATATTTTCGCATCTTACTTCTTTTCTTTTGTTTAGTGTATTAACGAAAGGTGAGCCCTGCGTCACAGTTTGTGAACCAATTTCCAACTAACTCTTTATTCTCTATCACATGTCAACACATGAGCGAGAAAGAGATGGTAACAATTTGAAATAATATGTAGTTTGAAATTGGTTCACAAACTAGTGACGCAGGACTTAGCTTTCATGAATTAAACTGTAAAAAAGTGCTAATTTATTAACAGCGACGTGGGATATGTTCGTATACGATGGATGTGTAGGTTTTCCAGAATTAATCTTCGTGTTTACAGCTACAAAAATTGACTACTCCGTCTATCTCGGTTTGTAATGTCAACATTATGCCAAGATGAAATGTGTTTATATTTGATTAATGTCGAAAGTACTTACGCCGTGAAACTCCATTAATATACAGAAAAGTTCATTAACAACTAGCAAAACAGAATTTTTATGGGCATAATTTAATTTACTATTCTAAATCATAGTACATTTCTAAATTGAAAATGTCAGCAAAGTTTCAAATGACTCCAATTGCTTACATCAAATGCCTTTATATAAACTAAGAGAAACCTTCCCCACTGTATTTTAAACCAAATCAGTTCCAAAAATACCATAGCATTTTGAAGAATAGTAATGGTGAATGGGGTGCTACTATTCACAAACGAAAACTTAAGATGGTGATAAGAACATTTTCAAATATTGCTTTCACGTTATTTGACAATATATATACCTCATAATAACAGGAGAAAAAATTCATGCCATGATGATTAAGAAGAAAAACATTCGAGGAACTAGTGATAAAAAACTGGAAAGTTATGCACTAAATTTTGTGGAAGTTAGTCAATCGTCGTAGTGATATCTACCTTATCCCACATTTTCGGCGAGGATTTCACTAATGAAAACTTATATGTTGCGACACAGTCGATTAGAGTTTAATTATTTTTTTTCGTAAAAACAGCAATATAAACCTACTACAAAATTATACATTAACACGCTTAAATTAAAACATAATGCAACAGTGAATGGAGATTTGCAAAAAAACAATAGATTATTTATTTCTTCAATTAATAATAATCTAATATAACAATTAGTAGCGACATAAATCTAAATTAAATCTTTAATTGTTTACACCTTGTAAATTAGCGGTACAAGTGATGGTAGTTGTGTGGTGGTGTCGCCATCTGCATTATAATCCCTTGAACGTTACCTGTAAAGCACTTCTCGATGGAAAATTGTTTGATGGTGCTTTGGGTGTTACTATCTGTTAATGAACAAATGTCATTATTTTAACGTCTAAATTAGCTTACGGCAAATCAAGTGCAATAATATGTTAGCAATAGCAGAATCTAATGTTAGAATACAACTCTACACTCTCAACACGTACAACACTACCGTCGCTATTGATGGGTTTATTTGATCACTACACATTCAACCTGACAAAATACATATGCGTTTTCCAATTTAAGATCCAAAATAAGCATCTTACGCCAGGAGCCATACGTTATTTTGTGCTGCATATTCTTTTCTCTATCTGTCTATTCGCGTTTCGAGCACAGCCCACAAAAATTCGGCGGACTAGCGACAAGAAACGTAGCGAAAAAGTCGCAAGATTGCCTGTACATAACTTCTTTGAGAGAAGGCAATTAAACTTTGGGAGATGGGATAGAGGCGAGTGAAGAAATTCGAAGAGGCACCTCATCAAAGTGAAGTGACGAAACTAGGGGGGGGGGGGGGCGCAATAGAAAAATCAAAATTCAATAACTTTCACATTCAAAGTATTTAGTACACGACTTGTCAAAAAACTAGAATAGACCTATAAATAAAGACCTTACAAGGCGAAACGCGAACCTAAAAAAAATTTCAAACCGAGGCAATGACAATCGTTTTATTTACAGTGGACGATTGTTAAAAAAAAGCACATCGGATTACTCGGAAAAATCGCAGATCATGACCGTGATCGTACGTAAGAAACTTAGCAATCATGCAAACATCCAGTTCCAAGTTAAGGTCGAATTCGTTTACAATAGTTTCTCTCAAGATTCATTTCATTGTTAAAACGTAACATTTTCACTCTTCCCGATAGCGTAGTTAACGTATTTCTTTGGAAACTATATATTAAAATTAATGGTTTTACCTAAATGAAAAACAGTGCACTTTACTTTCCAACACGTGGAACAAAGAATAATTACCGTTTTACATGTTTATGTAAGAGTTTGAACACTTTGGCTTTTCTTATTCCAGTACGATAATCCTTCTTTGGGGACGTGTACAACAAACCCTTAGCACCTAGTGAATTATAGTTATTTATTATACAAGAAGATAAAGGTGCTTAGTGCTTTAACCATGGAGTAAATAATGCAAGTGAATTAACTTTCACGAAATGGTTTCCCTTTATCGTGATGTATAACAAAAAACTTTATTTTATAGCAGAAGGCAATTTAAGTTAGACGTCAAAAATAGCAAATTAGGTTCAGCCGTCGTTTCTATACCAATATGGGTTTCTATTCTGAACTTCATTTTAATTTATGCTCTCCTCGCCCCATTAAAATGCACAATTATCTGTTTCACTTTATCTACCTTTGCCGTTAAAGTGATCACTTTATCTACTCTTGACTGTAAAAGAGAGCCTACTCATTCAAACCTATTAAAATGTTAATTTCACATCTGCTATAAAACGAAGGCAGCTTAAATACATTCCCTTTGCAATATGGTAAAATAGATAAAAAATATCGGAGCAAACTTGACTTTAAAGAATATAATAATAATAATAATAATAATGGTTTTTATTGGTTAAATAATGGTTCCTACACCATAGCCAATGGGCACAAGGTCAGGTAAACCCGTTGATATGGTCACCTGTTCTTCCCCTTGAAACCCCCTTGTGTAAATACAAATAAATAAAGTTATTCTGCAAGAGTTAAGTTATAGTAAAGTTAACAATTATTGACAGGCAGCTTATCGTTTGGAATTGCAACGGAAACGTAGTGGTTTCAGTTACGTTCGCATTGACATTCACTCTCTAATGATTCACTGTTTGATGTTTCTCTTGAAGACTGCAGCAGGCAGATACAGTAATTTTGTATTTTTGGGGTTGCTGCAAAATTTACAGATGTTGAATGAGAAAGATCGTTTGAATAATAGCTGTCGTTTCAAGTGATTTAACCGAGGATTTAACTAAGTTAAATCAGTTTGAGGGATTGCACTTTGTTTTTTCCGTTTACTATCTTAGACCATATAGCCATGTACTATATGGTATAAGATTGTAAACGAAAAAAACAAATTAAGTTAGTTAAATCACTTGAAACGAATACAGCTAATGATAATTTAAACATAGGAACAGATAGAAGTCCCCTGTGTCTCAAATTTAAGTGGTGCACGTCTGTACGAAAGGTAATTTTACGGTAGAGATACGGGGGATGTTACTGTTTAATTTATTTTCTGAAAAAATAAAGAAGAGTGAACAAGCCTTCTTTCCATCATATTGAGCCAGCCTAGCCTAGCATTGGTAAGGTATGTGAAATCCATTCGTTCGAACTTCCTAATTCCAAATATGAATATGAATTTTGGACACACTAGATTCTATCATCACAGTCTTTGAGTAAATGTTCGGTCCATGTACCACCACGTCACAATAATTGAACCGTGATAGAACCAGTGCATCACAAAGAACAGCCTTCTGCTTGATGCCAAGAATGTGAAGACTAGAATACAACTATAAGCATCGTAAAAGAAATTAAGCCGAAGCAATAAGGTTGTCAATGTGTTTAGTAACCTTAATTTACTACCAATAGAAATGCCTAGATTGTTTACACAATCGGCTATTGGGACAGGCTGGTTACCAATTTACAAGATTATTTTGCCTTGAATGTGCTTTCTAAGTTTATCGCTACAAAACACGATGAAGCAAGATTTAGGTGCATTTATTTTCAAAGAGTGATTGTCCGATGCCTTGGCTACCCTTGCAAGATCTTCGTTGAACTTTGCCACAGAGGAATTCAATTCACTAAAAGGAAACGAATGATATAGCTGTACATCATCAGCATAGAGATGATACTTACAATGGTTTAAACCAGATAACAAGTTAAAGATGTAAAGAGTGTATAACAAGGGTCCAGGGATAGATCCCTGAGGAACACCCCTTTTAACAGGTACAAGAACAGAATGCACGTGATTTAAAATCACTCTCTGGCATCTACCAACGAGATAGTTTTGTATAAAGGCCACAGTTTGCGTAATGATATCATCGAGTACGTTGTACACTGCAGTAGCAGAACTATATCCCTTACGAAAACCTGATCGAAGTATTGGTAGTATGCTACATGAATTTAAAAATTGTCGGAATTGACTTTCCAATACGAGAATCATATTTACATCCATGGTCGTAAACAATATCTAGAAGATTTTATAGATTTCTGTCACATAGCTTGCAAGTTATTGAAGAAAATAGAAATTACATTCGCAATTGTAATGGAACATATATGTACTTGTTGACCTTTTTTTACACAATTTTGAGCAAACACAAAGGCTACTATGAATTGTCTAGGAATTCCATGCCCGAGAATAAGGTAGGCAGAATGTGCAACAGTGGAAACTGTCAAGTTTCTCACAAGGTGGTGAGGTGATGAGTAATCCGAAAAGGCCACGATAATCTACTATCTAGTTTGATAAAAGTAGAACATGTAGTTTTGGAATTAGTCTTTGGCATTCATTTGGAATTTGGGATCTAATGCAAAAAACTTGGCGTATCACACAATCTTTCAATCTCAACTTATCTGTTTAAGCTCCCAATATGTTGTTCCACAGCCCAAGCGTGCACAAACACAGCAGTCAACCTACCTGTGGAGTTAACGAATTCACTCCGAGCCTTACCCGACGTGTATTAGAAGCGGTACTGGTAATCGAGGATGTCATCGACAACATCGACTCCTTCGAACCGGTCCGTTTCATTCCGGAAGGGGGAAGACGAGCGCCCGAATGTATGGCGCAATTTCCGGGTTTATATTTTAAAGGCGACTTACTCACCTTCGTGACTAGCGAGAACAAACCGTACTGCGGTCGACATTCGAAATACCTGCAAGTCTAAGGTTTCATTTCCGTAAGTGGAATGTTCGTAGGATTGCAAAAGTTACCTAACACCTTCCACGGATCCGTCGTTCTTTCCGCGGGGCTCGTCTAATTCAATTCCGCACCATTCTCCGAGCGCGAATTCCGTCGCGCCCATGTAACGTAAGGTGCCGACTTTAGAACCTTGGGTTGACTTTATGATTACTCTATCGCCGATTTTGAAATCGACGTGGTTGGTGGCCGATACCAGGCTTGTGTTGGAAGTACCTAGCAAACAGCGTATATCACCTATTTTGCACTAGAAAACTCTATGAATTCACTCTTACTGAGTGATGGAGATTTTCGCAGACTTTTGGTACTTCCAGTTGGAGATAGTGGACTTCCCACTCGGTGTTTCGCTCCATCACTGACGGGTGTTGTAAAATGATCAGCGTCTTCGGCTTCAGGGAAAGGCGATCGCGTTAGTCGTGTCAGACGTGAAAAGACGCCGCGCTTTGGTTCGCATTGGAAGTAACGTATTCCACTCACTGAACCATCATTCTTGCCTACAATTATCTTGCTAGTTGAATCTATTTTGGTGGCCGTTTCTCTTACCAATCGGCTGGTCTAGTACAATGCCGGCCCATTCGCCGGGTGCAAATTGGGTCTCTCCGATATATGCGATTTGTCCAGGTTTGCATCCACCTACCCACACTTTGTCACCGATTATGAAACTGTCCGTATCTTCCGTCAAGACGCTGCTATCTAAGTTTTCGAAAAAAGGTCGTTTACTAACTACCTAACTCGGATGTAGAAAGTACGGCGGCATGCAAGAAGGAAAAGCAATGAGCGAAGTACCTGAGTGCCGAACGAGACCCGCTTCGTTCAGGCGATGAGGGTGGGTTTCCCAAATGGTGTCCATGGAGCCAACTAGCAGTGCAAAACACAAATTACATGCAAGTGCAAACAAGTAAAGCCACATTATTAGACTGATAGTACATCTACATTGTACTACGTACATCTAAAATCTAAACTAGGTACACGACGAGTAAAAAATACTCACTGCCTCGTTTAAAATATTCGTAAGAACGGCCCGAAAAATTCGTACCCAATCCTCTCTTTAAACTCTACATGCACAAGCACAAGTAAGATAAAGACATCAAACTAATACAAAAGGCTTCGATCAATCGGAAGTCCAACTGACTAACAGCGGACGATTCTTTAGAACTGAGGATCGTTTGAATTTCACGTGTAACATTCTAGTTTTGGTGGCATTAAATTGGCGATGTTTTGTGAGAAATCCAAACAATTCACAGTTTTAATACATCATCCGGTAGAAGCGACGAACCCATCCGGAAATTAAAGTTTTAGCGTTAAGATAAAAATTACCCGTCAGTTTCTGCCTCCCAAAATCGTCGGCGAGACTTCTTAACGTATAATCTAATAAAAAAAAAACACTGAAAACTAGCAGTGAAGTAGGTACTTACACTTTTTGGCATTAATAAACAAATGTGTACGTAACTATAATCACAGATTATTTAAATCTGTGCTATAATAAAGTACGGAGCACAGAGTTCTTAGATGATTTGACAAAGCGCGCAGTACATTTTGGGCTAATAATGAATAATACTCTCCGAATTTGGCACGGTATTCATATTCATAATTTAAAAAAAAATGAATTGTTTTCGATCTCACCTACACGTACGCGGTAAAATTAATCGGATGACACCTGAAATGATACAATCTCCCGGTTTAAATAGTAAGACGTGTAAACAATCTCGACCTTCCCAAAACGAATTTTTTCCATATATTAAGTTACGTCCGCGGACAAACATGGTAAAAATATTAATTTGTATTTAAATTGGGGCGCCCACGATATTATGAAAAATGATTAGGTAATTGCGACATTCTGGCGCTTCGAATTAATGACGTTCGGGATGATGACGTCTTAAAAATAAAGCCCGCAATTACATTTTTAATTGGCGATTTTGAAAACATTAGTAAATAGATTAAATACCATCCCACAAACACGCACCCACCGGTCGTGTTTTACATAAACCTGTTGAAAAGAATGACACCTACTCTAAAAATACGAATTTGTAATCGCAATTTGAAAATGTCGCCCAAGATCCTCCCCCTGTAAGTTGCAATGCGATGCGGATGCAGAAGTTCGACCTTTTCCACTTGACGAAATGCAAATGTTACCTTCGAAAAGAGTATCAGCTTCTAACTGGAGTCAATTACGCAATTATTTAAAAAGCAATTAAAGAGAATTAATTATGGTATGAAATTTTTTCTATAAATTTTTCAATTAACCACTTTTAATTCGATGCCAATCGAGCGTTTTACGAAGATGGAGGAGGCGTAGTATTGCTTTCCTATTTCATGGATGTTGATATTTAAAAGCGTAAGAATGTTAATCTGATTTTAAATATGCAACTGACATTGGGCGGCCCACACTCCCGAAACAAAAAAAAAACATTAATTACGAAATTACCTATACATATAATGTAATGAATTGATACGATTACGCAACTTTTCTACAGAAAATGATGCAAACGAAATGGGAGCCGATTTTGTAAAAAGAAAATACATTTACTACTTAGGTAACTTAGGTATTGCGAAGTTCGGGGAATATAAAAAAATTTAACATTTTAAGATGACGAAATATGCATATACAGAACAGAATATTACCCTAGTAGTCAAGTGCTCAAAACGGTATACCTAATATATGTGTTCTAATAAAGCAATTTTAGAAATAGTGAAAAAATGATGAACCAATACCATACAACACTATATTCAGGAATACTTTTTGAGCAGTAAGCATACAAAATTCCATTGGGCCATTTATTTCTGAAAGGTATGGCGTTTTATATTTTTATTATTAAACCAATTGTTTTATATCTCAACATGTTAAAATCGTATAGAAACATATTTGCATTAAAAATTCGTAAAATAAATTACTTTCTAGAAAAATTTATTTTTACATTCAGATAATACTACACGAATAATCTTTATTATTATTATTAATTATTTATTCTATTGTCGATATTTTAAAATTCAGTTATTTCGTTTTATATACCACATACAGCGTTGCGATTGGGAGTATCCGAACGATTTTGGCACAAATTTTATCTGTTGATGAGACTTGGGTGCATCATCGGGACCCAGAAAAGAAGTTGGAGTTCTTCCCGTCCAAAAAAACACGCACCCAGCCTTCTACTGGAACGCTAATGGCAACAGTTTTTTGGGATATGATGGATGTTCTCCTAATCTAATACATGAAAAAGGGGGCTGCTATAAACCCAGAAGTCTATGGCAACACATTACGAAATCTTCGCAACGCCATTGAAGATAAACGGCCCTCTCAATCTCAGGCCAATCGGACTGCACGACAATTTAAGTAATTGTGCAATAAGGCTCCTAAAATCAAGCCAATTCTGCACAAATCACGCTTCATAGATAACGACCACCCTGCCTACAGGCCGGATTTGGAACCTTCCGACTTTTATCTCTTTCGATTCTTAAAGAAACACCTTCGGAGCCGCCATTTTAATTCGGATGATTTCTCAAAAGCAGCCTGTTGACGACTTTTTTTTGCAGAGCGGGAAGATTTCTTCTGCAGTTTTTTTTCCCAACGGTATTACTTCGTTAAAAGACAAATGGCATTGCAAACTAAAACAATCCTATACAACTTGATACCAAACGATCTTCGAGATCTTCACACACCTATCATTATCATTATTACAACACACCTTAAAACAGGACGCGAATTGAATCGACTCGGATCGACATGACACGACTCGACGCCACCGATCGATTTGCTATGCAAACATTTAAATAGGAATCCGCGCACTGCTTCAGTTCGTTTACGATATCATCGACCGGTTCGGATCGACTACAACGCATAATGTTCGAAGAGGCAAAAATTACCGATCGCCGGCAGACTTTTGACCGTCACGGTTTGCATTCCGCGTTGCAGTCGATCCGAACCTATGCCTATTTACATGTTTGCATAGCAAATCGATCGGTGGCGTCGAGTAGTGCCATGTCGATTCAATGCGCGTCCTGCTGAAGGAGTCGATTGCGTCTCGCCAGATCGGCATGGCTTGTTTTGTTTTACTTTTATTCGAGGCGCCTACATACTAAACTCCATTTAAATATCTTAAGACACTATATGTGTCTCAGTCTCAGTGGTGGACGCTGGGCTACCTAGTCGGAAGGTCGGAAGGTGAATTCCAATTTATACGAAAACGATATCAAACTTGGCATAGTAGCTTAACTGATGTAGATATCGAGAAAACATTTAGAGACACACGAGTTATAAAAGAAACCCTTTTTTTGGAAGTTTGGACAGTGATGGGACTGTAATTTTTTTTGCCCGTTCGTCTACGTAGCTGAAAAACAATAGTGACCTCATTAATCAAACTGCAAATTCATGAAAAAAGTATCACTTTCAAAACTAATTTTACAAATATGTCACTATACTCGATACATTCCAAATTTTATAATGAATGCGCTGGCAGTTGCATCCGTAATCCATTTTCATCATTACTCAATTGTCGTCCTCTTTCAACCGGTAGTTTTTCTGCGCAAAACGTGAGTTTCATCGATTTCTTCCTTTCACTTCAAACAATTGAACTTTCCAAATCGAATTTTTTTAATTACGCCCTGAATTCGAAACAACGCGAAGGCGTTCTGACCACGCAAATACAACCTTCTTTATTTAGGCCATTACGGAAATTAAGAGGACATTGTCGCACGTCAACATTAATTGGACTAAATAAACGAAATTTAAAATACACATTTTTCACAAAGAATACCAACGCCGTTCTCTGATAAGGTGGGTACGGTACACATTGTTTATTAATGAGAATACTACATGTAGTAGGTACTTCTTACCAAAACTGTACATATCCAAAACGTTTACAACAAACAAATTACGTAACGAAATCAACACATGCAACACTACTAAAAGTAAATGGTAGAATGAGTCTTTTCCTCTAAACTAAGTGAGAGCTCTCTGGGAAATAATCAAAGTGGCGGAGGGTGGAGGGAACATTTTTTTCTACGACGTGACCAATAACTTTATAATTGGTGGATAGGTGTTGCCGTATAACCTGTCATTAATCACGAGACGGTGTGTTTTTCCCGAAGAGATACACAATGGACTACAATTAAGCAGATAATTAACATATACGCACATCTTGACACGTGCAAATAACGCCTTCCATGTAAGTACCAGCCACGTGGGCTGCTGAATGATAAATGGATCATCAGGTGAAGATTATGCAATATGCAACGCTCTTTTTAAGTATCACTGTCACGCTGTTCATTCAGTAGACGTGAGACCATTTTAGACACACACACCCTTTGCCGCAAACAAAAAATGTGGCCCTTTCTTGCACATTTTTTTTGACAAAGTCTTTCAATAACAGAAATTACGTATGATCTTGATTTTAAATACCTATTCACGGTATAGGTACGTATCTTTTAAAAAATCAGTGCTAGTCAGCGGTACTTATACCTATTTCTCAAAATTTATTTGACCGACTTGTTTTTATTTTCATGAAAGTAATTGATATAGATATCACGATTGGCTTAAAATTGGTCTGCGTAGTGGGTAATCCAATCATTTAAAAAAGTTCTTGACGAGAATTAATCAGAGAAGCGCATTCATGGGGACCAATTTGATCTCACATAATATGGTATTTTGTGCTGCATTTTATTATTTTGTTTTGTAAATGAAAAAAATCGACTAGTTGATGATAAAATTAAAATTTCACCTTCCTCGTAAATGACTTATGCCCTTACTTACATTAATTAGCTCATAATGCCATTTTACAGATCTTGAAAAGTTCATTCACAGACTATTCAATGCTATCGAGTTATGGACTTTTTACGTTTATACGTAATTCTCTTTATTGCCAATTTTAGAAAACGATAATTAAACATATCAAATTTTTTTATAAAAATTGCAGTAACAAATAAAAAACTTAAGAAACATGTCAATAAAATGGATCGTAAAAATTGGTCAAAACCCACATTTATATACTACATATTAGTATAGTAGGTACGTAAGCAATCAAACAGCGTAAATCCCACGTTGGCAGATATTTTAAGGGCCGAGTCTGCGTTCTGACTACGTTGAAAGCCCTAACCGAACAATAGTGAAATGAAAGTATTTTTTATCGTCACACAATTTTTATGCAAAAACATCTAGCACCAAAAAAGTAGATGGCATTAATGGTGCCGGTTTAGTATGCGGTCTACCGACCCAAACTGAATTTAGTATGCGGTATGCGGTCTACCATGTTGCTAGTGGTTTACGTTAAGAAATTCTCTGTAGTCTTGATAGTGCTGGATTTATTATTTAAAATGTTACTATGAGCAACAAAAAATTTATTCAAAGTGAACAAGTTTTTAAGTGGACCGATAGAAGCGAGATAGAAGTATCACAGGAACGGTTTGGAATTTCGATTTGGGACTCATTACCTTTTTTGAATAAACCGATACAATGACACATCGAAGGATCCTCAGTATTACAATCACTTTTAACGACAATTTATTTTAATCTTAGACACGAGTTTATGTTAAACACGGGCTTAGCGAGTGTTTAATAACGAGTTTCTAGAGAAGTTTATAAAACGCGTTACATACTATCACAGATTTAAATACTTTTTCTAGGAGAATTCTGTTGCCGTTTTTATCTTTTCTGATGGCATGTTCGAATTCCTCATAAAAATCAGTATGACTTTGTTTATGATGCTGTCTCACTGACACGGTTTCGAAGTTAGTTGAGATTTTTGATAGATTTTTACGCTATCAAATGTAATTGGTCTGATTTTCAAATGTGATTCGAAAAGAATACGAATAAGCGTTTGGCCAAAAACTCGAAAATTTCAATTGGAAACCATATCTTTACTATGCATCAATGGAAAGAGCCATATGTAGACAATTTGCCACTGAATGAAGCTGTCGATGTATTTTATCAAAATGATGGTTCCTCAGACAAATTTTTGATGATAGGCGAGTTGCCAATAACTGGACGAAGGAGATTTACACTCTTCACGACTAAAAACAATGCAGTTTGCTGCGACGCGCTGCTCAGCGATGTTCTAATATACGCCAAGAAAAAAGCCTTTTAGTCTCAAAAGTTGGTAGTTCGTACAGCAAGAATGCACCTACATTTTTAATATCAAATCAAATTGCAGAAACGTTGTGTAGTCATTGATTTTTGATACGGCAGTCGGCAATAAGTAAATATCTACATTCGAAATTCACAGTTTTCATGCAATAGATGTACCTACCTACCTAATCAATATTCAAATAATACCTTAAGCAATAAAGGCATTTCAACTATTTAACCATTAAACCTAACCTAACCCAGACAAGCAAATAGGGTATTTCTTTGATTACCTTTGTTTTTAATGGCATAACAATAAATGATTAGTATATATTCGATTTCATATAACAGTAAGACCTCTGGTGGCAGGCAGTACATTGCAATAATACAGTTCGAAGAAGACGCCATTGGGATAGCGTTTCTTTATTTACATTACACCGCATTTACAAAAGCACAATTAAGCTGTCGTTAGATAGTCATCTTGGTAGATTTCATTTAAAACGACATCTTTCCAAACGTTTTAATTGTGACCAGTGCAATTGTGCAACCAACAATAAGGATAATTTAAGGAATGATCATCTAACCTCTGACGTATAACATTTCCAAAGTTTTTAATTGTGGACAGTGCAATTACAAAACAAAAAATAGGATATATATATGACGTCATTCTTTGACACACTCCGCTTTGAAAAACGCTACAATTAATAACGTTCACCTAAAGCATCACCGAGAGCATCACCTTCCTTCTCAAAAAGTTGATTTGCGATCAGGGTAATTACGCTACTCGTGTTAAGTACAAACATAGACCAATTAACCCGAAAACCTAATCAAAGATGTGCCACCACTCTTTGTAACTCTATGGTTGCTGAGAAAATAATTAAAATAGGAAATGCAAATTTCACCACTTTTTTGAAGGTGCCTCCCAAACGAAACACCGAGCGAAACACGTTGGACCCTCGGTTTATTTTGAAAACGTGCTTGTGTTAATCCCTACGGTTAATCCCCTCTACAACCCAAGTTTTTTTACATACTTATATGGAACGCCCTGTACGAGGCCCTGTATAACTTGTCCTGACTCAATGTTTCCGTTTGCATTTTTTTAAGTAAGTAGGTTTATAATGGTTACACTAGGGCACTAACAAAATGATGCCCCATTATTTTGCAATTAAAGAGAATGTTTTTAAATACTTGCAATTGGATATTTAAAGTAGTAGTCCTCGGCATTGAACCCGTTTAAAACGTTTCAGAAAAATTTGCATGTCTATAAACAAGAATACAAAGTAAAGGAGTGATACTTTAATTGGGACAAGGTCTATTATAGGCATTTACCTCACAGGTTGAAAGGCGAAGGGCAACCGGTATAGATAAAATATATACATATTTATTTATGAACAATACTATTTGCATAACGATGAGCAAAACCGGATGCCGCTTACCTACCTCGTAAACTCCAAACACGAACGACAATTGAATCAATCAAAAACGGTAGCAAAACGCGCATTAGAAAACGAAAAAAAAGTTTAACTCACATTTCGTAGGTGTCGCCGGTACAGCTGGCTTCTGATGGCCTGCACAAGGTCTTGCTATCCTTGACAGCGACTGTATTGAAGAAGACTTCACCGGCGGTACGCTTGTTATCTTTGGCTCTTTTGAAACGGAATATTCGTCACTGTTCGCATTACTATCACAGACACTTTCACAATTTGGAGCACCTGCGGTACTGCCCTCAATGATTTCTGAACACTGATCACTTACAGGTAAAGGTGCTTGTTCTGGCGTTTCTTGAAGTGTGTCCATATTTTGTCCCTACAGTAAAACGTTTTGTTTTCGTTAATTTTGTATTTTTATATTAATCCCAAACAGGTGAGTTATATCAAAGCAAGCGTTAGTCTCTGCATCCGGTGAATGATAGATAAAATAAATAAATTAAACAAATATATCAAACGAGCTCCTGGGTATGGCTAGAGCATGTGCAAAACCAATTTTTAAACCTGATGTTAGTTTTGCTTTTATTTAAAGTGTATACAGGGTGATTCCTATAGTACCTGCCACCGTTTGGGAGCGTATAGGGGGTGCCTAGGGGAGTATTTTGATATAGAACACTTGGGGTCGGAAATCTAAAATAAGGGCGCCAGAACCAAATTTATCTTCTGGAATTTCACGCCTGTATGTAGGCAACCCAACCGACCGACGTTTCGCGCGGAGCGATGCAGAGCGAGTTAGCGCGAGGAAGCGACATGGGAGGGAAGGAGGGAAAACGACAGTCAAAAGCAATAACGTTTACAAGTGTTCAACGTGGCCACCGTTGTTCTCAATGCACTTCCTACATCTAGCCAACTATTATTATACTATTGCCATAGTGTTTATTCACTTGATACGCGTCGTTGCAGACGGGATTTCGTGGGTTTAAACAAAATTCTGATCAAGTGTCAGCCACACATCGCCGCCTGAGATCGCTCCGTGTGCACCGCCGGCCGGTTGGGTTGCCTACCTACAGGCGCGAAATTCCAGAAGGTAAATTTGGCTCTGGCACCCTTATTTTAGATTTCCGACCCCAAGTGTCCTATATCAAAATACTCCCCTACGCACCACCTACACGCTCCCAAACGGTGGCAGGTACTATAGGAATCACCCTGTATGTATGAAATTTCATTTAATTGCTTAAATAAATAAGGAAGTTGCCCCTGCACATCCTACACAAAACGAAATTTGGAAAATGGCACTACATTTGCTTTTATTCCAAGTGGCTACGTATCAAATTTCATTTAAATACCTTCATAAATAAGAAATTTGGCAATTAGGCCTGTAAATGGTCGAGATGCGCAAAGGCCAAAGGCCACTGTGAATGCTGATCATTGATCAATTAGGCTCAACTTTTGGAATTGTGTTTTATATGCCTAAAGCTATGCGCGTATTGAATTTCATGCAATTCGGTTCATAACTAACGGAGATGTCAAGAGGGCCTACTTTATTTTTTGGTCTACATTGCCAATTCACGACCTCCGATCTACAAATTTGATAAAGAATCCACCTGCAAAATTTCATCGTAATCGGTCCATTCGTTTATGAGTTATCGTGCTAACGGACGGACGGACAGACACCGCAAAATTATAAACTCGCTAGGAGTTAGTTTGTTGCGAAGTGTAAATTGTAAAGTTACTGTATTGAAAACTTCAGCATGCGGGGAGCTATACGAAAAAAACACGTTTTATCAAAGTTTAAAACTGCCAATATGTTGCTAAAGGATCAAAAAAATTTATTTAAAAAAAATGACAAAGATCGGTTGGAAAATGTTGACACTATAGAATTTCAAAGATAACAAACTGCACGAGGCCGGCGTGCCCAGCGCTCGTCGTCGCATTCCCATAAATTCCAAAGGACTCCCAACTACCCAACGCAGATGATACGAACCGAAGAGGCCGACAGCTTCACACAACTTATCTATACCAAAAGTGCTTAAGCGAGAACAAATTTATTCCCAATTTTGTGGCAACACTAATGAAACCTAATTAAACTAAAACCGAGACTAAAACTTTGTTGTTGAAAAATTGAGGAGATCAATTTCTAGGTTTCGAAGAAGTAGGTACTTCCACCAGTGATGACCTTACAGATCGTTATACAGCCATATGAAAATAAAATGGGATTACAGATTACAACACATGAGCAAACTGTAAGTGAAAAATAGAACAGTCCCCTAAAATACAACGTTCAATGGGTAATTTTGAAAATTCTCTCGGCGTAGGGACTAACAGTCCTCGATCCTCAAATGGAAAATAATATCCGAGATAATATCGTGATAGAGTAAACATGTAACACTAGCAAAGAGACATAATATGGTTCTTGGAAATGAAAAGAGATCGGTGTTCAAAGTTGGCACTTTAAAATTTTCAATTGGGGCGACTTTAAAAATATGTAATTTCATAGAGAAAATTTAACAAAACTGACCCCTTCAAAGTTGTTTGCACAGGGAATCCAATTTTCATTTAAAAACAAACTGTATCACAATTCCATTAATAAATCAAAGGCAAACATAATGATATATACCTATCTAACACTTGCACTCTCACATTCCTTCACCATAGAAAGGCAACTTACCATAATATTATCTCGAATATTATTTAAGGAGAATAGTCATTTGTAACTAAAAATGAGTATGCAAACTACTAAATAGTATTCCATTCAACTATTTATTCTCAGTGAGTTATTTATAAAATGTTTCGACGACACCACTTGGAACTTTTCCAATCATAATTACCTAGTTCCCAATTCTTCGCAAATAATAAACCTTGACATTGATGGTCTTATTATTTAGCAAGTGATCTCGAAAACAGAAGGGAGTGCCATTGCATTTAGCATTTGAATCATACCTAGAGACAGCAAATTGGTGCATAAAAACAAATTAAGGTTAATTGAATTAGTGACCGTGCCCTGCCTCCGATTCTAGTTTCCATAAATGAAGAAATATCGTTGATAGTAGCGGATGGAAGAGAAGATTTTTGAAGAAACATAACCTTACATTCTGTTTAAGAATTTCAATTTTTACACAATTTGAAAAATCTTGTTTGGCTTACACATTACACTGCCATTGACCCTTATTCTACTTAAAATAATTAAAGGTATTATCGGCGGTATCAGTAAGTAAACAGGAAACAGAGACTTTAATGCCTAAGCAAGATAAATGAAGATACTTTTGAAACTTACCAAAGTTACAGAAAAACACACAAACGAATTACAACAAATGAAAAGACGTAGAATATAAATAATAATAAAAATGTTGAAATGTTTAAAAATTTTTATAAAAATTAAAGGCACGAAGAAAACAGTTATTGCGCAGACTCACGTAACGTCAACGTGACAACCAAGCACGTCTCGCGCTTGCGCACAAGTAGTTGCCGATCTGTCATCCTTCTCATAATGCGCTCGCGGTGTTGTCGGCATACGTAACAATTTACAATAAATTATTAATTAAGATAATGACCACTAAAAGTTTAAATTCGCTTTACGTGGAAATACTACATCGCGGACTGCGGAAATGAAACTACTGTACAAAAATGTCGACAAAGAAGGTGAAGGGTACGTATGTTTACCAAAAGTGAGGTTACATCACATGATTGACACCTGTACATTCTTGGTTATACCTTTAATGCCCTCTCAATTCACGTTTACTTAGGACTGTTGGTCTCATTGCGGAGGAACCTGAGGATATGTGGCACGCTTACAACCTCATATCGGAAGGCGATTCCGTTCGGAGCACTACCATACGGAAGGTCCAATCAGAAACGGCGACAGGCTCTTCTACTTCAAACCGCGTCAGAACGACCTTAACTATTTGCGTAGAAAACATAGACTTTGATACTCAAGCGTGCGTGTTACGTCTCAAAGGCAGAAATGTGGAAGAGAATCAATATGTCAAGGTACTATCGTATCTCAATGCAAATCACCCAATATTAGTTTTAGATGGGTGCGTATCATACACTGGACTTGGAGCTAAACCGTAAATTCTCCCTAAAGAAACACGAGTGGGACTCGATCGCATTGGAAAGGATAGACGTTGCGTGCGATCCCGTACAAACTGCCGATGTGGCGGCTGTAATAATGCAGGAAGGTTTAGCTCACGTCTGCTTGATAACGTCAAGTATGACATTGATCCGTGCGAAAATTGACGTAACAATTCCTAGAAAGCGCAAAGGTTTTGTGCAGCAGCACGAAAAGGGTCTCGCTAAATTTTATGACAATGTCATGCAAGCTATATTACGTCACATCAACTTTGATATTGTAAAGTGTATTTTAATAGCATCCCCTGGTTTCGTACGGGATCAGTTTTATGAGTATATGTTTCAAATGGCAATTAAAACCGATAATAAAGTACTCTTAGATAATAAATCAAAATTTATGCTTGTGCATGCCTCGTCCGGATTCAAACATTCACTAAAAGAAGTACTGCAGGACTCGGCGGTGGTCAATAAAATTTCGGATACGAAGGCGGCCGGCGAGGTGAAAGCCTTGGAGGGCTTCTACACCATGCTACAATGCGAACCGGCCAAAGCGTTCTACGGGAAACGACATTGCGAGAAAGCGAGCGAAGCTCAAGCAATCGAAACGTTACTTATTTCTGACAATTTATTTCGGTAAGTCAAAAACCCCGAAGCAAAAAATAAATCTTACCTATTTAAAAGGTTAGTGCTAATTGATCGCTGTATTTTCAAAAATTTGTTGCTCATTAGGAACGACAGTACATTAAAAATGAAATGGTGCTGGTCTTAATTAAGGATGCCGCAGATACTCCACTTATCCGGCCAATTTTTACAAACCTAGGATTTGCGGGATAGTATTTATTATCCAGCTTTATTATTCTGCTCTTTCAGGAATTTTTGTTTTGCAATTTATACATGTAGTTTTCCGTTGCCTCGTCAATTTCTATGGAATACCTTTGTGGCAGCTTTGAAACACTGGTAAAAAAATCACCAATTAGCAAAATTTAGGCATATAAAATGTGCATTACTAATTCGTTTACAAGTACATTCACTATTCATAGTATAACAGTTGGCTCTTATCCCTGGCCATGCATTGGGATCTCAGAATCCTTCAGAGTTACAATTACGATTTAATGGGCAAAAATGTTCCTATTATCGCCAGAAATTGCATCACGATATTGTTTTGTTTGAGAAAAAATGTTCATTTTTGCGTACATTACATTTTTTACCCTAGTGTCCAGTATCTATTTTACAAATTCGCCAAAAGATCCCCTTTCATACAAGGCAAAAAAAATATATAGCTATTGCTACAGTAGAATCCCTTAATTGAAATTACATTTGAGCTTTGCAATTTAAATCTACGCAGCATGCGTCAGAAGATTAAAACTGATCAAAACTTCCGAAGATATGCCAGAAACCAAAAATTTACAGCTTTCGGTTTTATTTTTTCTGATGTTATTTGAATAAATACAAAAAAAAGCCAACAATTTCCAACTTTTGTTTTTTTTGTGTGTCATATATCTTTGTATTCGTAATAAAAAATACTAAGTATTTAATACAGTGTGTACTTTTTTACGGGCCGTATAAAAAAATAAACTTGATGATGTTTTCTCCGAAACGAAATGTTGTATTGAAAATCTCTCAACGCTGTCTTGTAGAGATCAAAAAGTGGCAATGAGAATGTGTTTATTTTTTTTGTATTTGTTCAAATAACATCAGAAAAAATAAAAACGAAGTTGACAAAATTCGATTTTTCTGGCATATCTTTGGAAGTAGTTGGAATTTTATAGTTCTCTTTAATTGCGCATCTTTTCTTTAATTTAACCATCGTCGTATCTTCTATGGTTTCGGAGATCCCCATGATGGACGTCCTTATCTTGGACACAGTGTATGTATACAATATGTTCAAATGAATGTAAGAAATAAATATTAATTTGGATTATCCGTGCTTCGTTCTACTGTAGTTACGATATATATCATTTGCTGACATTTGGGCAAGATTTTGAGAGCGGCCGCAAAGATCAAGTTAGGCAACCAATTATTTCTGCAATTAAAAATATGAAACTGTCTTGATCTGATTTGCAAAAGTTGAATGCTCTCCCACATCTGCAAATTTGGCCATTCAGTATCTTTTATCCATTTTTACACAACAAAAAGAAAGAGTAAGTAATTAAAAAAACAAAATTCTTACGCAAAACCCACATAAGCAAATAGATTACTTAATCAATATTCCTTTCAGATAAAGTGTTACTTAACCCTGACAATATAATGGATATAAGACCCTTTGATATAATCATTAATCTCGAATCGCTGTATTAGTGAAACTCTTTACAGCACATGACGTTTACCCTTAGTAGTTTTACATAGTTTCATCTGGCCCTACCCACTTTTTAATGTGTCATTTTTTATGATCAACAAATTTTTGAATAGAGTAAGAGTGTGTATGGTGGATGTGTATGATTTTTTTTCTATTGACGGAAGGTGAGCGATTTAATGGACATTCCCATAAACAAAAGTAAAAGAATAATTGTTTCAGATGCGCCAATGTCGCTTTAAGAAAACAATACGTTAAATTAGTCGATAGCGTCCGCGAGGCCGGCGGCGAAGTAAAAATATTTTCAAGCATGCACATATCTGGGGAACGTAAGTTTGATTTGTAGTTAATCTGAAATAATAATATTGCACTTGTAGAGCTAGATAATTTAACAGGCGTGGCTGCAATACTCAGATTTCCAATGCCTGAATTGGAAGATGAAGAAAGTGACGACGAAAATTGAATATTTATTGTAAATCGCCTTATTTAAAATGGTTCGTTGTAGTTGCATTGTAAATTATTCTTTTTGTTTAAATTTAGTCCAATTTTAAAGTGTAGAAGAACGTGTTTTCTACTGTTTATAAATGACAAATGTTAGTCTTTTGTAAACCGCCAAATAAACTACGGAAATTTTTATTAGACGCTTTATTATTTTTTAAAATACATATATACAGTGCTAATTTGTTTTTGCCTTCCGGTCGACCTTTTGCTTCTCTTCAATTAATCGACGTTTCTTTTTCAATAACCATACTTCTTTTGACCTCTTCTTCTTACCCTCCATCATACTTTTATACAATCTTCTGTGTTTATTCTTTACCATTTTTTCCCTTAAACGATATTCTTGCTTTTCTAGCTTGCGTTTTTCCCAAGGATCTTTCTTTTCAACTTTACCAGCCTTCACCGACAGTTTCTTTTTCTGAAACAATTTCTATTTATACCATTACATCTAATAAAATTTGCTTGCTAGTGATAAGACATCGGAACACTTTTTTAAGTTTGGAAAAAATACTGCTGGGAAGGATGTATAAAACAAATGAGTGGAAGAATGGAGAGGGGGTTATGTCTGTAGAGTGTACAATTTTAACCCTTTAGGTCTGTAGAATTCTAAAATTTATTGTGGGGTAGTCTACTTTTCTTTAACTTTCCTCCCTTCTTCTCTTTAACGAAGTAGAAAAAATAATTAGCAGCTTTTACATACAAATGAAATGTTTGAGCTCGCTCCTTGGTGTTCTATAAAATTGTTGAGCTGACCAGGTCCATTTTAAATTAGCTCACAGCTAAAAAGCAATACTTACAATTGGTTTTAATAAAAAAAAACAGTTCTTAGTTCGAATGAAATTCATAAAGAAAATTGAATTTGAATTAAGTAAATCAAATCCGCTGTGAGCTAAATCAACAGTTTGTGCACTTGCCTCCCTTAAACATGCTTCAAGTAAGGAGAGTAGCCTAAATGAACTTGTGGTTGGTCTTAAAACAAAACCTCATACATAGTGACGGAGGGGGAGGTTTATGTTGTAATACTGAGTATAACAAATGTAGTTAAACGCAGTATTATGCAAATTTTTAGCTTGGGCCTTTCTAATTAAAAATACAAATTACCTAATACTTACCGTAATTTGTAGTGATTTATCTAAACTATCTTCTTGTTCTTTCTCTTGTTCATCCTCATTATCAGATTGTTCCTTTGCTTTATCATCATCAGATTTTTCCTCCATTTCTTCATCCTGTGCCGTATTTTTGGCAAGTTGTGCATTCGGGTTCTGCAGCAAGATCTCCTCAGGAGGTACATACTGCTGATAAGAATCTCTATCTTTGTCGACGAATGGAGACAGATGTGGAGGAAGAACTTCCCCAATGAAATACTTGTTGACAGGTAACAGCTCTCGGGCGTTTATACAATCAAATACCCATTGAGGTTGCACATAATACCGTGAAATGAACTGCTTGTCGATGACTGGCCTATCAACAATTTGATGTGTAATGGATTCGTCATCTTCATCAAATGTAGAACCAACGAATAACATTTTATCCCATGAAACTTCGCCACCACAACAGCGAATCACAAATACTAACGCTTCTCTGGGAACCTCTCGATTTAAAAAAAATTTCAGACCACCGAACAATGACTTTAATTTATTAATTTTTTCCGCTTCCTTCTTCGCTTCTGCAATTTCTTCAGAATTAGCATCTAGGGGAAATTCGTCCAGTGCCACCTCTTCCTCTGTCTGCAACACTGTTCGATGTAATGGAATGTTTAAGCCAGCTATCCGCTCGGCTGCCAATGCCTCCTTATTAACTAAACTTCTTTCAATTTGTGGTACGTTACGGATATTCAACTTCGGAGGATAGAATAAATTTAGAGAGTTATACAGTCGATAATTAACGAAACCTAGCATGATGGTATAAAATTCGATGAACGTTGACATAATTTTGAAATCCACCTCTCCTTTTTGAGGTTGGTAGCCAAATTGGTGCGGTACAATCCACGTGATTGTGACTCCCTTTATCTCTACTTGATAGTAATAGCCTTTAATGGAAATGAAAACTTTGCGGAGTGCCTTTGCTTCGATGACCGCATGCATGAACTCCACTGTCAAACGACGACACAAAGCGAAATGTTCCCTATCAACGTGCTCCAGAGACGGAAACGTACTGAACAAGAAGCATAATGTTAAGCAATCATCCAAGTCACGCAAAGCGTCAATATATGTGGGATATCTTTCTTTAACGATATTGTTCAGTTGCAGTTTGGGATGCTTCTTTAATAACCTGTGCATTTGTCCAAACTCTTTCGTTGTCTTTGCTATTTCAACTTTTCGGAAAAACACCTTCATATCACGTAACTTCCATATTATTGGCTCCTGCAATAAGAACAAGATGTCTTTGGTGTGGTACAGGGTTTTAATGCCCGATCTCCCTTTCTGCGCCTTGTTTCGGTTTCTGGGCTCACGAGGGTAAATGCCTTTTAATATGCATAGCCTTCGGAAGTCTTTCAAAGACAATTGGAGTTTCTTTAGCGCTCCCTGTCGAGTTATGTATCGAGCACCTTCACCTGAGGTGAACTAAAAAAGTACAATTACTCTTCATTTATTGCTGAAATAAGGTTACATACCTTCTTTTTTCTCTTTGCAACCATCGCAAACACATACAACAAACCAAAAACGAAACGTGTAAATTTTTAGGTTAAGTAAAATGGCTCAAGTACCAGCACTAGATACAACACATACATTTGGACGTGACTCAATTACTCCTTAAGGTGTCTGCCCACTAAAACGTATCATACCATGACCGTTAAATGTTTATTCATTTATGAGAATAAATACAGAGGAACGTGTCAGGAAAAAAATTACGTTTGTATTATTATTATTAGGGCCATTAGACCGTTTTTCATGTACGTTCTGGTGGGTCTAGTAATCCGTGCAATGTTACTTTCCGCACCCTAGTCCTAGCTACGCCACTGTATGTGGCAATTTAATCTTAAATTTCTACTATATCTAGCTAGATAAAATAAAAATGTCCCCTGGTATTAATCAATAGTATAAGTAGGTATTAATAATATTTCTTTAAGACTATAATACTATAATGGCAAATTGAAGTTTTGTGGATAGTTCAAAATGCGCGCGCTCCAGGAATACCACACTAACGTCGTACCAACAGAAAGTGAATATTTTCAATTTCATTCAATCAGTTTTGTTTGAAGTATGGCCGATTCTGTTGAGTTGCGTATGAGTGTAACTTCAATAAAAAGGGTCGATCCTTACGTTAAAGACATTCTTGCTACTTCAACACATGTAGCCCTTTACAAATTCAATCCAATAATAAGCGAATGGGAAAGAACTGAAACTGAAGGTGCCCTGTTCCTTTACAGCCGAAGCGGGGAACCATGGCACAGTGTAATGATTATGAATAGATTGAATACTAATAACTTGATTGAACCAATAGTTAAGGAATTTGAATATCAAATGCAACCCCCGTTTTTACTCTATCGCAATTCTAGAAATAAAATTTACGGCATTTGGTTTTACAATCGGGAAGAGTGTATACAAATTACGTACTTGTTAGAATCTCTAATGGAAGGTTTGAAAGAGAAACTGATAGAGAAAACGAAATCTCGCGAGATGGGTGTCGATATTTTTAGCATGTTAAGCAAAGCCCAAGAGGATTTTAACAATAAAACTCCTACCAAATCAGAAATGCTTTCCCAACCTCAATATTCATCGACTCCGCGTAGTGTTGACATGCCTTCACAAAGTGTAATGGACTTTTTCGCAAAAGCGAGCACTAAACCTGTGAAACCCGCTGTTGTCACACAAGGTGAAAGTGAAAACTTATTGCAAAAACTGATGAGTAATCCTGCACATAGCGTTGAACACATAGAAAAGCAGCAGCGGTCGGTTACTCCACAAGATCGCAAGAACCTGCCTGTCTTCTTCCCTTCAAACAACATAAGTTTAGACAAAGATCACGAACCGCACAACGGCTTAAGTTTTATAGGAGGGGCTTCACCAGCACATCAGCAAGTTTCGCCGTTAGCTTCTTTGTTGGCTCATAATCTAACGATGGATGAAACCGAAAGACGCTGTTCGCCCTTAATTCATTTTGACACACCTCAAAAACCCCAACTAATGCCACCCATGATGTTCGCAACGTCGACTTCAAAGGAGAAATCGGAATATTCCCAGCCGGATAAAGAAGTGGACTTATTGACGAGTAATCAACTGGTGCAGGCGTTAATACATTTATTAAAAAACGACACAGACTTCGTTGCCAAAGTGCACGAGGCTTATACCAAATCTGTTAACGAGAAGCTTAACTGTGCTAACGGGAATTTGTTTAAGTAATTTCAATTTTAATACTGTAGAGAAACGTTAACATTTAATATATTCGTAATTTATTAAGACATTCAAATGAAACTTGATAATTTTATTAGTTTTATTTTCGTGAGTTTTTCGTCGAGGGACCTATTTCCAGTGATTTTAAAAACGTGACCCAAACAAGTCACTTTTATTTTTAAAAAATGTAAATCTTTTTAGCTTCTTTTCTGAGGCATTCGAATATATGTACATGGCAGACTTCAATATTACATGTATATAATGTATGAATAACTTGTATAATCCTCTTAAGATTGATGTCTAGCATAACCCCCAAAAAATCTACTCATTTAAAATAAGGAAAAAGAGGGCGAATGTAAAATGGCAAACTTATACCTACCTAGGCATGTGATATCTCAAAATGTGATCGGAATTAATGACCATTCAAAGCACATTTATTGAACTGTAATTATTTATTTTTGGTGATCTACTAAAAGATCGATTTAGTTAACAATTACTTTTCATTTAGGTATATCCTACTGGTGTAACATAAGAAAGTTAATGACTCCAATAAAAGTATAAACAGTATTACTATAGTCAGTTATTTCTACCACAGTGTGATATCTGTCGTAGTCTTTTAGTGAAATCTGTCATTTTACGAAACGCCCAGTCATTGATATGAAACTGTGGCACAGTGTACTTCCTAGGGCCAAGCGATGAAGTCTCTTCTTCCTCTTCAAGATCGATAAATGGTATCCCTTATCGATCTAGAAGGGAAAGCGGAACTACTCTACACGTGAAATTATCAGCGTTTCACTAAATGACAGCCTCGTACTAGGTTTTTTGTGAAATGACGGATTTCACTAAAAGACTACGACATATCCTGTCTACGATTCTTAAACACACTGGACATGGACTAATATTATATATTTTTAATTTGAATGAAAGTCAATTTACTTACTAAAGGTCCCACAGTTTGGAACAGATGCCGTAGAGTTGAATTCTACATAAAAGGACAATTGAACGTCTGCAGATGTTCATGTATAAGGGCGACTCCTACACTACCCAGAGACCGACTCCAACACAGGGTTACAAAATGTGGTAAAGGGCTCTTTAAGAAACATTTGCAATATCTTTATTAATTTTTTCCATCACTCTCGCAATAAATCTACATACTGCTACCTCAGTGCTCTAGGTATGTACACCGAAACGAAAGTACACACAATAAGTTCTACTTTAAGCTGACCAAGACCTATTGTAGCTGCTCTAGACTTCTACCACTTGCAGTCCAATAAAATAAATAACACCGGCCATATACAAATTTCAATTCGCTACCTCGCCTACTACCATCTAGTGAATGCAATTTTGAGCCGAGATCTCACTTGATTAGAAAATTACAACCTCACGTCTCGGGTAGTTTTCGAAAAAAAATATTGTTTATATTGGATAATTAGAAAGAAATGAAAGCTACTAACATAACATGTGATTATGAAGTTGATCAACACTGTGGCACCAGGGTGAGTAAACTATTGCAAAAAGCTACTCCTTGTTTCCCAACACTCATATACATCTATCATCATCACATCTATAAAAAATGGAGCACAATTGTTTATAGCTTGGTTTATAGTGATTTATCTGGTAGAATATGTTAATTTATTTTCCGTACACCATGATGGTAGAAGGGTTTTGATTATAATAAATAATAACGTTACAATTCTTGTTGTTTATTCCAAATTATGCTGTAAAGGATCATGACGGTTGTTGGGATTATAATGTAACTGGAATTCACAGTGATGAATGATGACCGAAGGCATAGAGTAGGTAATCGAAGGCTTTATTAATTAGAGCGCGTTAAAGCAAATTCAAATTTAAGCGCGCTTGCGTTTACGTAGTACCGAGGGAGTCAATATGCAAAACATCTGAAAGTGTCTATAAACACTAGTAAGCTAAGTAAGTTGTGCTATAAGTTTACTTTGAAAAAAATCACCTGTTGAAGTGCAAGTGATAAGGAAATCAAGAGAGATTGTGGAAGAAGTGCCGCAATGACTGAAGGAATTGGGATGCGAATCCTGGTGACCGATAAGGGCCCCCTCTGTCGCATTTTGTAAAATGTTTACGACAAGAGTGTCTTTTTACTTGGTTTGCTTATGACTAGCTATCCTCGTTCGTAAAGATGGCAGGTGTCAGAGAAGAGATGTCAACGAGGGTATTTACAGTGGAGATCGGTTCCAACATTACTTGGCAGCAAGCCAAATGGAAGTGGTAAAGTAGGTAAGATTCGTTTTAATTTGAAATTTACGATTTGAAATTGGAATTGTGTAGGTAGTGCTGCCATGGGTAAAGGTTTTGTCAAACTGACGCAGTGGAACTGTTTGTACAGCTAAGAAACGTAGGTCTAGCGCACAGAATGAAGTTTAACGAAGTAACACAGAATTGACACTCTTCCCAGAAGTACCAGGATTTCAATTAAATTGTCACAATCGTAGTATGAATGTTCTGCAAGTCGGTGATCATTTCTCTGTATTAAACATCGAATTGAACGCAGCTGACATAACCTACTTCAGCGGATTAATATGAAGGGTAGCAAAATGACAAGAGCCCTATCGTGCCTGATAAATAAATCGGAAACTAAATATACCGCAGCAAGTTGTTTTATTATAAACCGTCGATACTAAGGTACGTCATATGTTAAGGCTAGCACAGCAGTGCTTACGTTCACCAGCCGAAGCGCTTCATAAGCGCTACCCAAAGACAGGAATACTCTATTAAGGTTTTTCTCGCGAGTTGCTGTGTGATAGCACTGTCGAGGTCCGTATGTCAACTGTCGAGGTCTGTATGTCGACTCACGGTGATGTGTAGAACTCGATAGTGCTATCAGACACCCGTCTTTAGGTAGCGCTAATGAAGCACTTCGTCTGGTGAACATTATCGTAACCGTCACCACGAAACTTTTAAAGGTCTACAAACTTACCCCACATCAACATATCAATGAAATCTTAGGCGTCTTGATTCCAAACACGAAAAACATACACCAAACGGTAAGTTTTAAACGCAAACAAACGAATTTAAAATAGGACGCCATCTTCTTGTTCTTCCGATAACATTTAACACGACATCGAAAAGACCGATTTGCGAACACTTCCCCGCCGGTTTTTGTTACTTTAAGCGTTGAATTTAACAACAAAATCAAAATTTACGTGCTCGCGTCTCGAGATCCTACACGCAAACGCCGATTTAAATTCGTACGAAAAGGAGAAGGGACGCCATAACTTTTTGTAGTTTAATATTACGTTTTAACACCGATTTACGTATGATGAACCGAAACGAACTATGTGCCAGAATTGTTCCCGTCTTTTATTTGACCTTTTTTATGTTTATTTTAATATCGCACTTCGTAAATTAGCAGCAAACCGAAAAAATACAACAGGCTCGGAACGGCAGCAACGACATAGTTGGTCACGTGACGAAGATAGTGATCATGACGTCACAGCTGCAAGACTCGCTACGATTCGCCCGTTTCAAAAAATGGTCCAATCAAATGCATCCGGCTTTCTGTTTACTAGTTATTCCCGGAATTCTAAAGCGATGGCAAATTTACTTCCCAAGATCTAAAAACTGTTGCTATTGCAAAACGTTTTCACACAGAAATGGCGAAAATAACTTCTCTGCTTCCCCTTTATTGGTATACATCATCCATCATACGTGGGCGAATGTCGGTGTGTCATTATTAATCCAAAACGTAATCAAAGCAATTTCATGGAACCAAAATACAACCACAAAAACTTTCCTCAGTTTTTAGCGATACCTGACTAGCCGTTTGTCTACCTCCTAGTGTGCTCCCTGGTAACGATCTCAACGCTCCCAACGGAACTCTGATGAGATTTCCGAATGACAGTATAGCGAACCAAATCCAAGTCAGGGTAGAAGAGCTGACGCCGAAAGGACTGCCTGGCCAAGGGGGAACTTGGTCATTGGACAGCGAACTCTGGTTACCGGGCGCCTCTCAGTTTCAAGTAGCCTTCTGATGGTAAGGGGAAACTGCCAGATCCCGTTGAAAAGCCTAATACTCGTGGGAGCGTCGAGTTGGACTTAATACAAAAACCACTCAATCTGTAACGGAGGACTCGCTACCTCCAACCATCACTGACCAAGGATTGTCCCACATCAAGAGGGCCTTATTGACCTCTAGACAGGGTTACCGCATTCCTCTCCCCTGAGGACTTCTAATTCTCGTGTAACAAAGCCTCAGGGAAGACAGTGAACTAAACAATATGCTTTATTAATTTCGAGTGCGTTAAATGAAATTCAAATTTAAGCGCGCGTGCGTATGCGCAGTACCGAGGGAGTCAATGTGCAACACATCTGCAAGTGATTATAGAGTTTAGTTAGACCTTGACCATCTTCTTCATTTCAGATTAACATAACCACAACAAGTTATGGCGTTCCGCTATCTTTGATGATCGATTCAAATAAATAAATGTATACAACCTATTTTCGAATTTAATAGATGATAAAGACCATGTCTCGTTCATTTCGGGCGGAGACTCGCAGTAGAGCCAAAGATGATATCAAGAAAATTATGCAAGTGGTCGATCGGGTTCGACACTGGTAGGTTTAGACTTCCCTGACAAAATAGACTCCTGACTGTAACGCATATAGGGAGAAGAAATGGGTGACTATTGGCGAGACCACGATGAAGATTTACAAGTGGGTCCCAGTAGCAAACAGCGAAGGAAAAAAGTGTAAACATAAGGAGGCGAATAAGGAGAATTTGGGTCGCAAAACTGCAACAGTTGAATCGAGTAATTCCAGTTTTAGTATGGTCACAGAAGATTCGAACACTTGTACGTCAGTAATATAGCTACACAAGTTTTATCTTTGTATTGCAGGTTTTTCAACTGTGAGCGATTCGCAGGGTCCAACTGATTTCTCATCTCATATGAACACATTTTCGGAAGACTCAAACTCTCAAGGCAGCGAAATGGCAGTAAAGAGACTGAAGTCAGAGTGATTTATTTTTATATTTCTCGTTAAAAGTAGAACTTACTTTTTTTTTAAATTTATATTAAGTAAGTACGTCAATATGAATTGAATAGTAGATGAAATATATTCTTTTTCTTTATTATTTTTTATCTCTGTTTGTTTTTTTTATTAGTATGTAAATGTATTAATTACATGATAGTAAAAGGCATCTCAAATGTTGCATACAAATCATGGACACATAAAAAATGGACTGCGCAGATACTGCAAGTGAAAGAGAAGGGAAAACTAAGAGGGCAAGTTTTTGATATCGCGCTTCTATTGAGTGTTGATCACATTCAAGTTAAATTGAAAGAACCAATTAGATGTGTAACTGTACACAGCTTCTGCCCTGTTATGGCCATATGCACTGTAAAAATTTAAACACGCGCTTAGCTTAAGATCATGGCAACCATTGTCTCAATAATCGTTGTCATGGATTTTAAGCTAAGCTTGCTCCGCTTAAATTTATCAGTGCAAACGGCCATTAAACTTTTTCGGTGCATACGGCCATTAGTTTTCCCTTCTCTCTCACTTGTAGTATTCCTGCTTAGCATTGGCACGTACTGTCCATTTGAGATATCACCAAAAAAATGAAAATGTCAAATTTTGTTTTCCTTTTGGCTAGCTTAAACGGTCAGAAATGGACGGTCACTGTTGGAACCAATTCTATGCGGGCACTTTTTTGGGTGAATCTGAATTTGTTATCAGAATTCCCCTAGCACGCTAGATGTAGAAGCTACAGGTTTACTAGCTTCTTTCTTGAATTTTTATGGAATCAGATAGTGGACAAAAAAAGAAAAATTATGACGGTCACACTCTACACTTTTACATAAATTTACAAGAAAATTTTAAAATCAAAGTCAGTTTTAAGTACATTCATTTCACAACAAAACATCTATGGTAACTAGATCTTGCTAAATCAACATGGCTATGATGGCGTGCCACAGAGTGAAGTCTAGATAGGACAATATGTCGCAATAGCTATTTGTTTATTCATTAATGGCCGTTTGCACCGACAAATTTAAGCGGACCTTAGCTTAAACATAGCTTAAATTCCATGGCAACGATTATTGAGATAATGGTTGCCATGGACTTTAAGCTAAGCCCCGCTTAAATTTGGCGGTGCAAACGGCCATTAATGAATAGACAAAGATTAAAGTATAAAGAATACCACAATTGGAGCTTTTGATTTGAAAATTTAGTGAGAGGATAATCCATATCAATTAAGATGTTAGCCGTCGTCGTCGCTAGTGTAATCGTTGTAGCTGCTACGTGGGCGGCTCGGTTCGATTCCTGGTCCATGCATAATTATTTTGTACATTATTTAGTAATTTCTGCATTTCGCCAGACTAATGCTGGTTGTCGACGTAGGATGTCACACAGGCTAGTGGCTGGTATTTGTAGGTAGGTATAGTATTACCTGGAGGACAATCAAATTCAAAAGGGCGTGTTGTTTGGGCATAGAAGTTTTATATGTACCTACTTACAGGTGAGTAAGGGGCTTACGTCAGACTCTTGCTCTATTTAATAATATAAAAGCAATATAAAGATATGGGAAAGTCAATAATGCTTTGACGGGTGAATAAACTTTCTTACCATTATTTGCATAAGAAATTACCTACTTTAATTTTATGGTACAAAATTACAAATGTACAATATCTGTAAAGGGGAACATCAATAACTGTCATTTACATTTTTGGAACAGATTTTTGAGAAGTATTCAGATCTAAAATGCAGATAGTCATTGAAAACGTTAGTATGCCTTTGCACTTACATAAGTCTGCTATGGGCTCGGTTACGAATGAACTGCCAGAGATTGATTTTTTTGTCCATTCGTCAAATTTTAAAATCAATTCTTCAGACATTTCCCCTTTATAATTTTGAGAAGTGCCGGACCTCATAAATGCACCTTGCTCTGGCACCAACTTGTGTTTCATTCTACTTTCAATTTTATCTTGCTGATTAACGGCTCGATTGTTTTTCATAGATTCGAAACTTAAGTGCTTCAACAGTTGCGGTATTTTGTTTTCGTTCAATTTCTTATCTAAAAATTGGGCAGTTTTCCTTATAACAGATAGAAGATCCTTTTTCATCTCTTCATATGTAAGTATTAACACATTAGGTTTGTCTCGATGTTCCCAATATCCTAATACGTGCTTCCAATAAGAGCCAAACATAACTGCAATTGATTTGTATAATTAAAAACATGGTAAAAGTGTCTTATACTTTTTTCTGAGAGAAATACTTTGGAAAAGTTTTGAAAGTCGGCACGCCACCCTTGTATGAGCCTACCGTGATGGTAATAAGACACGCATACGTCTTTTGGATCCCGCATGACATATATAATCTAAAGTTCTAAGTGATTTACATTACAACATTGCGAGAAGGCTTACCTTTGGTTTTCTATTCCCATTAAGAATTTGCTCTGGTAATAAGTTATATGTTAAATGTGTCTTAATGAAACGAGTCCCTTCTAAATCTCTCAAATAGTTAATTGAATTACCTATGTATTCTGGACGTGTAGATCCTAACATTTCGGTCATTTTAGCAAAATTTACTATGGTGCATAATCTTAAAAATGTTAGTAAAGTACGGAAACCTTTGGTAGGTGTTATACTCGAAATGAGGAAATCGTTTGTCTAAGTGTTCTTCTGCCGCTTTAAAGTCTAAATCATTTCCAATTAACCACACCAACTCCTGGGTCCATGTAGTGCCTGCCTTGGGATATGAAGCGACAATAATATCTGAATCGCGAATTTCGAAAGTTCTAATTTCTTCTTCAAATTGCAAATAATTGATACCTAAAGAGGTCTCTTCCTCACCAATTAATACATACTCATTACAAAACGGATCTAAAAAGTCCCGATGAATAATTTCGCCGATTTCATCAGAGTTCTCTACTTTCTTAACTTTTCGACATTCTTTTAACGAACATCTAAAACAAATTTATGCACAAGCAATTTCAGTATACTATAGGTACTTACTTTGACGAAATCGTAGAATATTGTGGTATTTTGCCTAGGATAGATGCAAACATGGCGTTGTGTGTGTGTAAGTTAAACACATAGACACTTTAAAACACAGCCATTAAAAAGGTTTTATATATAACAAGGAAGCATATTTATGATATAAAGGTTGAGGTCGCAATAAAACAAAGCTATTAATATGCGATTTCCATCAAGCATCATCATATGGTAAACATGTATTCATGCATTATAGCAACAAATATAGTAGAAAATATATACAATATAAAGTGTGAATATGGGTAGCAAAAAAATGGAAATAAAAGAAATCGATTTTTATCAGTGCAAAAAGAAAATGTTTTCACAACAAACAATGCTCTGGAAATCGATTTCGACGTATTCAAAGGTCTTTTATACACCTTTTGAAATACGTATAGTTCCTTCCAGAGTTTTCTAATACTTTTCCTGACGAACAGCAGTTCTGTATCGAATTTTATTATATTATATATAAGTGTGGAGGTTGTTAGGGACTTGACAATTTCTGATACAAAGATGCTGTATGGTGAATTCGAACTGGACAGAAAAAAAAATTGAGATAAAGTGTAAATAATAAGGACGTCACCGACGCCAAACTTGTATACAAATTCATAAAAAATGAGATCACAGAATGCACGTTTAGTTAGCAATCAACCCGTTTAATCATAAAACAAGAAATAAAAGCTCCTACGAGCCTATGTAACATCCTAGATCAATGATTAGCATTAGTTTGGCAAAACGTATCATTTTAATTCTTGAATAGAGAACGCAGAGAGGAAACTTGGCCTATCGCCTAAGACATGACATGACAATTAGACAACGGCTAGCATCTTAATATATATGGATGTATCAGTTCTAACATTAGCCTTTTAGCGATTTGTTTTACTAATTTTACATCACCAAATAGGTACAAGTGCAAAGCGTATATTACTCCTAGATATCCACAGTTATTTGGAATCAGAACTAAATTATCCCTGAGTATGTATACAAGTGTTGCAACTTTCAACAATAAAAACACATTTGTAGATTGATGTGTTGTACGCGTACAATTTATCGAAAAAATGTCAACTGTCCCAAGATTACTCACACTAGCATATCTATAGAACCCAACAAAAGTAAAGTAAATGGAATAAGCCTTAGAGTAAGAATTTCTTACTCTTGAGGTATAAGCACACTAATTAAATGCTATAAAGCCATAACATTTGGATCTAATTAAAAAAATGTAAACGTCTTGATATCAAGCAACAGAAATTTAAGTAATTACATAATCAAGACAGTTTATTTGGTATTAAAATTGTTTACGATGAAATTAAAGATGAGTTTTACCAATTAGGTTAGTATATAATATTGTTATTTGATAATAGTTTTAATAACCAAATCTGCATTTGGAGGAAAAGTAGGTAATCAAAGTTTATGACATCAACATATACATTATGCAATAACTACTCATAATAAAATAGTTTTAAAATTAAAATTTTAATATCCCATCTTGTGATCCACATCTCCACTCTTAACCCACTCATCAAACTGGGTTGATAATTCTTGGGGATACCTTAGCTTGTAACTTCCCGTTTCTCCAGTTCTTATAAACGTCCCTTCTTCGCAGACTAAATTATGCCTTCTATGTAAATCAATAAGTGACGCATAATTTGTTCCCTTGTTGGTTTTCATATTTTCAAAACTTAAATGAGCAGCAAGCCGGGAGACCTCATTGTCAGTTAGTTGTTTACATAAAAAAGTTGCAACTCGTCTTATCGCACCGGCTAGGTCACTTTTTAGCTCTTCAAACTTGAGAAATAGAAAATTCAATTCGGATTTTTTCTCCCAGTAGGATAAGACATTAGTCCAGTAAGGCGCGTAAGACACTACAATACAGAGATGAATTGCACTCACTTCAATCTGCATTTTTTCATTACCATTTCCTGTAAGGAAAAGTTGCGTGAAGTGATCAAGGTGGCTTGTGTAACCCTCAAATAATTTACAATGATGAAAGTACGACAAGCAAACATCCCGTGGGTTTCTCGCAATGTGTATAATCTGAAATGGAATAATTGTTTGTGATGGTGTTACAAGTTGTTGTGCCAACCACTTACTTTGGGACGCTTCTCTCCACTTTGAATTTGTTCAGGTAACAAAAACCAAGGTAAATGTGTTTTAATCAGCCGTGGTCGTCGAAGATTCTGTATAAAATTAACAGAGTGCTCAAAATAAACAGGTGGATCAAAGGCTTCAATTTTGTCACGTACGCGCGTGTAGTCGAACAAAAATTCATAGCTGCAAAGTTTACAACAGTAAGTATGATTAATTAGTCCCTCGCTTACTCTAGGAACGGAAATCTATCTCCCATACATTTTTTTCCTTCTTCAAAATTCAAATCGTTCGCTATCATCCAGATCATTTCCTGCGTCCATGTTGTACCTAGTCAGTTATTTCGGAAACACATTACATTATATTATTATTATATTATATTATTACCTGACTTGGGGAAACTACAAATCCACAGATCATCATCGTAAACGGTGAAGTTCTTAATAACATCGTGAAAATCCAAGAAACGCTTTGGTAAAGTTATGCCTTTAACTTGTATGTAACCGTGTCGAAATATATTTGTGAAATATTCCGTTAAAATTGCGTTGTCTACTGGCTTAAATGCTAAATCCATTTTTAAAGATATTCAAGTTGGTGAGATATTTATTAACTATTTCCAAGGAAGTACCCTTGAATTTCTGTGGTTTTAAGAAATCACTCTTGCATGACATACAGGTATAGATGATAATGAACTTTCTATGGCAAGATGAAGGGCATTAAAAAAAAATTAATTATCCACTTCAAATGCTATCAATTTTTTTCAATGCTCGTGCAAGGCATGGAAGCAAAAGTAGGTATACTTCTCATGGTAATAAAGTATCCGAATATTTTTGTATACTAAAGTTTATTTGATCACAGTACCAATTTCGCACTTACAGCATGCGTAAGAGATATAAGAAAAGAATACTACAGGATCTCCAAGACACAAAATAGTCCTCAATACTTTCACCAAGTGCATATTACCTTTTTTTTAAAACGCCCATTCTCACAGTTTAGAATTTCTTTCGTTTTCAAAGGACATCTAATCAAAATACGAAAAAGTAAATTTAAAAAATATAGAATAGCATTTAATGACCCGTGTACCTACATGAATATCTAGAAGCTTACTTTTGATTAAATAAATACGCATTAGCCAATTAGAATATTGCCTTTGTCAAGCGCACTAACGTACGTTGAACTTCAAATACATACCAATGGGCCCCTTGATCCTTCGCAAAAATTGTATATTATATATCAAGGTAGAGAAGTCCACTATTATTTCCTGAGCACCAAGATTACATCTCGAGGCGCTTGCGCTGAGGGGTTAAGGGGCGAAGGCAATAATAGACTTGTCTGCCGTGGTATATATACTATTTTTTCACTACTAGCACTCGATGTCCTCTAAATTAACATATTATATTGATAAGAAAGTGAACACGATTCATACACGGGCTGTACGGCATACTCGGTATCCATACTCTTTCCTAATCTAAGGTCCAAACCGATGTGAAACAATGTTTACTACTGAACAGAGTATACGTTCCCGTTTGTTTCAAATTATCTATGAAAATTTCACATTTTAGTTGACAGTAGTGTAATTTGTCATAATAAATATAATATTTAGGGTTATAAATGATGACAACGGAGCACTGTTGTCAGCTACATTTTCTATATATACATGTAATTAAATTAGTTAGTGCTTGTTTACAATGAACGTATACGTAAGAAATACATAAAACGTAAAATTTTGCAAAGTTGAACTGTATCGAAACATACGAAGGTACTATATGATCTAAGACCTAAAGCCAAACTGAAAACAAAAAAACTTCACTTACTGTGTGTTTAAAACAATCGTGAATGCCATATATTAGTTTCAAATTATCGAGTTTGTCTTTCCCAAAAGTTTTTTGTTTGCGGCTTGTTTCGGCTATACAGGGTGTCCCTAAAAGGTCTGTACAACGAACTACCAGGGGTTCTTGGTATCAAAATAGGATGATTTAACCCAACTTACCTCTATCCAAAAGTGCCTCGGTAAGGCGCTATCTACCGCCAAAGATTTAAAAAAAAATCGTTATTTTTATTTTATCGGAAAATGGTTTTGCCGATTAAAATGAAATTCGGGATGTGAATGTCCAATGTAAAAAGGGTCTTTGTGATATCATCGTTTTGATTGTAGTTGCTATGTAGGTGGTAAAATACTGACCATCCACATCTGAAGAGGTCTAAAACTTTTTAACTACTATTTTGACGGTTTTGAATTTTTAGACACTGATAGACAGTTTACTTGCAAGCATTTTTTTGTCTCTTGATGAATATCGCTCTCTGAGATGGTTTACGAAAAAAAAAAAAAATTTAGGCATGATGAATGGCATGCACCATACATGCGATTGTTCCTCAAAAACCATAAGTGCAAGCAAGAAGTAGGTTATGACGATTTGGAAACCTGTGAGTATACTCCCTAACGCATTGGCGACCATTTCCACAACAGTATCCAAACACTAATAGCATATCAGTTAACTTTGCGTTACTGTATTGAAAGGCCATATTACAATTTTAACAATGAAATTTTAAGTCTTCAAGCAAAACGTAAATGGTTCAAGTTTAAGAAACAACAAACAAACGTTACGCCACTCTAAGGTTTCACAGCCATCTTCTGATTTTTTGAGGAACAATCACATGTATGGTGCATGCCATTCATCATGCCTAAATTTTTTTTTTTTCGTAAACCATCACAGAGAGCGATATTCATCAAGAGACAAAAAATGCTTGCAAGTAAACTGTCTATCAGTGTCTAAAAATTCAGAACCGTCAAAATAGTAGTTAAAAAGTTTTAGACCTCTTCAGATGTGGATGGTCAGTATTTTACCACCTAAGCAACTACAATCAAAACGATGATATCACAAAGACCCTTTTTACATTAGATATTCACATCCCGAATTTCATTTTAATCGGCAAAACCATTTTCCGATAAAATAAAAATAACGATTTTTTTTTTTAATCTTTGGCGGTAGATAGCGCCTTACCGAGGCACTTTTGGATAGAGGTAAGTTGGGTTAAATCGTCCTATTTTGATACCAAGAACCCCTGGTAGCGCGTTGTACAGACCTTTTAGGGACACCCTGTATAGTTTTTATAGGCATTGTCAAATATATTAGACTATCAAGCCAATTTTTAAAAGAAAAATAAGAATGAAACAGATTTGGACATTAAAATTATATTTATTTCAGAAAGAAGACCAATAAAAGCTACTGATACAGGGAAGTATGTTTTTATATTATCAAAATAAGGTATTACCATTTGAAAAGTCAAAACAAATTATACATAAAAATGCTCATTACTCAATTAATACCTCCCACTTCGTCTGTGGCGTGGGGATCGACTGCGACCTTTTGAACGAGACCGTCTACGAGGTGAATGAGATCGTGAACGTCGCCCTGTGGGTGGGGCACCCGCACCACGCTTACGGCGCGAATATAAATATCTACAAGATAACATGAAACGAGATAAACATAACATTAACACACCGACCTTCTCAGTTCGCGTGATATCGGCTTCAAATGCATAAAATTGCAAAAGCCAGAGCGAGTGCATTCTCCCATTTCGTACTGGCGACAACAAGCTTCACGAAAGTCGGTGACTGGACTTAACTCAGCGTAGACAGGCCGTCCGCCAAACCAACGATTATTCAGGTCATTGACTGCCCGTTCCGCATCTTCCTCACGTCTGAACTTAATGTAAACATTACCGACTAGGTGATCACCCAAATTGTCACAAACGTTCATCTCCTCAATTTCACCATATTTGTCTTCACATTCCACAAACACATCCTCGAAGAAATTATCGTAGTGCTCCTGCATTTCCTCATCCGACACATTTGCAACCACTACAAGTAAAGTCTTATACTAGCGTAAACATGGAAGGTTACCTACAGTGACTTCCGTCGGCGGATTTAGCTGAATTCTGCGGATTTACGTATAAATTTTGTAAGAGACATGTTTGAGAAAAGGTAGGTTTATTGTGGATACGAGAACAGCGATCACCATGACGACAAGCTCCTATTTTAAAGTAGAAGGAGCAATTCACCCTGTGAACAGTGGTGCAATGTCTTATGCATACAACTCCTGTAAATCAACTTACTTATCTTTTTCTGTCCCAAAAATTGAGGCCAAATACTCGGCCATTTTATTGAAACGCTAAAATAAAATCAAGATTGAAGAAAAATAATGAATTTACCACTGCAAAGTGCAAAGCACAAGCATAACCAAAATGATAAAATCGTTTACCGGACTATACCAACCTTGCAAATTATATGTCACTATTAGTTACTTTTTTGAGCAAGATCACTGACTCATCGAGAAAGTGTAATTTTAGTGCATTGAATTAGCCTAAAGCATAATGTACAAGATAAAAATGAGTTTAATTCTGAGGATAAATTTAAAATTCCCAAAAATTTTGCAAATTCTTGTGATAAAATTATTTTTGTTGGTGTTGGTCACTCTGGGTCTGGAGGGAAACAAACATGGCGACTTCATTTTCAAAAATTCCTAATGCTGACGTATTGTACCACGTAAAGTAAAGGAGTAATTAAAAGTTGCATCGCTAAATTAATAACTTGCAGTTTATTCACCACTGCGTGGACGAATTAGTTGCACAAACTAATACCAGCTTTAACTTCGACGAGGTAGAATGGGCGAAAGAAGACCAGACCGCAGCAAAAAACTTCATTCAACATCTCTACAAAGCAAACATATCAAATCATTCCCAAGAACTAACTTTAAATCATTTGAATCTGGCTCCTCAGTTAGCAAGACAAATCGAGGAGTGTTACAACATTCGAAGGAATGATATATTTCAGGTTGTTTTGCGTGACGAAGTACGTAAAGGCAGTAAGGATGTTGTCGAAAATATCGATTGGAAATTGAAGTGGATTATGGGTAGTTCCAAACTGGATACGTTGCGAGAACCATTTTTACAAGTCGATTTACATTGTTTCAAAAAGCAAAATGATGTTAGAAATACGTTTAATTTTGAGATGAATTTAGACCAAGTTAATCGATTAATTCATGATTTAGAGCAAGCTCTTGTAGCGTATCAATCCTAAATGTTGCATCTTATTATTTGTTAGTTTTTTAGATCTAATCAATAAATAAACTAGCTATTGCTTGAACAACAAGCTTACTATTATATAGTTTTTATTAACCAGAATGCAATATTTTTGTGACATTCTGTATTAAAATTCGGTTGACGTAAACCAATTAACTGCTTTAAGCTTTTCAATCTGCAATATGGGATGTTAGCTCAGAAAGTAGGTAACTAAAAGTGTCGGTAGGTATGACAAATAGCGTAAATAACTTTAACTGTAAAGAGTTTCATTTCTTAACATCACCGTGACGAAGCCTGTTTCAAATTGACTGGAGAATTATATCCCAACAAGGTGTCTACTCTGAACTGCGAATTCAGTTGGGATACTAATGTGGAAAATAAGAGACGCAGAAAGTAAGAACTACCCATGTTTTCGAACAGACGGACCGAAAGTTCCAATCATTTTTAATAACAATCATCTAAAAGACAATGACAAGAGTTTTTTTTAAAAATTTAGTTATTTATTTATTATTCGAAGTTATAGTATATTCAGACTCTACAACCTAGACCCACAACCAAAATGAACTAATTTGCTGCGAACTGGGTCGCTCGTCTGCTCGCGAAGCAGACAAATGACTGGCGAGCAACGACCAGGGGACGGTCGCTGATAGCAGCTACACTACACGTAGCTTGTAGGAGAACAATCTCATTTCATTTCGTTGGCTGCAGTCTTGGAGACTTGGTAGCAGCTACCTGGTAGCCGCTATCGGCGACCAGCGAATTTATAGGAGAACGTACCTTTACGTATCGCGATAATACCTACATGGGTATTCAATCTTAAAATAAATAGCTATTATGCAATTTTTAATTCCGCTTGTCGCTCGCTCGTCGAATTCTGTATGTCATTATCTAGAATTGTAGAAGCAGTTAAGTTGTACACAAACCAATACCGACTAACAAGAACCCTAAACAGTCATTGTCGGCAATCTATTAATTATTATAATCATCTTCCCGACAAAATAACAACTTTGAAGTATGATAACTTCAAACGTACAGTAAAGAAGTGGCTAATCGGAAAAGCATTCTTCTCTCTACCAGAGAATTTTTAGAGTCTAAATGTTTTGTTTAAGTGTGTTATATCTGATTGTTATCTCTTGCTTATTGTGACATGTGTAAATACTTTATGTATATTCAACACAAATAAAAAATATGAATATGAATGAATACAGCTTCTAAATTTTGGTGGTTTAAGCAAAGAAATAAAACTGAAATCATCCGGAACAGCTGAAGAAAATCTGTAAAGGTGGGATAGTCAAAACATAACACACTTAGGGCAATTGGGGAATAAACACGGAGCTGTTCCTTCTACCAGTTTTAGGTACTGTGTAAACTTAACATTCTTTACTTTCGGAATTATATTATATTAGCAGCCGCTAATACGAGGGCAGGAACTTTATTTATATTTTAGTTAAATAATTTCTTCTTCTAATCATTAATATTCAATTCCCGATCTTTCCTCGGAATTCTTGTACTCCATTGCAATAGTCGCTCTTTCGTGATTTTAAACAATAAAACCTATTTTCATGAAAGCCAGTTATATCGCGAACTTTACGCTTCACTAAACTATAGGCGTGCTATGCAGGCTATCGGACCACCTCTCATATTATTCACCGTGGTTTGAACTGAATAGTTTCAAGCGTTTGGCAGAGACAGAGAGGCCTGACCCCATGGGTTCCTTGGATTTGATCCATTTTCAATAGGCTTAATTACTTATGTGGCATAGAGGTCAACTGTGCAGAGTTTGAACCAAATCAGGTCAAGCGTTTGACAGTTATCGTGTTTACGGACAGACGGACATAATCGACTCCCCTATAAAGCTTGTATCGCTTTGTTCTGCCGCTCTGCCGCTGGGGGTGGACATTATATTATTATTAACTAACTTTACTATAAATTAAATGGGTTCAAGCGTTTGCCATTGGATTTTACCCATTTTCAATAGGCTTGTTACATGTGGCATGGACGTGAACTGTGCAAAGATTGAAAAGAATCGGTGCAATCGTTTGGCAGTTATCGTGGTCACGGACAGGGACAGACGGACACCATCGATTCCCCTATAAAGCTTGCAGCGCTTCACAAAGCATCATAGCTAGGTCAACCTCATGTGTATAATCTGTACCTACTGACCAGAAAGAAGAATAATAATTGATTTGTAAGACTAGTAATGTTTAATTTATCACTTTCTGCTTCAATAGATACTTTAGAGGTAAACTAAAAAGCAGGTGCAAACGCCATCATAAAAACAAGCGTACGTGACGAATTATAATTTATCATGTTAAAAATTAATAGAATTTAACTTCCCCATTAATATCGAATGTTTGATATACTAAATACATCAAAGGTTTGATAAGTTCCGCGATTAGTAAAATTCTTTGAAAATTTTCGTGCATACCACACCCTGTTCGAGTTGATTTTTAATTTTTCTAGTGTTGGCTGCATATTCGGGTTCGGTCAAATTGTCCAATAGTTGCAAAGAATTGGTTGATTAGGGAACGGAGGGGGTTTGAGCCGCCATATTTTTCCGTTAACGGTGCGCGCTCAGTTGGTCGGTGTCGTGACTCGTGTGTGTAGAATTGTTTATTCGTTTTCATTTTTATAGGAATACTTGTATAAAAGGTAAGATTTATAGTGCCTTATCAATGAAACACCCTCGTTTTGCTAACGGGGAGAGATTCTGTTTAATTTTGATCTTCGCACGTCTTGTATTATTTACGTTTCAAAGTATACATGCAAAACCGGTAGACATTAGAATGTTTTTTTAAACCAAACTTGTGGTAGATCCGCCTTTTATGCGTGATTAATCTCTCCACTTCGCCATAATTGCGTTTTCGGAGTTATTAAATGGTGACATCGAATTTCGTTACGTACTTTTAATAACGTTTGCGGGTGTGGAATTGATTCTTTTAAGCATATGGTGGAATGGGGGTAGATGTTTAGGTTTGTGGGTTTCGTCTGTCCTTGCGTCGAGACAGCTGTCTGAAGGGTGTTTGTCCCCACATGTCTTTTCATATTAATAAAATTCCCGCATGTCAAACTTTGACACAATTGACATATCTCAAAGATGCCAAACGTATTTTTTAAAAAAGGAACCACTGCTGACAATATTTTTAATTAATATTTCCCGAGGGTTAATAAATGGGACCGTCCGTTAAAATTAATTAAATAGAAAGGAAATTTATCTCTTTGTTTGTTGCATGTATAAACGCCACGAGCTCAAATCTCTCATTGTAGGTAGAGGAAGGGCTATTCAATGGTAAAAATAAATAATTAAATGTCAATGATTCTATTGCCAACTGACTTTATTCGTATAGCAGCGATTATTTACTTTAACAAACATGTAATAATACCTACCTACTTTTGTACATCGATTTATCAATAATTCATTGTTATACATTTTTTTTACTGGAGTGATAATGATGGACGAGAGTGTTTTCATAGCTTTTGTAATTAAATTAATGCAAAAAGAATTTGATAACCTTTGATTGTTGTTGTAGAATGCATTAGTCGTACATTTCTTTTGCTGGGTGAGGTTATCTTTTATTTTAAATGCTGCAATAATCACGAAGCTATTTAAGTAAACAATACACAGCTTGTAACTTATTATCGACGGTGTGCCTCAGCTGGCATCTGAAAGAACACCATAGAATTATACTAATTCTATGAAGAACACAGACCACGTCAAAGTGTCTTTGCTATTAAGTACTAGGTTTTAAGCAATTACATCGCGGATTGCTTAAAAGTCACTCTTTTCAATTTTACAGATGTCGCTTGAATGAAGTGTCCAGTTATTTATATTTTTTAAATTTTGAAAAAAATACAATTGACATAAAACATCCATTAAAAATCATCTTTTCATTTTGATCTTCATGCCTGGTAAGACGAATTCCTATTTCTCAAAAATGAACACAGAAAATAATAATGAAGAGAAAAAATGTATTGCTACTCCTCCTGAAATATAAGTATATTTAATTTAATTTAATTCTTTCATGTTCAAACATGTTCCATCTGTGTTGACTTTCGATGTATAGTGTATAGGTTAACTTCAGCTTCTAATGCGGGCGGATAGGCGAAAAAAGTGAAAGAAGTTCATAACTCTCGTCGTTCGTTAGAATTATACAGACGTACATAAGTAATTCCTTTGTCGATTGTCTGGTTTGCGTGTTGAATAATTCAAGAGAACAATTGGTCAAAGCCTTTTGTTAGATGATTTGATAATTTCATCCCGTAGAGAGTCTTCACCATTATTGTTACTGGGGTGAAACGAGTATGTATGTATAAACGAGAAAACCAATTAGTGAACGTAGTGGACATTACACTAACCTCGGTCCAACGCTTGAAAACTGAATTTTAATCAGATTTCCAATCCGGCGACAGGAAGCTTAAAAACAAATTATTATTTCCGCTCGTTTTTGTAACATTTTTTTTTAAATATTTTACGTCCTCTTGATTCGTTCCATTGACTTGCTATAGAATCGCCCTGTATAGTATGAACATGAGACTCGGTCACGATGCCAAGTTTACGCAGGAGAACGCTTTTTTATTCATCTTCTTGCGAGTCAGTACAAAATGGAACTGTAAATCGCATACCATATCTGACCAAATTAAAAGAATCTCTTTTCATAGCGGCTAGCTCTTGTTTTTTTTAGAGCAAAACATTACATATCCCACGCCCGAAAAAATAATGTACGAATAAAATTCTTCATTTGTCATTTTACGTTTCGACAAAAACAAGATAATGGGTATATATTTAGATCGCAGAAAAGACTCCACAATTACGTTTCTCTCGGAACTTGTGTATATATAAATTAATGATAGTGCAGTATCCTGTGCAAGAGGAAGGAAATACAAGCAGCAGGTGATAAGATATCATCCTGATGATGGAAATTCATATTTTTTTAACTAATTACTAATTGCAGAAAGCCTAAACAACCAACGGTAACAAGATGATAACAGTGGAATGTTAAGGAGTGATTTATTTACTCTTCTATTCCCTATCGTGTATCCTTGTTGTATCAAAGGACCTTGAATAGTGCTTACGTACTAAAATTATTATTGGACTTAATACACACAGTTCGTTCCCCTCTTCTCTTTACTAGCCGGTTTGGAGTCACTTCTCTTCTTCGTATGGTAGATCTTCCAAGTTCGTCGATTTGAAAGGGTTTTTGTTTTCGGGTAGTGTGATAAAGATGGTACTGTAATACTCTTGTGCAACGCGTTTTTTCGGTATCGGCAATGTAAATCGCGTATAACGTTAAAATTGCATTTAATGCGACATATTGAGTGTTTATAGTGCGAATAATTATCAGGTTAGTTACATCCAAAAGTATGTTGCTTCCTATTGGAAAAAGTTTCAAGGTCATTGAATTAATGGATGAAACATTAGGGATGTAGGGGCGTAGTTGTTGCGACGCCCTGTAAAGTTACTTCAAGCGTATTCGCAAAGATCAATATGATCTTTGGTATTCGTCTTCTGATTTTAGAATAAATGAAATTTGTTTTTCCATGTCTCTGCCCTGGAATTGTAAATTTGTGCTACAGGGCACGTATTCGGAGGCCTCGGCCTTCTGTATATGAAGTTCATATCTAACATCTATCAAAATATTTGAAAATAAACCGTAGATTTAAAAAGGCCTTTATAAACATTTTAGTTACCTGCTGTAAACGTCACGTTCGTTTTTAAAAAGAGCTTAAATGAACATCAACCTTGCAGTGACTTAAGTGCCATTTCATTTTTAATTTGTTTAGGTAATTAAGGGTCTAAGTTCGTTTAAAAAAATACCTTTTATTTAGATTGCAAAAATGGTCCGACATACCTCAAGAGATGCAATGTGTGCAAAATAAAATCGCCACTCATTCCTTTGGTGCACTTTTCGAATTATGACCACATTCAACAAAAAGATTTAAGATAAATATAAAATACCTATTTTTTATTCAAGGGGCACAAGTTTGTATACATACAGTGGGTTTCAAATTGAATGCGATTGTATGGATACGTTTGTTCTCGCGTTTGTTATTATTCAAGATGGATATTAAGTTAAATGGCCAACGTTTTGCTGCTGAGTAAAATTCCGTTTAGAAGATTTAAAAAAATCCGGAGCGGGCTAAAGTTTATTTAGAAAAAAAAAACTAACTAACTACGGGCCAAATATGAAAAGTAAGATTTCCCCCCGGGCCACGCAACTTTTTTTTTGTTAATTTGAAGCAAACGAATTTTGTTACATATTTAAATAGCATCCAAACTCCTTAGTCACCACGACAATTTAACAAAAAAATGTTGTACTGAATAAGAGAGTACTGACTAGGAGTGTTGATTCTATTTAATACATTTACAACCACATCAAGGATGGATTTATTAACGAGCTCCTAAAAGCGAGTTCATGATTTTGGACCGAGTTTTGGACTTTCTGTCCGCCCGTCTGTATACATGATAACTCGCGAACGATTTCGAATTTTTCAATTATGTTTTCAGTATTATGTTTATCATCAAATCATCCAAGGAAGAACTGATTAAATTTTCAATGACCCAGGAGATCTTTTCAAGTACATATTTAGTTACCTATAGACTTGACATGTTACATGAAAACAAAATCGACGATGAATTGAGATGTTCCTTCGAACCTTTTTTTTTTCAATAAAAAACACAACTGTGCAATAAAATAATAGTAACTTCCTTCAGTTTCCAATTTCTACAGACACGCACTGCCTCTTTGAAATAGAAAATGAAATCATCAGCGTCTCATGAAATCGTTTAAATTGAAGATTATCTATTTTAAACGTTTTACATTATAGCCGATAGATGTGACTGCTGTCCCAATAAAGTGAAGTTTTGACCTTTGGCCTTGAATAACTTCTTACGCATGAGATCTATGGGTACTTTTGACACTTTGTTTCTACTGATGTACCCAATTTTTTGTCAATTTAGGCCAGCCGAGTGGTTATTTGCAAAATAAAAATTTTAAAAAGTGTTTATGAAAATCAAGTCAGTAAATTATGAACTCGCTAGGAGCTCGTTAATAATGGTCAAGATAATGTCTTTTTTTATGTAAACCTTACATCCAAACCTACGATAATTATTGCGTTATTTTTAGAGATAGGACAAATTGCAAATTTAGCAGAAAACAATTTTTTAACATTAAAAACGAATACCTACTTCATACAGGAAAGTTATTTGACAAATTTAACACACATATTTGAGTGCAAAAAATCATTTGAGTTTCCATTATAACGAATCTCAAAATAATTATTTCCGCGCTTTGAAAAAAAATGGCTTCCGATGTACAAGCGACAGAAAATATAATTTATGCAGAAGTACGTCTTTGTACTGTTTTCTTTATGTAGTGTTCTTCATACATGAACAATAAGCAAAAGTAAGTCGATGATTCAATTCGCGGTGTATCAAGTGTTATAGAAATTTAATGATTCATGGCGATTATATTATAATATTTTATGGGATATAATGCCTAGACTAGAATGCATGAATAACATTTTATTCGCAATAGTGCTAGTAGTGATGTACTTAGCCTCTTTGTATTTGTTTCAGGTAATTTCCATACACGCAATATGGGTGCGAAACAATCAAGAAGATCGGTGGATATAACAACGACGCCTAAAAAGGGCGAGATCGAAAGTCCGATTGAAGGTGAGGGAAAAGTAGAAAAAATTTCAGACCTTGAAACCAAGATTGCCACCAATGGTTCGATCCACAACGAAATAGAATACGCCGTAAGTAACTACTTATTATTGTTAGGAAGGTGCTTATTATTTTCTCTCGTTTTCGTTTTGTTTGATACCATGAGCCTTGATCGAAAACACGTAGGTACCTACCTACCTACCTAGAATATTTCAGTTATTTTTGCACGTTCATTTTCCTGACGTAATTGTGATTGTCTCGGCGTGACATGTTCACCGTTTCCGGTTTCCGGAATTCAACCATCGATACGTACCTGTTCAACATCATTGTTATTTGTTAACGTATTGCTAATCTTTACATTCTTGTTTCTATCACCCTGATAATCACAACATCTTGCCCATTTTAGGATAAGGAAGAAACCGAAAAGGAAGATGCCGAAGCGGCGATAAAAGAAAACGGGGTCTCCGACTCTGAGGGTTCAAAAACGCCCGACGCCGACGTCTTCACAGGCAATCAACTCAACGAGTCGAGTGACGTTGCGGAGAAATCGGCCGACTCTCTGGAAAAATCGGACGAAACGAACGAAAACAACAAGAAGAATAAAGAAAAGTCGAAAAAGAAGAAATGGTCGTTTAGAGCCCTTTCTTTCTCAAAGAAAGACAAATCGAAACCGGGGAAGGACGAGAAGAACGGCGATGTTAAGGAAGTGAACGAAGAGGTAGGATTATACTACTATAATAGGTACTAATCGTTCTAATCGAACCCGTATTTTGCAAGCAATTTATAGGCGAATGAATTATTATTTCAATTGTTATTTAATTTTAATGCAAACGTGAAAGTGCGCGCGGAACCCCAGCCGAGGGAAGCTATGCAGAGAAAATTTGGATCGATAGTGAGAGTTTAGCGTCGGTTGTCATAGTTACGGCCGGCATCCGCGAATCCCAAAAACCACCCTCAACCAAACGTTTCTTAACTAATTGTCCGAAGTCTTTTGTTTATTTATTACATGCACCAGATTAAGTTATCAACAGGATAGAGTAGCGACATAAACACATTTTAATGGTCTGTTGATTACGTTTTGCAAAAATAATTACTGAAATGCGGCGATAGCGGTGATTAATTGCGATTATTAATTGTTAAATGTTTATACTTGGTATATAAATAAAAGCCGATAAGCTCCGAAAATACTTTATATATTCCAATAGAAAACCATTGTACATTAAGTTTAATTCTCGCATCAATGTCATCGGCGTCATTATTAATTAATGCGATGGGAATTAATCGCGGTTGTCGCAAATTTTAATTGCCCCTTAGAAATTTGTTCGGCGAAAAAAAAATAAGCTTATTTAGAGGAAAAATATTTTCTGTGTGAATCACGGTGAAATTTCCGTTTAATGATAGGTACAATGACTTCCTCTGTGCGAGCAAACGACCGTTCTTATTCTCTTTGTAGGTGTGATTAATAAGTTCGTCGGAACTTTTCTTTGTCACCATGAGTAAATCAGACTCCCGATTCGTCAATATTTATTAACGGAGGAGATAATGCGTTTATTTTTAAAAACATTAAGAATCTATCGCTATCGGTTTCTATTTCCTGTAGATTGTGATGAGTCACACTATCCACATGTACTCTGTATGTACACGAGACACTCCCACCTTGCCCACCAAATTTGTGTAGAAAATCCTCTTGAGTGTAGGTAGAGGGCCGTATTTTATTTAAGGCAACGTTCCGCCCCTAAAGCTGGCTACAGACACGTACATTCCTTGAGATACGTGTACGCGCGTACTCAAGCATTGACTGAATACATATCTTCGAGAGATATTTTAGGGAGATCAGATATTGTCTACACACCACCGAAGGATATGTACGCGCTCACAATAGTGTGTCTGTAGCCGGCTTAACATGCAGAAAAGTCAACTGAAATTCCCTGTTTAACTTAATGGTTGTCTCTACTTATTAAAGGAGGTCGCCACTCGTACCGAAGTGCTACGGATTCTATTCTTGCTTATTAGTATTTTCGTCTATTTCTATATTCTATGTTATTAATCTGTTGATGGAACCTGGACCGAAGCAGCGTTTACGCATCATATATTCGTCTGTTTTTAGCATTGGAAACGCTAAAGAAATATGTGCATATCAACTATGAAGTACCTACTAATGCAGTAGTAGGGAATCAGCCAATTCCGCCATATTGGACCAAAATGGTGTACCTACACCCTACTCCCATGGTAGTATCAGCCCGACACCTTATCGGCCGAGCCGAAAGGAATTTTTGTAATTAAAATTATTAGCAGAAAAAATAGCTTCTAGGTTTATTTCCCTCGCTCTGCTGTGCAGATTCGTATTCTGGAATTTAAGGAATTAGTGCGACAGTAATTATTGTTTAATTTAAACGCAGATAACTATAAAAAAAAACATAAGCATTTCCAATGCTAAAACGCCTTGCTTTGTTTATAATCAATAGAAATTATGCTAGCAGCTTTTATTATACCATGCTAGTAGCCGAAGCAACAGAGTTGCGGCGATCTTTTTACTTTTTGAGACTAGTGGAACAAGTTTGCAATCGTCAACCTTGGGATGTTTTTTTTTATTGATGCAAGGTAAAGATGATCCTGGTGTATAAATAAATAGAGTAATTGGTGTAGCAAAACACGCGTACTTAATTTGATGGCGAAATATATTTTATAGCCAAGTGCGTGCAAAGGATGATTTTAACTTGTTTTTAATATGCCGCCGCAGTGTTTGGCAATCCTGTAATTGCGTATCTGCGTAAAAATAGGGACCAAAATCGTGTTTACACCAATTGCACTAAACTGGCGACGCTATTTATTTCTCCTCACTTGGGGTAAAAATTAGAAATTGACCTTACTTGATATTTTAAAGTAAATTGCCTAAGAGCCAGCAAATGTCAAAGTCAGATAAAATGCTACACTACCCATATGATAGGCGTTTTTGCAATTTGAGCCGTTGCACCACTGCAATGGACATTATACCCATTTGTCCTTTGTAAAACGAGATTTCGATATATTTGTGGTTTTGCATTTCCACAAGATCGATTCTTCTCGATTTCATGAACGTTAAGCATTAATTACACAAAGCAAAATCTGTCCCCCTACATTTTTCGGCATAAATATTGGGAGAATGCACCGCGTAACCTTGAACCAAGACGAACTAAAATAAACGCGTTTGTTGCACTGCTGGAATCTATTTTTAATTTTAACTCCTTAGCATCTGCTCCAGTATCAATCATTTCTGTTGGTCGAAATTTGCAAATCCCCCATTAATTTCAGCGCAAATGACAATTTCAACAGTAAACGTGATGAAATAGATACCAAAGTGTACATTACAACTTGCAGAGCGCCGTTGCGCTTTTTGCTCTCGACTCGTTTTTTTTAAATATATATGTAGTCAAAAGCAACTGCAACGCAGTTGTGGTAATGGTATGCAAGTTACTTAGGGTGTTGCAGAAGGAAAGCTATAAATACGTCCTGCAAATGCAGATTGGTTTCAGTACAAATTTAAGACTTGAACGGTATTTGTGCCGATTTTTGCGAGAGTAACCATGGATTCACAGGTAAATTTTGGAGGCGGCGTGAAATCGTTCTTTGTGAATATGTGCACCACTTTTGTCGCTTTTGTTTTTCTGTGCTTTAAACTGATTCCGAAATTGGAGATCCTTCCCAAGAGGGTATTTTTTTCTAAATTAATTTCTACATCTTAGTACTTAACATAGACGGTTTGTAATTAATTTTCACCCATGTCCCCTCTATTTAATTTAATAATAACCCACTAATCTAAACCAAATTTAATTTTTTTCTTATTTAAATATTAAAATGTTATTTTCGTTTCCCATATTTTTGAAATCTGCTCAGCCACCTTTTGTACAGTATTTGCATTTTTTTAAAATGACATTTAGCAATTAAATATTTTATATTTTTAGGGTGCTGAAGAAACTATCACAACTCCAACATCTCCCGAAGAAACCAAAGCAAATGAGGTTGTGTCCCCTTCACTGCCCGAGTCTGAAGTCGAACCCCTTACAAATGGTGAAGCGGACATTGCTAAACCAACAACGGAAGTGACAAAAGATAATGAAAACGTCGAATCAAAACCAGTGGAACAACCAACTAGTGTGGCGCCCAAAGTTTCAGAAACAAAACCGATAGCATCTCCTGTATTAAAAGAAGAGGAAACCAAAGTTGAAGAGCTTAAAGCTGAAGGGGCGGTAGAAAGTATTCAACCTAAACAGGAAGAAAGCACAGATGTTAAAGCAGATGAAACTGTGGTAGCCGAACCCAAAGAGGTGCGTAATGAAGAAGTTCCTCCTCCGCTACCCTCCTCAAATCCACCATCCCCGGTGACGGTATTTGCAGAATCCACAATGGCCGATTCTCCTCCCACCGATCATGTTCCTATCGCTCAAAGTACAATCCCTGCCGTAGAATCTGCTATTGCGCCCATTTCATCCGTCGCACATCCAGACGATACTCCCGAAATACTACCTGCCCCGTCCACTACTGCCGACATGGAAAATATTTCAAGTAAAGGTGATTGTCCTGAACCCGTAGAGGTCCCCACTTCAGAATCTATCATAAGTACCCCACCTATAGTAGAACAATCTTTATCAGAACCGCCACAAACGGACCCCATTATTGAAACACCACCCGCATCGGTTCCCCACCCGATTATAAAACCACCTTCAGAAGCTGTTACAGAATTACCCAATGTACCCGTCCAGGAAGTAATTGCAGAACCCGCACCCGCTCTCCTTTTAGACAGTTCGATCCCCGAACATGAAGTCGAACAGAGTTCGCCAAATAAAGAACCCGAACCTCTACCTCTTCCCACTCCAATAGAACAAGTAATCAACACGGATTCCTTACCCGATATATCGACAGAATCGTTACCGTCCTTACCCGAACCATTATCTGAAAGTCTTCCCGAGCCGATGTCTCTACCTCCCGTAGATTGTATACCGGAACCGATAGCGCCCCAGGCTAATTCGCTTACAGAACCCGAACCTATTCCGAATATTCCCATCGAACAAGACTCTATCGCAGATATACCCCTTCCTAATTCGGAAGCGATTCTCACTAATGGAGATGCACACGGTCCACCTTCGCCTGTCGTCGATGATACATCACTAACTGCGATACACGAAGGGCCAGTCAAACAGGTGAATAGCCCTACCGTAATGGAAAGTATCTTTTTATTAACAATCTAGTTTGCGTCTTTAATGTAATTTAGTAGGGTAGAGTTTTGTGCTAACAACTTTCAGAGTTTTCTGCTTTTCGCTCCTAACATGTTTATCCGACTAATCAGTAGATTGTTTATGGGTAGCGCATTATAAATTTGTTAAATCTATTAATTTATATTCGTGCTGTGTGTAAACATCCTTCCCGAGTTACTTATTATTCTAAGTGAGCATCGTCCATCCTTGATTTGTTGAATTATTTAGCTGCAAGGAAATTTTGTACATTACTATTGTGTTTTTAGGTTATTGCGACTTCCGAGGTGTCAGAAGTGACGGACGAAAAGAGGCATGATACAAACGAAGTGGTAAGTTTACCCTTATACATACTTAATAACTTGGTGCATAGCATTGGGATCTCAAAGAGTTCTCATTGAACTTAAAGAACAGGAATCGAATCATATGCTACTGTTTTGTTTGGATTGATATTAACAAACACAAGCTGAATACTACTTTGTCCAAATAACGCATTAACATGTGTCAATTTTACAGAAGAACATGATTTTAAGATACCAACGCTATGCAATGCACATTTTCGACATTAATCTAATTTTTGTTGCAGGAAGTGTCATCTGTACCTACCACAGTAGAAGAATAAATTATGTGTCTAGAGCTTTTTTTAAAAATACAAATACGAACATTTTTAATGTGTTAAAAATTTAAGGATCATTCCTGGCAGTGGCCGTTTTGACCAAAAGCAACCATTGACACTGCCATATCAATTTCAGCTGCGCTTTATTGACGGCAAAAAATTGAATAGTTGAGAAATTTTTTAATACTCTTATATTGAATATTGTATGAAAACCATCTTATGTGAAGTTTGGACAATTTTTATACATGTCGATACGACTTTTTTAAAAGTATACATTTGTAAAATATTAAATTTAGTGTATTTAGTAGTGTGTTAGGGGAGCTTCACAAAGTAATCTCATGTAATCGTTACAATTTGTTCTCAGGTTGTTGGATTTGAAAAGAAATTCTTTTGCAGGTACTCTTGAAAAGTTTTATTTATTTCTGGCCTTCTAGCGTAGATATGTAAGTTGTGTTTGTCAAGGTACGTCACATCTCTACATTTTGTGTTTGTACTTTGTAATATACATACATTTCAAATCTTACTTGTGATTATTGTATAGATTCTTTAACATTAATTGTGTTACGCAGTGGCTGTCGGATAAAATTAATTTTGTAGAAGTATAATAGAAGTGTTCGAGTGTATTTTATAATACAGGCAGCTAACACAGTTTCATTTGTTATTTGCCTCGTCAAATAACAAATGAAAGTCATGTTAAATAATTTGTAGATTTCCAAATTGCAGATTTGTACATTATTACAACGAAATTTTTGGGCTTCGGTATTCCTTCATTTTTAAATGTTAGTATAGTTCTTAATTATAAAAAAAATTATTTAGTTCACTCCTGTAAGAAAATCATGCTATTGCCCTTTTGATTTGTCGCTATTCGCATTCTGCGATTTATCAAGATGGCTGTGCATGTTGGATAATTATCCTCATGTAATTGTGAATGTGTCTATATAAATATATATTCGGGATATTTCTTAAATCTTTTGTGGTAATTAATTCCTCTTCGCCCAATGGTACGGCTATTTTTGTTGCCCAGTATTTTGCGGCATCTGCCAAAGTTGATACCGGGTTCACACACCAGCTGAAACTAGCACAAAATATGCAGTTTTTATGCTGCAGCTGCCTACAAAAGTTGCAGGTCATGATCAGAGATTGCACATACGTTTACAGTTCACAATGTGTTTTGGTTACAGTTTTAGCCGCTCAATATAGTCTCTTACATTGTGAGAAACGTTTGTTTATAGAATAAATGAGGAATGACTTAATAGTTGTAGCGGCAGCATATTTACTTTTTTGGAGAGCCTAACGGTGGATAAAAAGGCTGAACAAGTTGAGCGCTTTTAATTTAGTTACTGAATTGTACGATCAAGACGAATTAGTGTTTGTTTACAATGAACATATATGTAAACAAAAGAAAGGAGAAAGAAAAGAGTAAAGCGCGGTTTAGACGCTACGATAAATTGTATCGTTACGATTTATCGTTGCGTGTGAACAGAGGATTGTAGCGATTTATCGGAATTGGATGGTTGATGGCGGCCGGCTTCAATTTCTGCGAATCGTAGCGATAAATTGGAACGTGTAAACAATAACAGCGAACGATTTGTGATTAATGTTGCCGACGTGAACCATTTTTGTATCCATTTGGGCTACTTAGACTGTCTCTAGCGCACACGTTTTACATTTGCCGAGTTGCGATCAAGTTTGGGCACCCAAAAAAAATATTTAGCGACACATGGCTACTCATAAATCATAATCGAGATTAAGAGTCTGTTGTAAGCAAGCAATGTAAGCAATAAAATGCGAGTATAATTTATATTAGTGGACAGAACCAAAAGACAAGTTGAAAAGTAAAAAAATAAAAACTGTATTAAACCGTGATCGACAATGAGATTGGAACAAGAAATCGTTACATGTAAACAGTATACGCACTCTTTCGATTTATTGAACGATAAATTGGACAATCAGATCGTTACGATTTATCGAAGCCAAGATCGTAGCGTCTAAACCGCGCTTAATAGAAGCAGTGCTATCATGGCAAGAGTTCAAAAAGCAATGTTCGAGTGTTTAGATATATCTGAAGTGAACAAAAGAATGGGCGGTTTAAACGATATGAGCATATTTTTGGTAATTCTTCCTCAAAAATTCCTAGAAAACCCTATAGTGAACATGATTTTTGTGAAAATGCTGAACGTTTGCACGCATGACGCAGTTATATAGGAATTTGCCCAAAGAAATTATGAGACTAATAGCCGTTTGCACCGACAAATATAAGTGGAGCTGGTGAATGAGTATGTATAATCAATTTAGTAGTGGCAATGTCCATTTCCAAATTTTGCGACTTGACAACCTTGCTTTAATTTTGTAGGTTAGGTTCAAGTACACTTTTTTGAATATCGTTATCTGCAATGCAGATAATTAATTCCAATAAACTTAAGTACTAATTCCAAGAAGAAGATGTACTGACGATAAAGTATAATTTAGAAATGGAAGTTACGGAATTTCTCAAGCAACCGCATTTGGTAGCAAATATACAGCAGTTCTTTGGTATCGCAGTACGCAACCAAAATGAATTCGAGATTCGCAACAAGTTTTGGTATTACTTTTTCCTTTTCGGTACGGCTTTGGGCGACGAGACGTTTTACACTTTTTTTATTCCATTCTGGTTCTGGAATATTGACGGAGCAGTCGGTAGACGTGTGGTACTAGTTTGGAGTATTGTCATGTATATTGGTATGTAAACCCACATCTTATCATCAGAGTTTAATTTGTTGTTGTTTGTAGGGCAAAGCATAAAGGACATTCTCAGGTGGGAACGTCCGGGTTTTCCGGTTGTTAAATTGCAAAGTAAGTGGGCTATGGAGTATGGGATGCCATCGACTCACGCAATGGTTGCAATTTCTTTACCGTTTTCGGTGCTGTTGTACACAATGGATCGGTACCAATACTGTGTTGGTATCGGAACTCTTATTGCGGTTACTTGGTGTCTACTTGTTTGTGTAAGCCGTCTTTATTTGGGAATGCACACAGTCTTGGTAAGATCTTATTTTTGTACCTATGAATTATCTGTTCATGTCTATTCATAAGCGTTGGCCTTGGAAAGTTTCATTTAGCTGGCGTGTCTATATAAAGTTAAAAGTTTATTTGCAGGTATTTCATTAGATAGATAGATACTTGCTATAGTTAGGTAGATACTTGTCTAAAAGCGGATTAGACGTGACAAACAAAAATGTGATTGACTGGGTTGGAAGAAAGCTTTTCATGTACCTATGTGTTATCATGAAAGAGTGGACACTTTTTTAATCATAATATGTACTGTTTAATTTGAATTTGCAAAAAGCAATTATAAAATTTGACTATAAATGCTAGAGGCCCATTGAAAGTCTATTCTTTGTTTTATACCTATTTTCAAGGTACTTAAAATGTAACAACATAATGTATTGTCCTCTTATTTCAAACAATGTTTCAGCTAGGCCTGACAATGGGATATAAATACCCGAAATCGATCGCCATAGAAAATATAATAAACGTCTGTTCGAAAAATACTTCATACTATATTTGTGCTTGAAAGTATTTTCTGTTTCTTGCATATCCAAATTGTCTTATTCATTCTTACATCTCCTCGTGAATTATTTCTTTCATAATTATGCCAAATCAACCATACAAATGGTTAGGAATTGCTCAAAATGTGTAAGTAATTTCATTGTTTTGTTCGTTCTAGAGTTGAATAATACAAACCAAGTACTTGCATTTATTTGCATTGTCGTTATTGCCATAGAAAGTTTTAAATTTCCAACATCTATTTTACGTGAATGTAAATGTTGCAAGACCAACCCTTATCAAAAATAAGTTTATTAACGGAACATAGATAACATCCTCTTTTGTAGGATATAGTCGCAGGAATGGTACTCACAATTACGCTTATGCTGCCATTAATACCTCTAGTTGATAAGTTAGATAATTATTTTTTAACAAATAGCACATCGCCCATTCTGGTGCTAGTAGTCTCAATTTTAATGATCGTTTATTATCCGAACAGCGAGAAGTGGACTCCGACAAGGTGAGTTACGCTAACTCAATTCATAATATCAATTAACATTTGCAGAGGTGACACAACTATGGTCGTTTCAGTGTGCGTCGGGCTTTTAATAGGATCATGGTTAAATTTCCAAATGGGAAGAATGGCGTTACCAGAACTGAGACCGCCATACACCATATTATGGCCGTCAGTTGCGATGGTCGGTTATTCACTGTTACGAACTTTTATAGGATTTCTTTGTGTGATTATCGTTAGAATGACAGCAAAAAGTTTAAGTTATAACTTTCTTTGTGCGTTGTTACGTCAAGACGTTGACCTAATTAGAAAATCCGCAAATTCGTTAGATAATAAGCACAAAAATTTTGTAGAATTAGCGTGCAAGTTTGTCACGTGCGCACTTATAGGTTTTAATACGATTTTCCTAATTCCTTATATTTTTAGATTGATGCGTATAGAGCGTCTTACTTTCTACACAGAAATTTAGTGCAAGTCCGGATGTAGAGTAATAAATTCCGTTTGTTGGAGGTACTTGTATTATAAACGCTTCGTTTTGTCTATAGGCGTCCACATATCAAAATTTATCTTGTTGCTAGGAGAAGCTTTTCGATAAGTACCTGCACTCGATTTTTATCTAATATTTAAAGCGTTGTTAATTAAGGTTTCTACTTAGTACAGTGTTTGGTTCCTATTGCGATTTGCCATTTCTACACAATTTAATTATTTTTCAGGTTTCAAATAATTAGTATGTTTATGACTCATAGAGATTTTTGAAAGCTAATGACACTTTATTAGGTACCAAGGTCAGTATATTACAGGTTGCATGATGTTTCGTTATCTTGTCATTGATGCTTGCATTACGCGCACGTAATTGAACCTGTGCTTATGCTATCCACATCCAATATTCCTGGAACAATCTGTGTGGTAGCATGTTGTAAAAGTAATCCTTCAATTTCCGTGGAACAAGGTGAACATAATATTTCATTTTTTTTCTAAATTTTAAAATATAAAACTGAATATTTGTGTTTCATTAGTTAAATGACTTCAAATTGATGGTCCGACTTAAAAGACAATCATGGTAGCTTGTAGGGGAGCAAAAATTGCAATGAGAAAGTGTTTTTAAAAAGCTCTTCAAATAAAGTCAGAATAAAAGAAGTTTCAAATCCCTACAACATTACGATTCTGAACTATGTTAGAAATTACCATATGTATGGATAGATGGGAATTTCCTTAGATCAGTTTCAAGCATTTTACCCGCTACTCCGAATTAGGTTTTCCTAATTCGTAAGGTAAATACCAGAGTAGTATAGAACAACTTAAGACATTCTGCAGGGGCGCCTATAAAAAGCATTATGCGCAACCCTGTTGGGAGCCGACAGCAAGAAAGGGATAATAAATAAATAAACATTCAGAAATTTGATAATTTTTAGAATCTTCAGGTCATAAACCTTTTTAGAAACTTTTGAAACTTTAGTAAGTACCTACTTTAGAAGCTTTAAGAATATAAAAAAAATGACACGCTGAAAACTTGTCCACCACTTCTCCAATGATACCCAAACACAGAATTGCATCCTGGCTGAGAAGTAGCGGGACTAACACTTCGCCAGTCGCCTTCAAACAACAATAATGCAATGATTTAGTATCCTTCATATTTGGGAATGAAATTAATATTGTGTTTAGTTCTGAGTCATCATACATTTATTTATTTCATTAAAACAATTCTACTATTAATCTACATAATTAAAAACAATTTAAGTGAAGTTATACAGATTTACGAAATGCAACACTTAGAACCTTTCTTATCATTTATTAATAATGCGTAATACTTCAACTTTTAAATGTATCCGATAACGAAGCACTCCAGTTCTGTTGTTAGGAACAAACGCTCCAATAATAAGGTTGTGATTTATATTCACTTCTAATCTAAGTGTAACTTATTTACACTTGTACAGGTGATATCTCAATGTAGTTTGCTACAGATAAATGATTAAAAATGTAGATCATTTATTGATGAAATATTTAAACATAGTCTTAGCAGGTAGACATTTTTACTGTTAAAATCTGAAAAATAAAAAACATTGTCCATTAAAAATTGTTGAACAAATTATTTACCTTCGAACAAGTGTTGTATGTGGATGTTGCAAAATTGATGGAGAATGGTAGGTAGATATCTAAAAAATACCCAGATGCCTTCGATTCGAACACAACTCGATCTTCACCAACTTCCAACATGAAATCTCTAGATTTTGGGGCAGCACGCAACTGAATTTCGCAGTAGCACAAGTTATTTTCGCCCTTCCTCCTGAACAGCCTATACTTGGGGGTAATGATAGACTTTTCGGAACTTGACAGCACCTGTATAAACGGTTGGGCGTTTCGGTTTGTATCAATCAAAATTTGCTCCTCCCCTTTGATAGAAGCGATAGTATTCTGGATTTCTCGTTGCTGAATTCGATGCAGCTGTAATGTTCCATACGCTTTTTTGTTCTTTAATATCACTCGCTCGTCCGTCATGTGCAAGTTGTACTTATCTCGTAGACCCTCGAAAACCACTGTGAGCAAAAAGTTCTTAAAAAGTACACTATTTTCGATTTTGTACATGAACTTTGTATTTATGGCGATGTCGACCGCTTTGGCGCCAATTCCTTTTTTATCGGATTCATTACGCACCTCGCCAATGCTTAAGGGAATTTTGTAATTACAGATCTCGTCCGAGTTGCAAATATCGGCGAGTTGGCTTTCACTTATGTCATCAGGCGGAGGTAGAGCGTCGGTCTGACAAATGTTTACAAATAACTTTTCGTTGGTTCCGATTTCTTTTGTTTTTACACAGAAACCTGTGAAAATTGCACAAAATATTAATAGTATATTATATACCGCGGGACTGAAGTAGTACTTTTAATCCCGAATGTAAAGTAAAGTAAAGTTTAATTTACCTGAGGGATTAAGACCACTACTTCAGTCGCAAGGTATATACGATATTTTTCATACTTCCGAAACTGAAACATTTAATATGTATGAAGTTAGAGAACGCGTTCTTTCAAAAAAATCGCTGCTTAACAAGTTACCATAGGAATGTTGCGTTGGTATGACAAACCCTATGCTATGGTAACAAAAATAATTTGGAAACTGTCATTGCTAGTGTCATAATTTTGGTGGTGGGTGACAAAGATGTATTTGATACTGATAAAAAGCAGCCAAAGTAGGTAAAAAATTGATACCACGGAAATCCAAAAAAACTATATGAGCAGCAGTATGATGCGTTTTTGAAGTGTGCCGCATACAAAATGTGGAACAACCTACTGAAATTGCCTTGTTAGTAATTTCATCCTTCCGGGATTTTTGTCCACATTTAATCCCGGCGGGACAAAAAGTGACACTTTAGTACTTGTCATAATGGAGTGAAGTTGTCACTTTAGTCTCTGAAGTACGAAAAAGCTTTTAAAGGTAAAAAGTATCTAATGATGTTCTGTAGAGGTTGGCCTACTAATTAACCCCCTAAATTCGTCTGTTGATACCGATGTCCAAACGGCCCAAAAAAGAAAAAAATGAAATTTTTCAAAAAGTTTCTGTTTTTAAAAACCTTTACAAGGGTGCGTTTTGTTTGTCGTTAGCTCTAATATTGGTAATGAAAATATAAGGATTTTTCTCCTCGCATTTTACATTGCATATATGACAAGAACGCACACATAATCGTTAGCCATTCGCTTAAACGGTGTAACTTTTTAAAATATCGTTTATAAGACACTGGTCTTAGACGAATCAGAATTTTAAAAAAAAGTTTAATATAAATTATAGCTGGTAACTTAACGAATCCAACGAGGGGTATAGTTTTAAAATAATTATCCATTTCTTTTTGGTCTTGGCCTATTTTTCTGCTTTCGTAAAAATCATTTTACCACTAGATGCTGCACGTGTAACATAATCATATTAATTAATTAATTCGAATTTTTCATGTACCTAACTATGAATTATGTTAGCGGGTCGGACAAAATTTATCGGCGGGCCGTAGGTTGCCCTACCTCTAGTGGCGGATATGGTGAGAATTAACCTGCCAGCAAATCTATTGTATTGAAGGAGGAAATTACATAAGATGACATTAAAGACAATATGAAGTTCCTATTTTTTTTATAGCTACGCATTGTATGTACTTTCAATTTTTCTAACACTACTAATACAATTACGGAGACAATTACAAATGAAGTCCCAGAATTGAACCTTGATGTATATGTCCTTGGTAACAGCAGCGCAGTTTATTTAGCAAGTAAATTTGCTATGTAATTTGGAGCATTGGAGAATCGGTATTGGATATTTTATGGTAGGTATATCTTGTTCATTAGGTGTATCGGAATAGTTATTGATTAAACAATTATGCAATTGAAAAATTATTGGCACATATAAAAAAGAGGTCGAATAGCACAAGGTTAACTCTCATCATGTGAATTATTTCAGTTACATCATTCATAATGATTAAGCTTACTGTAAACCTACTATTTTTTATCGTTAATATTCTGCCCAAACATTTATAAACTTCCACTACAGCTGTGATAGTAAACAGCTTATTGATTCAATTGAAAGTTAAGCAATTGAAAGTCACATTGTTTGTACAAAAATCCCAAATCCTTGTGAGAATGTGTGTTATGTAACAATTACTTACTTTTATTTAAAAAAAATGTTAGTTGGTAATATATGTAGGTAGGTATATATTAAATTTTCCTCGTTACTTCAATTGTATCCCCGATAGCCTAATCCCAATATTATGCAATCAGTTAGAGAAACAATAATCATCTTTTTGTAGTTAACTAGGTACATGTAATCGTGTTGCTTGTGCAATTGGGTGAGTGTATGCCATATACCTACCTACTCACCTGGAATCGGTTTTATTAATTTCGATGGGTACTGCTCTTCGCGCTCCAAAAGTTGAGTAATTTCATCAGAGTCATTCTAAAATAATTAAAAACATGTAATAAGTGTTGATTTTTGCTTTTAAAAAATTCAATGTATTAAATGTGCGTGACGTGAGACACTCCCCCCTCATTCCGATTAACCATCAGTCTAATTGACTTAACCTCAAATGTTTCAACTTTCAAATTCTTTGTCTTTTCTTTGCGCAAAACGTAAGTTTAATTAAATTACCGTTATCCGCAAGTTCTTCTCCACAATCGTCGAGTCAACATCCAAAAATACAGGTTTAGGACCCATTTTTTAGATCAAGGTTATGCGCGATATAAATACAAAGGGGGCGACGTTTACGTCGGCTTTTATCGGCTTTCGCACATTAATTATATAAACTCGTATCGAATTCTCTTGATAAATTGATAATTCACTTCCAGCGGAACACTAATCTTTGTAATGTTTACTAAAAAATCGCAAGTCACACATCTACTTTAGTAAAATGGCGAATTCCGAGTTGGACCGTTTTTGCGGTTCCCCTTTTTGGGTAAGTTTTTTTTTCGCAATATGGACCCAAATGATTTATTCTGTTACTTTAAGAATACCACACTCACATGGAATACGGCCGATCCCGATTTTACAAAGTGCTTCGAAAAGACAGTATTAGTGTGGGTACCCTGTGTGTTTCTCTGGACCTTTTCAAGTTTAGAAGTTTACTACATTTTAAATAGCCAAAACAGGAAAATACCGTGGAATTTTTTAAATATCACGAAATTTCTCATAACGTTAGTGTTGGTGATAGTGTCTGTCGTCGATTTTGGGGTTGCAGTGCACTATGCAAAAGATGAACAATACAGTATACACAAAGTTGATGTCTACAGTCCGATAATTAGGATTTTAACTTACGTAAGTATTCGTTGAAGGGGGTGATATGATTGCATAAGATTTCACAATAATTTTCAATATTTTGAATTGTAAAGATTTTTCTGATTATGTATTAGCATAGCAGAATACGAGGGGTGTGACACTTAAAAAATGTGTGCATGGATACACCATTACACTAAATACAGAGGGAAATATTACTAGTACTAACAACTATCGGATAGTGCCGAACCCCAAAGCAGAACAACGGGCGACAGTCAGAAAGAAAATGATTGCTGTAGAAAGATTGGGCAATTGGATGTAAGACCAGGTGCCAAATTCTTGATAGATTAGCTAACTAGCTCAAACCGGATATTTTAAAAGACGTTCTTGACAATCTTACATCCTTTATGCCTTTTTTGTTTAATAGTTTCCACAGCCCTGTAGAGCCTTTTCGAGTCTCGTCGAGATGTATAAAGAGATTTTGAAAATATTGTAAAGCTCTTAATACTTAATTGTAGATATTTTGAACAGATGTCATGAGGAGGAATATTCTTGAGACTCCTTCAGAGCCTGTACCTATACCTAGGCCTTTATGAATTACAAGATGTTTTCTCTTCCAGAGTCTGGAATGGTCTCGTAGACCTTTTAGTGACCTTACGCTTTACATTTTGAGAGTTGTTAAGAGGTTTTAATAATCTAAGAAAACATAAAATCCCAATTTTGAAGGACGTTTAAGAACCCTTTTGAAGTATGAAGGGTCCTTAAGTGCATTTAGTGATCTTTAAAAGTGTAAGACTCGCTAACAGTTTCCAAGGGCTTTCAGTTTTCAAGAGTATTCAAGAGACTATTAAGAGTCTTCTAGAGGCTTAAGTGTTTGAAAATGTTATAAAATGTAATACACTTTCATATTGTTAAGACACCCTCTTTATACTCTTAGCACTGATTCTTGTCAGTATTGTCAAAAGGTAACAAGAGCAAGAGAGCGATGGGGGTCTAAATAGTCGCACAATTGCAAAACAATCAATGGTGCGGAGCGAGATTTCGCTAGCGACCACTGTAGGGTTCATACAGTACGTTCAGAGATTTATGCAAGTTCATCACCCCTCAGTATTCTTATTATATAATGTACACCCAGATGTATACTTACTCAAAAGTTCACATTGCAGGCACTTTCGGCACTTATCTTAATATACTATTGTAAAAATGGCCTTCGTACTTCGGGTACCCAGTTTATATTTTGGTTTCTTAATGCAATATGTGCAATACCTCAACTTCGTACTGAAATATTGGGTACATCGTCAGAGTCGCTTGTCCCACAGTATTTTTACGTTAGCTACTTAATATATTTTCCGTTGGTTGTTATAATGGTGCTATTAAATTGTTTCGCCGACAAGGAACCGGAAGTCACGAATTATCCCAAATCAGAGGTGAGCCGCATTGTACTCCACTGTATAGCACTAAACACCTAAGTTTATAGAAACCTTGTCCAGAGGAGAGCGCAAGTTTCCTCTCTCGCATGTTTTATCGCTGGTTTGATTCGATGGCATGGAGAGGCTTTCGTAATCCGCTGACTACTGCCGATTTATGGGATTTAAAGCATGAGGATACGGCAAAAGAAGTTTTTCCCATTTTCGATAAATACTGGCAGAAAAGTCTCAGTCAATCTTCAAGGTAAGTTGATGTAACTCGTTGTGTTTTACTGTTTGTTTTTTTATGGCACCTTTAACCATAAAAACGGAAAAAGGTTTTCGCGCTAAGGCGCGTAACTTTAGCGCTTTTTCCACTAAAGGTGGATTCACGTGCATACTAATTCCGATGTCCGAATCCGAAATTGTAATTTTAATATCGGGTCAAGAAAATGGTAATACACACGAATACAAATTTTGTTAACAATATTTTACAAAGTTGAATTTTTTTTTGGATACAATTTCCCGCTCAAGCACGATTGAAAATTGTTGACCATTCATAAACCTTTCGGAAATACAGTCTCGTCGGATTTCGTATGCATGTGAATCCACCTTTATACTGTACCTATATGGCAGTAGCTCTATCACCGAAGAGTGTGACAAAATAAATAGACTGCATGTTGTATACTAATCTAATCCTAACACGTTATACGTATATAGCGCTTCCACGCAGCAAATTGATACACTAACACTATACTTATCCGAATGATCACCGCTTACCTAAAGGCTTTATGCTTTAAAAACAACTTCCTTTTCCTCAACTTTCCTACTTTTACAGTCGTCCTCCGTACCCTCACGCAGAATATAAAACTGATTCTGTTCATGTGGAATTTATTAGGAGGTCGAAAGCTAAACAGGCCTCTGTGTTACCGGCATTGATTAAGACGATCGGGCCCACGTTTCTCTTTGGCGCCATCTTGAAACTTATTCAAGACATATTAACGTTTGTAAGTCCGCAAATTCTCAAGTAAGTATTTTGAGAGAAACGAGATATATTCTGATATTATGCGTTTAGTTTACTCATCGCCTTTGTGGAGGGAGGCGAGCCACAGTGGAGGGGTTTCTTGTACGTCGGCCTTTTGTTCCTGACGGCGTGCGTTCAAACGCTCGTTCTTGCTCAATATTTCCATCGCATGTTTGTGGTTGGAATTCGAGTTCGCACGGCGCTTATATCGGCAATCTACAGAAAGGCGTTAAAAATGTCGAACGCCGCAAGAAAGGAAAGTACCGTAGGGGAAATTGTCAATCTAATGTCCGTCGATGCCCAGAAATTTATAGAACTGACACCGTACATTAACATGATTTGGTCGGCACCATTACAAATCATCTTGGCACTCTACTTTCTGTGGCAAGTGCTCGGGGCGTCAGTCTTAGCTGGCTTGGCCGTGATGATAATTTTGATACCCATCAACGGTCTTATCGCGAATCGTGGCAAGGTACTGCAAATACGACAGATGAAGAATAAGGACGAACGGGTGAAGCTGATGAACGAGGTCCTCAGCGGTATCAAGGTGCTGAAGCTGTACGCGTGGGAGCCCAGTTTTGAAGCGCAGGTTTTAAAAATCCGTAACAAGGAAATCAAGGTTTTAAAACAAGCCGCTTATTTGAATGCAGGTACTTCATTTATATGGTCGTGTGCGCCATTTGTGGTAAGTACATTGTAGTGTGCGATTTATTCTTGATAAGAGCTCACCAAGATCATCATTTTGTTCTATTTATGTTCTCGCTCCAATAGTCTTGTTAAGTCTTTGAGTGCAGAAAGCTGATATTGCTCGTTGAGAATATTTAAGTTTTTATTAGTTTCCAAAAGTTTTTCATGATTGCCACAGATTATTAGTGGCTTTCAAGAGTCCTTAAAAAAAAAGAGTTTTTCATATCCTTTAAAGATGTAATTACTTGAGCATTTTCAAGCAAATAAAACAACGAATGATTAAACCACTTTATTACAATGTTTTTCCGAAGTTTCAATATGTATTTTGCGCAGCGTCTACGCGCGCGCATTCAATATGGCAATTTTTTCGTATCGCTGTAGTTTACATGTAACAAAGTAAGCGGCGTAATCTATATTCTGTGCTGTTGTTATGGTACACCCTCTATATCATGTACGATCGAGGTCGCGTACGTAACTTACCTCAATTCCCACCTTAATTTTCGACGCTCGCTCTACACTGTGTCTGGTTTGGCTTAGCCTTTCCTGATGAAGTTGCGGCACTAGTGGTATTACTCGCTTGCGAGAAAGAATGGAGGAAAAGTGGGCACCACAATCACAAGGTTTTTATTATCTATCAATGCCTATAACTGCTTTATCGCCGTCAACATACGAGAACCTGAACTGCAACGCCATCAATCCATAAATAATCAGTGGTCAGTGGCGGGCGTAGGGTCCTATCTCAGCCACTTCCAGTTTTCCCGCGATGGCCACGTGTGGAAACGAGTCTCCGGAAAATTAGTCACCGCCTACTGAAGTACCACAAGGGCAACTCGCTTCAGCCCTGGAGACATTTTTTGCTGCACACCTTGCTTGTCCAAATATTCACATTCAGCACACCTGGTTTAGGTTAAGATAGAGTCGCCCATCAGTCAATGGCTCACGATGTAAACATACAAGGGTTACATAAGTAGAACAAAATGGTATCTATCTTGGTAATTTTGATACAAATACAAATATCGAGACCAATATAAAATTCTCATTTCTCCCCTGTGCAATTTCGCTACAATTAATTACTCCAACAGTGAGTTAAAAAAATTATGTGCTGTACAGGTTACATTATTCACCTTTCTAACATATGTCTTCGTTGACGAGGAACATCAGTTAACACCCCAAGTAGCATTTGTATCCCTCGCATTGTTTGGGACCATGCACTTTGCGATGGGTGCATTTCCAATGGTACTTGTGTGGTCCGTTGAGGTATTTTTACAGTAAATCATAAATACTCGCTTCCTTTATCACTAGTTGAGTAACTAATAAATACACTTTTTGTTTAAATAAATTGGCACTAATTTTAATTACTTATGCATGACTAGGTTTCGCTGGTGTCTTTTGGCACTTATGTACTGGTTGATGACTCTCACGTGCTTGATGCCAAGACTGCCTTTGTTTCATTGTCTCTCTTTAATGTGCTGCGATTTCCATTGAGCATGTTACCCATGATGATCTCCAATGTGGTGCAAGTAAGCCCCTTTTTACTTTATCCATTCTGAAGAGCTGGGCAAGATCTGTTTATTAAGAAGTAATTATGTTACTTGATCAATTAGTTATTACTTTAAGCTTTACTAGCAGCAACTAACTTTCCATAAGTCAAGTTATACCTTTAAATCAATGGAATACTTAGTTGCTATTCAATTCATTCTGAAAAGTGACATTTATAGTTGTTGGTAACATTAATGATTGCACGACTCTAGTACGGTACACAGTAACTTTTTGTTTTTTGAAAAAAGTAGCTATATAACTAGTTAGTGCCCAGCTCTGATCCATGGTTACTAATTATCATTGGCATTTGCGACTAACATAAGTACCATCCCTATTCTGTACTTCATATAATAATCGCTTCTAAATTTCAGACTTTTGTGTCTATCAAACGTTTGAATAAGTTTATGAACTGTGAAGAACTTGATGTAAATAATGTTACGCACGATCCGAAAGAAAGTAAGCAATTTTTTCGTTACACTAAAGTTAATTGTGTGATTCCAGAGGTTCCAATATTAATAGAAAATGGGATATTTGGCTGGGGCGAAGAGCCAATTTTAAAGAATATCAATATACAGCTTGAAAGAGGATGTCTGACTGCAGTCGTCGGGAGTGTCGGATCAGGTAAAAGCAGTCTGATCTCGGCACTGTTAGGTGAGATGGAAAAAATATCTGGGAGGGTAAACACCGTTGGATCCGTCGCGTATGTCTCCCAACAGGCTTGGATTCAAAATGCGACTTTACAACAAAATATTCTATTTGGTAAAACAGTCGATAAAAAAGTGTATGACAATGTCATTGGAGCGTGCGCTCTCAAACCAGACTTTGAGATGCTACCGGCCGGCGACCAAACAGAAATTGGCGAAAAGGGAATCAATTTGTCAGGGGGTCAGAAGCAACGTGTGAGTTTAGCTAGAGCGGTTTATTCAAATTCAGATATTTATCTTCTGGACGATCCCTTAAGCGCCGTTGATAGTCACGTGGGTAAACACATCTTTGAACAAGTTGTCGGACCCGATGGTCTTTTAAAAAATAGCACAAGATTACTTGTAACACACGGCATTACCTACTTACCTATGGTCGATAAAATAATTGTTCTTAAAGATGGGGAAGTATCAGAAGTGGGAACTTATCAAGAACTTCTCGATAAAAAGGGCGCTTTTGCTGAATTTATCATACAACATTTGAACGAAGTGGTTAATGATGAGAATGAAGAGCGTAAGTATGTGTTTGAGCAGCAAATCGCCTGTCTACAATACACCGCTATTGATTAATTGGTGTGTTCATTTTTTTAAAATTATGAAACCAACCACTACAGTTCTTCTTGTTTGTGAGCTGTCCATCTGTTAACGTGTTTAAATACTAATCGTCTTTATTTTGTAGTGAGCAGAATGTTAGCTAATAACTACTCGCTCCACTCAACACACCCATGCCTTACCTGGGATTCAACTCCAGGATTCTTGTAATAATAATAATAATAATAATAGAATCTTGATATACAGATCATTCATATTTGAACATGCTTATATTAATAATTAATAAATTATAATACAAAAATATAATGCATAAATAACAACATAATTGCTTTAAAGGAATAGGCAACAATAAATAAAAACGCAATAATTAAAAATATTAAATTTAACAAAGAAAAATACAGTATATTAAAAATACCATTTTTTATTAAACTATTGCTCTTTAGTATAACCTAATAATAATTTTGTAAAAGTATGAATACATGGACTGTGTTTGATATTACGTGGTAGATTATTAACCACCAAATTATTTATAAAACAGTTCATCGTTGATTTATAATTTGTTTGAAATATGTGAATGTTCTAAGAACTACACTGTAGACTGTAGGTAGTATTGGTGTAGTTCATACCTAGTTAAATACTACCGGCCCTTATGGCGCAGGGGAGTGAAAACTCGACTGTGGTACCGAGGGTCCCTGGTAGACATGGTTGATACTGTCCTCTATTGGTTGGATTCATAACAAAAAAAAAAGCGAAGACATCTTGTTTACTTTTTAGTAACAGTTGATTGTTGCAGAATTGGATGAGTTGAAACAACAATTGAGCGGAACTGTGGTATCGGACGAGTTTTCGAGACAATTAAGCAGGCACATTTCACGTATATCGGAGTCGTTCTCTGAAACTGGCTCAGAGAAGGCGAACGGTTCACTACAACGCCAAAAGTCTATTGACAGCAGAGAGGAAAAAGGGTTAACGCGTCGAACAAGTTCGTTAGACGCGGCGAAAAAACCCGTCGTGGGCGAGAAACTAATTGAAGCGGAAAAGGCGGAAACGGGCAGCGTAAAATGGGCGGTGTACACTCATTACTTAAAGTCGATCGGAATATTTTTGACCGTTTCTACTATTGTACTTAATATTTTATTTCAATTCTTTACTGTGGGATCAAATTTGTGGTTGACGGAATGGTCAAATAGCAAAAATGTTTCAACACATCAACGGGACATGTATCTTGGTGTGTACGGTGCTTTAGGATTAGGTCAAGGTAAGTGTTTGTTTGGTAAGAACTATATTGCGAACTTACATAAGGAAAGGACGAGTAATATGTAAAAAGGTAAAAACCTACATAAAAGAGAAATTTCACAACAGGCAAAGTTGAACAGTCCGAGGTTGAGTGTTGAGTGAAAATGACATATACCCAACTTATCACATGCGCGGTTTCAGTTTTCGATTATTCCTAAGAAATTGTAAGTATAGGATTTTGGTCCCGAACAAAGATTATAACAGTTGGCGGTGCGTTTCCTCAAACCCGCCGCATAAACGGTCAACTAACTCAAGGTTAAACAAGAAAATACAAGCTTGAGATCTATCACATTGATAGTTCGTCCTTCGTTGCACTTGAGCGCCACTCAATTTCTATCTTAATTCTCCCCGCATAAAATTGAGAAGGCACGAGGCTACAAATCAATTTAGGTACCAAAACAAGTTCTGTGTTATTCAAACAATGGCAAAAATAAAAACTCTCTCCACAATGGGATAGCTTAACACACAAATATTCAAAATACTCCCCAAATACTCAAAATTGTAACTTACATTACACTAATGCCTCGCTCTATTCATTATCTGCTTCTATAGTAGGTACGGTACTTAATTGGCCAATCTCTCTGTAAGGAAGTGGCGGACTACAATAATTTCGCGTTGTTTCATTTTTTGTATGATTTTTATTTTAGATGTATACTAATTGTAGAGTCATTATATACCTACGCAATTTAGGAACGAGAATATGTAAACTTTTAGTTTAAGGGGAAATGGAAGAACGGTTTTTGCCGAATTTCCTCCTTTTGTGTATATTTTTTGTACACAATAAACGTTATTAAGAGTTAAGAATTAAGATACCTACTATCGGCAGTATTTATTGGCAGACACTTCAAATATCAAAAACACGCTATATGTATAGGTAGCTATCTCGCTCACACTCAAGCGTACGTATCTTATAACACCTAGTACCTGAGAATTGGTCGTCGACCCAACCTAGGGGGTATGTACACTACACACTAATACTACTCTATTGTACCTCTTTTGTTCATCAGAAAATAAGTAAAGTCTGGGATCTTGGACTACTACTTTGAGATTATTGAGGAAAATAGTAATTGACAGTATTTCAAGGTACACCTTGATTTGATAATCACCGTACGTACACCTCCATATAGTTATGCTTATGCTTACTGCTCAGAGGGACGAGAAAATCGTACTTTGAAGAAAATCGAACATATGTGACATTTTATTTTTTTGATATGATATGAATGTTATATACTGGATAACGACATTAAAGTTGTAAAAACAAAAGGGCTTGTTTGGTGCAAATGTTGCAACTTTGCCTTCGATTTAAGAATTGGCTGTTGAGAATACAAGGACTGTGGTAAAGACATCAGAGTCAAATTGTTTTTACATCTTTTTACATATTACATGCTCTTGCGGTTAACAGAATCATTTGGAAAAACTGATCAACAAATTTCACTATAAAGAAAAGCATGTATCAGATGTGTTTTCCTTTCACTACTTTCATTGCACTCACAGAGCATGTTACGTTAATTTGTATGTTACTAATCGACTAAGTTGTATGAAGTTGTACCCACTAACGTTTCTTATACACCCTTTTATCATATTTTGATGATCAAATACAATAGAGTCTAGATTACGACATGTCTAATCTTTCCCACCTACATTTTAAACTCAATAACTACCACCTCACTCAGTTACATATGGATCCCCACTTAAAAGTTCGACTAAACATTTTCATGCACTCCATTATAAACTATCCGCAAAAATAAAATTAATTCATTTTTACTTATAGGTGTTGCTATTTGTGTTGCGACTTTATCTAATGCTGTAGGAACTATTAGAGCATCAAGAATTATTCACCACGAACTGTTAGTAAACATAATGCGCCTGCCACTCACTGTTTTTGATGTGACACCACTGGGTCGTTTGCTAAATAGATTTTCTAGCGATATTACGACATTGGATCTAGTCTTGCCACAAATTCTCTACTCTTCCCTACAAATGGGAACTTCGGTAAAATCTCTATCGGTTACTTTTGGGGCACACTGACACCGCTACTAACTGCTTCACCGCTTTTATGTATTAACCGCCTTTACATTCCTATCATCACTGTATTATTATAGTAATCGTAATCTGTTTCGGTTTTCAGTTTTCTCACTTTTACTATCGACCTTGGCGTTATTCATTGGTTGTTTGCGTGGAGCCCAGTTGTTGCACAATTTGTTGCTTTCGAATGTATTGAGAGCTCCTGGAAGTACATTTTTTGATGTAACGCCCATCGGTCGAATTTTAAATAGATTTTCAAAAGATATCGAAACAGTGGATATAGTTTTACCGATGACATTTCGTGGATTTGTTAATATGTTATGTTCGGTAATTCCTATAATTATTATTAGCAAGCAGTTATATTTAAAAGTGATATTTGTCAGTAAAAGGTATTCTTAAAGCATGTCCATTCTTTTGTTTTTTCCATTGGACTTAAGTAAAAAGTTGAATTTTTAGCGCTAAGTGTGTGTTCCTCTGAATTGATATTGTGATTATCTGCTGTGAAAGCCGCTGATCACGTTCACAGACATTTGCTGGAAAATATTTTGAGAAATCCGATTCAGTTTTTTGAGTGTGTGCCTATTGGTAGAATTATTAGTCGTTTTTCTAAAGACATTGAGAGTATCGATGACGAACTCGCCTTTAACGTCTACGAATTTATTGAGAGTTCTGGTTTGGTAGGTGTATTTGTTTATAATCTTATTTACAGCAGTTATATTTAAATTGAATGTTTCCGGATTTTACAATTTTCGAAAATACTACATGTAGTTTTTTTTTATTTTGGGACAGTGTCCACTTGTAACTAGTAACTGTATAAGAGGCTACATTACTTTCAACTATTTCGTAAATATTTTCTCGTTGTACTCGAGTAAGAATTGCACCCAGATCTTTTTCTAATATTTTATGCCTTTTGAAGCCCACTATATAACGTTATGCTCATGTACGCCGGTAACCATTCTTATAAGTAATAAGCGTTAAATAATTGTTTGGGTAGATCCTTTGTGTTTGGCACTTGTCAAAAAGAACACAAATGGTTTATCTAACTTTGCAGAAATTATTACATTATTTTGAATTTAATTGTATACTTTTCGAATTTCTGTGATGAACCGAAGAGTTTGTTTCACTTAGGTATATGGATCTATAATAGTTTAATATACGAATTTCCCATTGATTATCTTACCCATTCTATAATTTGTTTCCTTATATCAGATAGAATAGTTATTTTTTCACTGTTGACGAAAAATTAAAAAAAAAATTTTTGACAGTTGTAGAAAAATGTATTTATACAGGGTGTGGTACCTAGCGCGACGCAGCATAGGAATTTCAATGGTAATTTCTTTATAGTCAATTATCAGCTCCCCTAATTATTTCAGAGCAAAAGTCTAAATACGTTTTTTTCAGAGAAAAAAATACTGCTACTGTTCATACTATTACTCATAATTTTCCGTTTTTCAAAATCGTAGAAATCGACAAAATAAAAAGATTCATTTTACAACAAATCAGATATGCCTTGGAATTACCGTCAAAACCATCAGGAAAACGACAATACACTCAACGTTTTGGCTGCAGTATAGCGGAAAATTCGAATATAAGTTTAAGAACAATTCTCCCTCATATCAATTTCTTTTTCTTCGATTATGTACTCTGGTTCCGGAAAATGATAAACAAATAGTATGTCATGCACATGCAGCATTACATTCTCTAAAAAAACCATTACCCCATAGACGCTTTTTCTTGCGCCGGTTAGTTGAAACAGAATTAAATATGAAAATCGTTCGACGTCAAACAACTGTAACTTAGATGCGATGCGTATGGAGAATTTAAAATTATTTCCTCAATTATTAAATCATTAGTTAATTAATCACGAAATTAAAGTATTTATATCAAACTTATACTTCTAATTTTATTAAAATACAAAACTTAAATTAATTAATTAGTGAGTGATGATAAAGAATTCATTTTCTTACTATGTTTGAAAGTAGTATATAGCCTCTTATTTAGTAACAAATAGTCTGTTGACTAAAACTGATTAATTTTAAAAATAGTGCATGCACAAAACCCGCCTTCTTAGTTGAAACAATCAGCATCTCTCATCAATTTCCAAAAGATGTTTTTTTGAAACAGAAATGTGTCGTAATTTTTAGAATCAAAATGTTTTAACTTTTTAATTGTACTGTTGCGAAAGTATAGTCACAGCTTCGTGTTAACCAATGAGAGGAAAAATATAAATTTCTTTCTTTTCTAGTTACAAGCATGTTTGGTTGGCTGTTTATGTTTGCGAAAGTGACAAAGGGTGCATCCAAAATCCTTCACAAACACTTGCTGTCTAATGTGCTCCATCTGCCCATAGTTTTTTTCCATGTAACCCCGATAGGTAGAATGTTAGCTCGTTTTTCGAACGACATTCATTCGCTTGATCGGCAACTTCCGTTCGCCATACGAATTGTTCTGTCAAATTCGCTTTCGGTATGTTGGATGTGTCTACTCATGTGTGAGCATGTCTCTCGCATGGATTGTTTCTTCGTACTTTTTGAACAAAAGCTTTTGGCATGGAACATTAATTAAGTTTATAGTGATCATGTGTTCGGAACACAATTGCAAAACTGGTAACCTTGCTTATCGCTTAGAAATGCTGGAACTGAATAACCAGGTTATTGGAGTATTTGAAATTTCAATTCGCCTATTCGAATTATTTGTAACTAATAAATTACTCACACTCTTCCGATAATCACACTATTTGAACTTTTATTCGCACGTTAGGATTTATTAGGGGATTTATTATTGCAAATAATGAAAAATATTTAAATAATTCCAATTATTTGAGTAGTCAAATATTGGAGTCATTTGACTGTACAAGTATACACTCTAATTACAATAATTCTTTGGCTTTACTATTTATAGCTAACGTATTTGCTTGTGCGGTTAATCTAAACAAATCACCATAAATGTCAACTCTGGCTTTATTGAATAAACATTCTAGCATATAAAGTTAGAAACCTCATCTGACATTTCTAATTTTCTAGCGCTACTTTGAATACAGTGTAAGTCCCATTGCCATACAAATTAAATTGTTAACGAAAATAAAATATATGAATAACATTAATAATCTTCTGGCTAGGTTTAGCAATTTTCATTCTCGACGCCTTCCCCCCTCCACAAAAGGTTCTGACAATTAAGTCATTCAAAATCAATTTTACAATCTCCCCATTGTGCCAAAAGTGTGAATTTTTCCTTTTAGAGTTCTGGAGTGATCAATAATTTTAAGGTTTTTGGTCAGTTATTAAATTAGTTCCTTGAAACAGCATTACAAAAACACTCTCCAATGGCTCTAAAAATGTCAAAATTAATTATTTATTTATTTATATCCTTATAACTCCTTGGCACTTAATTTTGAGTCTTTAAGATCATTTCGTACAAGACGCTTAAAGACTTAAATGCAATTTTAAGCTTTCTAGAGTGTTTTTAGGTCCTATCAGATTTTTTCTAGGCTACGGAAGTGTCTTAAACTCTTGTCGGAGTCATATACATAAGTACATCTCAGAGCTCAGGCTTTCCAGAGCAAATGGAAGTTTTTCAGAACCTTGTGTGCATTTTTTAAAGCATTCTAGCACCTTTCCAAAGAAATATGTACCGCTCTTTTTGCGATTTTCCAGAACCATGTAGTTGTAACTGTTTTACCGGCTCTCTTATACTCTTTTCGAAGTTTCTAACACCCTGTCCAGAGCTTTTCTATCACTGAAAAGAAACTAGGAAGCTCTATACTATATTAAAGTTATAGAAAGAACCTAATAAACAGCCACTGAGCGGCGTTTAAGGCGCTTGAAAGCTTTTGAAGAGTTCTATAAGTGTTTTAAAGTTGTCTTAAAGGTATCCAATGCCATCTCGACTACTTCAGTGCATGTTCCAGGCATTATAAGTAATTTTAGGTTCTTTACTACGCTTTACTTGATATTGCCTCCCAACCTAGGTATTCCAAAGTCGGTAAGAGATCTTAAGCTGTGGAAAATTTAGTAATTGGTAATTAAGTAGATAATTTATTATGGAAGAACCTTTGATCTTTCCAGAACTGTAAGAAAAAGTTCACTTTTGGCAAAATGGGCAACTGTGTGACTTTAACCTCGCCAATTTTCATTTTTAAAAAAAATTCAGAACTTTGGGGAATTAGTAAAATTCTGAAATGAGGTTAATCTTTTGTATTAATTATGGATGACCTATTCAACACTAACTGTTAAAAACAGAATTGCTAGCATTGGTATTGGCAGGGTAAAGGTGTATTTTTGCTTGGGCTTTTTTTTATAGATAATACATTTTATAACGAAAATTTCAGCAATTACAGCCGTATTTGCGGAGCTATGTCCTACCTTAGGTTGCTGGTATGCTGCACGTCTATTGCATAATGTGATGTTGCAAGGCATCTTGCGCGCTCCCCTAGCCTTTTTTGATGTTACACCTTCGGGTCGCATTATAGCTAGATTTAGTAAAGATGTTGACGTTATGGATACAAATCTTCCAATGTACTTTTCGGATGGAACTTATTGTTTTTTTGAGGTACTCCTCCTTTACTAAATTATGTTGTTTTCAATCAGATTGCTTTGTTGTATCACTTTAGGCATATTTAGTAATTGTGTTCCATTAGTTACGACACTATTTGTTTGTGTTCGTTTTCTAATTTTCATAGTGATGCTTAATGTTTAAATATGACTGCTTTCAAAAGTTATGTTCTTGTCGGCTTGCCAAGATTTATGCTGAAACGGTACAGATCTTGACATTGCTCGAAGCTTATATCTTAACTAATATAATTTGTAGGTGCTAGCAACTCTTTTCGTTATCAGTTATACTACACCCATATTCATTGCCGTAATACTGCCGATTGGAATTGTTTATTACTTAGTACAAAGATTTTACGTCGCCACATCTCGTCAATTAAAACGACTGGAGTCCGTCTCTCGTTCGCCAATTTACTCACATTTTGGAGAAACTGTAACTGGTGCCTCTGCAATTAGGGCGTATGGACAAGTGCAGAGATTTGTTAATGAATCTGAGGCGAGAGTCGACTTTAATCAAGTTTGTTATTTCCCGAGTATAATAGCGAATCGGTGGTTGGCTGTTCGATTGGAGATGGTTGGGAATTTGATAATACTATTTGCCGCCCTCTTCTCCGTTTTGAGCAAGGATCAGAACTCCGGCCTGGTTGGCTTATCGGTCACTTATGCTCTTCAGGTATGATATTTGTGTTTACCACTTGTATCACAATTATAGGAAGGTGATGCTGAACAGAGGGTCGTAATATAAGCTTTCTTGGAGACATTTGTGTTGTAGAAACATACTTTGATCAAACAGAATTTAACCACAAGGGACATATCTCAAATTCAGTGGATGCTTTGATCAATAACTGCTTTGTTGCTATTATAATCCTCTTTTCATTATGTGATAAGAACAAATTGATTTAATAACGGGAGAAGTTTCTATAAGAAAACTTTTACTTTGGCCTGTTTTGTACCTAAAGTTAATTTGACCTTTTGATCCATTGTAGATTACTCAAACGCTAAACTGGCTGGTGCGTATGACTTCGGATGTGGAAACAAATATTGTGGCAGTGGAACGTATCAAGGAGTATGGAGAAACGCCTCAAGAAGCTCCCTGGGACATTCCGAATGCCAAACCTGCTGAATCGTGGCCCAGTGTGGGTATGGTTAGTTTTAAAAACTTTGCGGTGCGTTACAGGCCCGGCTTGGACTTGGTTCTGAAGGGAATTAACTTTACTGTTAAAGGAGGGGAGAAAGTGGGAATTGTCGGCCGTACTGGAGCCGGCAAATCAAGTCTCACACTTTCTTTATTTAGGTAAGTATTTCAAGGCTAAGCAGTCCAGGTTTATTACAAATGTAAATGCAGTCTCAATAGCTCATTTGGTGTAAAAAATTCTACATTAAATTGGACTTCATTAATATAAAAAATAGTTTTTGTTTTTCATTTTTCCGTGCAGATTATCGGTTATTACAGATTCTCCATAGACTGTAATCATTTAGATATTATTGATATATACCTACTTCTCGATTTTCGGTGATTGAGGAGGAAGAACCCTAAAGATAGTTTGTCTTGACTTCAAAGAACATTAAAATATTTAATTTGAATGTATTGAGGGGTTCAGAAGAGACTACAGTTTATTTGTTGAGAAATCAAAGTAATTAAATTTCCAATCAAGCTATGACCATGTATTCAAAATCATTTGATTAAAAAGTGAAGTAAAGTCTTAATCTTTTTTTTTTTAGAATAATTGAAGCTGCGCAAGGTGAAATTATAATTGATGACGTCAACATCTCCAAAATTGGGCTTCACGCGTTAAGATCTCGCCTCACGATTATACCTCAAGATGCCGTGTTGTTCTCTGGTAGTCTGCGAATGAACTTGGATCCATTTAACAACCATCAGGACCAGGATGTTTGGCGATCGCTCGAACACGCGCATCTCAAGGAGTTTGTTAAAGGTTTTGCATTACATTTTTACGCCTAAAAACTGACTTAGTTTTTTAGGGTTGCCATCTGGCTTAAATCATGAGGTAACCGAGGGCGGAGAAAACCTTTCCGTAGGCCAGAGGCAACTGATTTGTCTGAGTAGGGCGTTGCTGCGCAAAACCAAAGTACTGGTTCTTGACGAGGCGACCGCCGCCGTTGATCTCGAAACGGACGACTTAATCCAAAGGACAATTAGAAATGAATTTCGTGATTGTACAGTTCTTACAATAGCGCATAGATTAAACACAATTATGGATTCGGATAGAGTAATTGTTTTAGACAAAGGTGATATTGTAGAATTCGACTCTCCCAGTAATCTTTTACAGAACAAACATTCTATTTTCTACGGAATGGCAAAGGATGCAGGTTTAGTTTAAAAACCTACGCTTTATTAGGTATAAATTCACTGATGAGAATGTGATGTTTCCTTAAACGTAAATATTAAGTTTAGCACAGTAAGATTTTAGTTCATACATAACGTATTCCTTTGCCATAAATTGTATTAAACACAGTTTGTACTTAAGAGTTTTTACATGAACAATTAGTTTTTTATGTACCACTTCTGTTCACTTTTATACTGTATCAAAATTAAAAATACAGTTGTTTTTTTTAATGTGTATATTCATTTCCTTCAAGAAGCTAATGATATCCAAGATTTTTCTCATCGTATTTCATTATCATTGAACTAACATTTACTAGTTTGGCTGCAATTTTTCCTAGCTTTTTGTATCTCCAACCCTAATTCTTGGTATCAAATCACTCCCCAAATGTCGGGGAGTGCTTTTCCAGCGATGTTAATTTGATAAGTAAAAATACCTTGAGAAACCTTGAACTTTGAGGAACGCCCGTCCTTCACCTATAACCATTTGTGTGGTGTGGAGGGGACGATTTTCTCTTAAAATTGTTACTTCCTAAACACAATGAGATGAGAATGTTTATTTTTAATTAGGCAGGTACAAATTACATCATTTTATAAGAATTTCTATGTCATTTTTAACTGGAAATACTGGTTTTACATTTACATCTAGCAATTTTCTCATAGTTAATAGTGTAGGCAATGGATGAATTTTGTGGTGAAACGTTCTGGGTGAGTGCTTTTGGTTGTGCCATTTTATTTCTAAATTATTGATCTTTTAGAATTCCTCGCTGAGCTGGAACACCACCGAACCCGATTTTACAGAATGCTTCCAAAAGACAGTGCTGGTGTGGATTCCGTGCGTTTTCTTATGGATTTTTACCCCATTCGAAATTTACCACATGGTCGAGAACAAAAACCGAAACATACCCTGGAACTACCTCAACATATCAAAACTGGCAGTAACACTTATCCTGACCTCACTAACTTGTATTGACGCTTTAGCTTTGAAAAAGATAGTCGCTCAAAAATTAGTTTACAATGTTGAGATATCGACACCGATAATAAAAATCGCCACACTGGTTTGTAACGAAAGCTCCCAAGCGTGCGCTGAAATTGTCATTTTAGATATTGGCAAGTGCTTTGGTTGCATTTAACCGTAAGCATGGTGTTCGCACGTCGGGAGTGCAATTCATATACTGGCTTCTACAGGCATTGTGCGGAATACCAGAGTTTCGTTCAGAAATTGCCAACGATCATTACAATACAAGCTATTTAGCGTTCTATCCGTTAGTACTTGTAATGCTGCTTTTAAATTGTTTTGTCGACAAACCGGCTGAATATAGTCGTTGCCCCAATTTAAATGTAAGCAAACAATTTCTAGAAATTGCTCTTACAATGTTTTTACAGCACCCTTGCCCTGAAGAAGGAGCTGGCTTTTTATCTCGTATGCTCTTTCAATGGTTTGATGTAATGGCGATCAAAGGTTTTCGAAGATCATTAAAAACTGAAGATTTGTGGAGTTTGAGACATGGAGACTTCGCAAATGAAGTTTATACCAAGTTTGATACTTACTGGCAGAAATCTGTAACAAAATCCAGTGTGTAAGTGGTGACCCTTGAATTTTCACATTTTATATCTGTGATACACGGGCATAAAGTATCACCATAGTAACTTATTTTAGTCCGGGAAATAGAGACTGAAAATGGGCCACTTCGTGCAAAACGAGAAGTAGTTTCAATTTTTTTTGCATGTCATCGAAGAACCCCTTGTGCTTCCCCCGTACCACCCTTAAAGCCAAAGAAATTTGGTTGGTTTTTTAGTTTTTCAATCATGATATCTTTTTATAGGTTCACTTTATAAAAAAATATTGTTATCAGAAATTGTAGACTATAAAATTCTACACTACTTTTTTGTGAAATGTTTATTAAAAACGATATAGAGCATCAGAGTTGCTTATATTTTTAAAAATTCTAAAATTTGTATGTAGATGTTTTAATCAAATTGTATACTTTATCTCTATAATTCAGAGTTATGAGAAAATATCTTGAACCTATCGTGGTATAAATCCCCCTACGCTGCACTCTTACCAAAAGGGATGCATAATAATTCTACTTTCAAATTTGAATCACTGTGAGATTGTAGCGTTTCAAACAAAAAAATAATTATCTCACTCCTCCCACGGTAGGAATAGATATTTAAAGAGGATTTCAAAATATATGTAATAAGCGTTGTACTCTCTAACTTATCAATCGCCACAAGAGCGTTAAAATATCTATTCCTACCGACCGCGGGGGGGGGATAAAGCTGAACTGAACTGAGACAATTTTAATTTCAAACGTATATTAGAAAGCGCTACAATCTCACAGTGATTCAAATATCCTCACTAGCAAGGGTTGCAGAGTAGGGTAATTTATACCATGATAAGTTCAAGATATTTTCTCATAAAACCCTTAATTATAGAGATAAAGTATAAAATTTGGTTAAAACATCTAAATGGAAATTTCAGAATTCTTAAAAATATAACCAACTCTCAAGCTCTATATCTTTTTTAAAAAATATTTCACAAAAAAGCAGTGTATATCAAAGTTACGTAGAATGTTATGGTCTACAATTTCTGATAACAATATTTTTCCTAAAGTGAACCATTAAAAAGATATGATTGAAAAACTAAGAAACCAACCAAATTTCAGGGGTTTTGGGGATGGTACGGGGGAAGCACAAAAGGTTGGAGGTCGAAAACTTGGATTCTTAACCACCAGATGACTGTCTATGACATGCAAAAGAAATCGGAACTATTTCTCATTTTGCAAGTTAAAACCCTATGTATTCCGCCCTGGATTATTTATCCTTAATGACAAAACAAACAAATATTTGCAGGTCATTGAAAATTAGAAACGTCAATTATTAAATGTCAATACCTACTAACTTACAAGATTGACTTTATTTGAATAGTTTCTGGAACTTCTTCCTCATTCATGATGAATTGAATTATTTAAAATTATGTTTGACGTTTGGATGGTTTCAATCATATTAACAAATTCGAACCCTAGTTCGAACCACACATACTTGATCAAACATAATGAATTATTTTGTAAACGAATATTTATTTTGACGAAGAAAATTATTATAGGGGTGTCCCTAAATTCAGTGAGAATTCTTCGGACCTTATATCACAGCATGCAACTTCTATCTGTAAGGTATAGTAGTAAATTGTCACTGTCATTATAATGTTAAATTAAATCCATCTGTGATGGTTTTCGAAATATCCTTGACTAAATAATGACTAACTTTATTACCAACTAAAAAATCATACATATAGCTTTTGTTATTACAAAAAAAGAAATTCAAAATTTAGTTATGTATTTAGTTTTTAAGAACGACGAGTGTTATCCCACACGGGTTGCCTCTCCCTAGTGTTGTCACCGTCCAATGAAAGTACCTTGACTTAATGGTTTTAGAAACTTCTATGAGTATGGACGAGCAGCTTTTAAATCTGGTTCTACCCAAATTGAATTTGTAAACACATCGGCAAAGAGAAACCTGTCGATACTTCCTTCACTCTTTAAAGCATTTGGTTTGACGTTTTTCTTTGGGGCTTTACTTCGTTTGGCGCAAGATTTGTTGGCGTTTACGAGTCCATTAATTTTAAAGTAAGTGAAGTGACTGAATGTACAATATTAGACGTTTATTTTAGTTTATTACTATCATACATTCAAAATAAAGGCCCACGATGGCAAGGCTTTCTCTACGTCGCGTGCTTATTTGTAGCTGCAACTACGCAGACGCTAATTTTGTCACAGTACTTTTACCGAATGCAAATTGTCGGGTTGCGCGTTTGTGCCTCCCTCACGTCGGCCGTTTACCGCAAGGCACTGCGTATTTCGCAGTTTGCCAAGAAGGACATATCCTTGGGAGAAATAATAAACCTAATGCAAGTAGACGCGCAAATATTTGCAGAATTAATGCCGTACATAAACATGGTGTGGTCAGCACCATTACAAATCCTCATATCACTCTACTTTCTTTGGCAATTACTTGGCATCGCAGTACTAGCTGGCGTGGCCGTAATGATCGTGCTTATTCCCGTAAACGGCGCGATTGTGAAGCGCGTTCAGGTATTCCAGCTGAGTCAAATGCAGAATAAGGACGCGCGGATTCAACTGATCAATGAGGTTCTGAACGGTATTAAGGTGCTCAAACTGTACGGCTGGGAGCCCAGTTTCGAAGGAAAAATAATTAATATTCGCGAAAAGGAAATTGGCATTTTGAAGAAGGCCGCCTATTTGAATGCTTGCATGGCGCTTTTATTTTCCCTAGCACCATTTTTGGTTGGGTTTAAAATAATTTTCGATGGAAATGTGATTTGGTTAATTTTAGGTGGCCCTACTTACTTTTGTGGCATTTGTGAATATTGACGAAGAAAATATATTGACTCCTCAAAGGGCATTTGTTTCATTGACTTTATTTACCAATATGCATTTTTCTATGGGCGTGTTGCCTTTGGTTATCGTTTGGATGGCGGAGGTAAGTTGTAACTCTATAAGTGCAAAGTCAAGTTCCAAAGTTATATTTAAATTTTGTTGTCATGCCAGTGGTTACCCATGTAATAATTTTGAAAAAATTATGTATGTAATCGGAAAGATGATACTCCAAAATTCACGTTGAGCTGTTAATTCATTCCTTTTATGTGTTATAGTTGTTTAGAAAAAATTAAAGGATTGCATATTTTGACTTGTTGACGCAGGTCTTGTGGAGTGTGCAACTCAAAATTCAGGATTTTGGCTACTATAAAAGTGTGGAGAAATGGCATATAGTTTTGTATTACAGAAAAATTCATTACTTTAAAATTGAATCGCTTAGCATGCCACAATAACTCATTTTCCTTTTTATATAACTTTGTAGCTTTGCAGCTGTAGTTTAATTTTACTATCCGAAATGCGGAACATACACAAAGGACTATACTTATATTTCCATTTAATTTTTTCAGTCCTATATTTCTGTGAAACGTTTAAATAAATTCATGAACAACGACGAGTTGGATCCCAATAATGTCAGTCACGATGCTACATGTGGTAACAAAACGTAAAAGCTATTTCCCTATTTTTGTAACATTTTGATCTAGAAGACCCCATTTTGATAAAAAACGGTAACTTCAGCTGGGGTGAAAACTTGACGCTTAGAAACATTAATGTTCAATGTAAAAAAAATTGCATAATGGCAGTAGTCGGTCGAATAGGATCCGGAAAGAGCAGCTTAATCTCTGCGATTTTAGGAGAAATGAATAAAGTGTCTGGATACGTTAATGCATTAGGAACGATAGCGTACGTTTCCCAACAGGATTGGATTCAAAACGCCACAATACAAGAAAATGTGCTGTTCGGCAGGGTTCTCGATGAATCCATGTACAATAAGGTGATCGATGTCTGCTCACTCGAGCAAGATTTTGAAACTCTACCGGCTGGCGACCAAACTAAAATTGGCGATAAAGGAATTAATCTCTCAGGCGGTCAAAAGCAAAGAATCAGCATAGCGAGAGCTATATACTCGCAAGCCGATGTTTACCTTTTCGATGATCCCCTAAGTTCTGTGGACAGTCACGTTGGAAAGCACATATTCGAAAACGTCATTGGTCCTAACGGCATACTAAAACATACAACAAGACTATTTGTAACCCACAATTTGGCGTATTTACCACAGGTTGATGAAATAATTGTACTTAAGGATGGCGAAATATCGGAACGTGGCACTTACCAGGAGCTGCTCGAACAGAAACAGGAGTTCTCCGAATTTCTGCTGCAGTATCTGTATAAGGCTGTTGAAAGTGGAAATGAAGGTTTAATTAAATTACGCACACACTTTCAATTATTATTAATGAGTTTTTTAGCAATGGACGAGGTGGAGCCTTTGTTGTACAATTCACCATTATCTTCAGAGTTGTCACAAATTCCGCTTAAATCTGAACAAAGTAACGCGGAGGAGGTTTCAAAATCTGAAGAAAAGGTAAACGAAGATGCGCAAGCGGATGAGGAGAGGATTGAAGAAGGAAATGTCAAGCTTTCTGTATTTCTGTTCTACTTCAAAGCAGTTGGTGGAACTCTGTGTGTTGCGACAATTATTTTTCACGTTCTTTGCCAAGTGTATAGCGTTGGGGCGAGTGTTTGGTTAAGTATTTGGTCATCACACGAAAATGCTACTCTAAGTGAGCGAGATGTCTACTTGGGAGTTTACGGTGGGCTTGGATTAGGACAAGGTAAGCAGATTTTAAAAAGGTGTTGCTATTTTAGTAACTTTAAAATGTATTAAGGTTTTTTGTAGAAAAATAGTATATTAAGTATGGAGAACGGTAAGGGATTTTTACCGTTCGAAGACAATTGTTTGGAGGAGGAGCGAAGCGACGACTCCAATTATTGTCTGAGAACGGTAACCCTTAACGTTCGACGTGCTTATAACATTTTTTGCGCGATCGAAATTAAAATTATGCAACCAATATAAATATGCACTAAGAAATTAACGAGCAGAATAAATCGAAATGATCGAAGTGGTATGGTGTCAATCTCTAGGTAACCAGTTTATTTGTCAAAATTGAAATTAATAATTTCATAAAAAGGTGCATGTGTCTGATGTAGTTTACTAGCTTTGTACTTCCTTTATGACTTTATGAGCGTCTTGCTATAGGAAACAACAGCACAAATTGTACGTTTAATGTACCTAACAATAATTAAAGATTAAATGTAATGTAAGACTGTTGATTTTTAAAAAGGCGTCGGTAAGTATTTTTGCTGTTCTGTTTTTAGATCGGTAAGTAATTTTGGCGTCGTCGTAATCATAGCAACTGGTAAATTCTACGTACTGTCATGGAAACACCCATGGTAAATAGTCAGAAATGACCGATCGCGCAAAAAGGTTTTTTACGTCAATCAACCGTATTAGTTTTCAATTTTTTGCATAATAAAGACGGAAAATTGGAAAAATAAAACCCGCATCTTTTTCAATAATCTGCGATGCCATGGAATTTTCTTAAACAAAAAGATAACCAGTTACCAATTAGCAGCAGTTCAAAATAGATTTTATAATCGACTTGGTTACTCTCTTGCAGTTAATGGTGACTTATTCGAACATTTATTGTAAATTGTTATATTAGGAAACCGATTTTATAGTAATTTGGTCTTTCTTTATGTTGAATTCGCTGTTCTAAATATAATACTTTTTGATAGAATTTAATTTGTTTATAGCAGACCTTTCATGGCGTGACGGATATATTCGCGTAGTTTTTGTATTATAAAATTCCATGGCATCACAGATTATTGAAAAAGATGAGGGTTTTATTTTTCCAATTTTCCGTCTTTATTATGCAAAAAATTAAAAACTAATACGGTTGATTGACGTAAAAAACTTTTTTCTACAAAAAAACCTTAATACATTTTTGCTCTAAAATAATTTGGGGAGCCAATAATCACATGTTATGAATTTTACATTGAAATCCCTATGAGGGGTTACGCAAGTCACCACCCTGTATACATACATGGGGGGACCAGGCCCATAGAGAAACAAATAAAAAAAGTAAGTTGTCTCTGACCAGACCCCTTTGTTTCAGTAAAGGGAGTTTCTATTGTAATTAAAAAAATTTGTAACGCTGGACTGCCATCACTGTGAATAGCTTATGCTACACAAACGCGTAGCGAACTTAATTATTTATGTACAAATGGGCATTATATATGAAAAGAAGTGTCAAACCAACCGTGTGATGGTGTTGTACATATGTTTGCCTTATAATTCGAGTCCAGTATTGTATGGTCAAAGGAAAAACCATGACTGAATGTTGTGTTTCTTTTCAGTTCTATCGATGTTTCTGGCTGCTGTCACTTTGTACATTGGTTGTCTTAACGGCTCACAAACACTGCACAATATTCTATTAAACAAAATACTTAGAGCGCCAACCAATACATTTTTTGACATCACTCCACAAGGACGAATATTAAATCGGTTTTCCAAAGACATCGACGTGCTAGACAATACCTTGCCGTTGGTCATTAAGGGTTGGTTTAACTGTGTGTTATCAGTAATATATTTAAATATGCAAGAATGCAAAGTCTAAATATGCATTTTAGGTGCTAGCAATTTTGTTTATCGTTAGCTACACAACACCAATTTTCATGGTGGTGATACTACCAATTGCGATTGTGTACTATTTCATACAACGATTCTACATCGCGACGTCTCGTCAATTGAAACGCCTCGAATCCGTAACAAGATCGCCGATTTACTCGCATTTCGGCGAAAGCATAGCTGGTGCGTCTACTATACGCGCATATAAAGAGTCCAAACGGTTTATTAAGGAATCTGAGTCGAAAGTAGATTGCAACCAAACATGTAATTTTCACAGTATCATTGCAGAAAGATGGTTGTCTGTCAGATTAGAAATCTTGGGGAATCTTATTATTCTATTTGCAGCTTTGTTTGCTGTACTTAATGAAAGTCAAGACGCCGGCCTTGTTGGGCTGTCCATTGTGTATGCTTTACAGGTAAGTGAAATATAAAGAATTTTGCACTGTTGTTACACCACCAATGGAGTCATAGATAACAGCAAGAAGTAGTTACTCCTAGATGGTAGATGAAAACATATCATTTTCTTCTAAATCGTTGACAGTGGTGATGTGATGTGGGATTTTTTGAGAGATTTTGTGACCCAATTAATTCAAGTTCCTAATTATTTAGACTAAATCTTTCTTGAATAATCAGTCCTATATTTTATGTAATTTTTTAATATAATTAAATATTGCATGGGATTTTGCATTTTGGCTTTTGACATAGGTACTTCTTCTGGTCAAAAATGGACAAATAAAGCTCTGAAGCGCCTTTTGAAAGTTACCCACATTGTTATATATGCTTTCGGAAGCTGAGCATCTAAGAACTTTCCATTGCAATGTAAAGCGTTTTGGAACCTTTTTGTCTATTACCAGATCTTTCTATGCTACTCGGCACTGATACAAACCTGGAAACTCTGGAAAAAGACTTGAGACGCTTGAAAAAGCGCTTGTCGGACACTGGATAGTATCATACTTTTTTATGCTCTACTAGTGCTTTCTGTATCTTTCCCAGAAATTCGTACGCTTGTCTTGCTCTACAAAATCTGAAAAATACCGCAACATGGCTCCAAAGAGTCGTTTAAACTATTTGTATTATACATATCGCTTAAGATTTGAATTTAAAGCAGGATTCCTATGAAATTTGTTTCTTAATTCTACTGTAAATATTAACATTTCTTAATTACTAAGCGTTGACACCGTTGCTGACAGAGGGTATCTCCTTTTCCGTTACATTTCCATAACGCCACATACCACATGTAGGTATACCTATATTGTAAATAAATCAAATACGCTTATTTTGCTCACACTGCCGCTAAAGCCCTTGTGGCTTTTTTTCTCTTCTGTTTTGCGTTGCAAATGATTCTCAGGCTTTTTTAACGCTTTTTCGCGACATATGTAAGTGGGATTGATTATGTCGTAGAGGCATTAGCCAGAATTTTTTTTAACTTTAGATTTCTCCTCCCCGCAACACTCAAGCCCCATATATGCATGTCTAGAAACGGCACTAAGAGCGTATATAACAACAGTGGATAATTATCTTCTTAGTTAAATACCCGCACTATGCAGTTAACTTTTCCTTGTAGATTACACAAAGTCTGAATGCGTTAGTAGTGATGACTTCGGATATCGAAACGAACATAGTATCCGTTGAACGCATCAAAGAATATGGCGAGATTGTGCAGGAAGCCGCTTGGGATACCACCAAACAAATTGTACCGGAGTCGTGGCCGGGTCATGGAGAGATCATTTTTAAGAATCTCTCAATCAGATACAGACCTGATTTAGATCTATCCCTATCACAAATAAATTGTGCCATAAAAGGGGGGGAAAAAGTCGGAATCGTTGGAAGAACTGGGGCAGGAAAATCAAGCATGACGTTATCAATATTTAGGTACCTATACTTACGAAAGGTGCAACTATGTCACTTACCATGTAGCTTACAGAATAATTGAGGCATTTGAAGGAGAAATTGTGATTGATGGTATTAAACTCTCTGATATAGGCTTGCAAACCGTGCGATCACGTCTCACCATCATCCCTCAAGAAGTAGTGTTGTTCGCAGGTTCGCTCAGAATGAATTTAGATCCTCACGATAAATATACCGATCTCGAAATTTGGACTGCCTTAGATCAGGCTCATCTCAAAGGACACATTGAAGGTTTATTATTCAGATAAACATTTTGTGGGTACCTAACTACATTTGTTGCAGATCTGCCAGCGGGACTCAATCACGAAGTGAGCGAAGGTGGCGAAAATTTTTCCACAGGACAGCGACAACTTCTGTGTTTAAGCAGGGCATTGTTGAGGAAATCGAAGGTGTTAATTTTAGATGAGGCTACCTCCGCCGTTGATTTAGAAACAGACCGTTTGATTCAGCAGACCATTAAAACAGAATTTAGTGACAGTACGATTCTTACTATCGCACATAGGCTAAGCAACATTATTAATTCGGATAGAGTTATTGTTTTAAACAAGGGTTATATTGTCGAGTTTGATTCGCCCTCTGTTTTGTTGCAAAATGAGAATTCCTCTTTTTATGGCATGTGTAAAGATGCAGGGTTAGTTTGATATTTTTGTGGAATTTGAGAAAAATTAAACATGTAGTCTATGAGCATTCATTTATTACAGCAACACAAATTCCTGATGACAAATTTGAATGTATGTTAAGGTAATTAAAATTGTTAACGATTTTTAGACTGGGTACAACTTGACTTGTACATTAAGGATCTGCCATACCTACTTAAATCAAGTAGCAAAAGAACTAGCTCAGCAAGAGGGGGGTTATTGTAATTCTAAAAGAATTGCGGGAAGAACTTGTCGGAGACATTTGCTGAAAGAGTTATGTGTTTGGGTGAAGAGAAGTACCCCAACATTTGGAAGAAAAGTATTTTGACTTTGATCGCAAAAAGGAATTCGGTTTTCCACACGATCAGTTTACACTTTTGCAGGGTTTCAGCCAAAGCTATGCTCTACCAATCCCAACTTTCCTTATTTATTTTTCAAGATTGCTACATACATATATAAATCCTAGGGATAGAATACACCTTTGCATTCATTGGGAAATAGCAGTTTGGTTTTACAAAGGTAACCTTGTAGAGGTACCGGGCGTAGACAAAACGCCAACTTTTTAAGTTTTATTTGAAAAGAAGTGGTTCATAGTACAAGAATTGCTTCTTCTATATGCTTAAATTACGCCAACATGCTTGTATAGTTTTAATACATTTAAAAATCTTGAGAATGGTGTATTAAAAATCGCTTGGTGTTTAGAACCACATTTAAGAACATGGTACATTCCTTTTACACCAACATACTTTGGTAGATAAAACTATTTATTACAACTAAAAGATATTCCATTCACATTAAACAGTACTTAGGTAATAAAACATTAAATAATAATATTGCATCTTTATTCCTAACACTTTATAATTTAGATTAGAAAATAGTGTGTTATGATCCCAACCCATAGCTTAAATCTTCCACCTTTAATTTCGCCGTTTTCGTTGAGATTCCTCCTATTAAAAAATTACAATTGGTAACGAGATGAATCACCACAAATCGTACTTACCTTATTTGTCAAGATAACAAGTAAGCGACGGAATATTCCAATAAAGTCAACAAACAAGTCCAAAGAATGAGTAACAAAATCCTTATTACCGTTACGACGTTTCTCAATTATTAATTGGGTATCGTATAGCACAAATCCACACATAAGCAGTAATCCTAGATATAAATTGGCCTGATACAAGATGACCGATCCAAAGAAGATATTAGCGAGTGCCATTATCATTAGCGTGTTCAACATAGTCAATAAAGTACCACCTAAATATAACCAATAACCTCTGTCCGCAAGCATAGCACATATAGAAAATGACACAAAGACCAAGGATGTGCCGACTAAAGCGGTTATAATGATACTCGGGTCCACAAGTATTACATGTTCAAGAAGTGGACCTAAGCCAACTCCACTTAGTCCGGCAAAACCCAGTAAATATCCCACTCTTAGTTGCAATTTCTTGCCATCATCATCGGGTGTCGACATTAATAGGGCGAAGAATATCAGCGCACCAATTGCAGAAATGAATCCTGCTTGTAAAATCTCGGTGAATAAATGGACGGAAGCGCCGACAGCTGCCGCCATCGTCGACATAGTGAGACAAGCATAAACATTCTTGAGGTGCTGTCTGACTGGAGGTTCCCTATGGAAATTAACAGAAGTGATAGTAGCAAATTGCGAATACAATTTTGTTTTTAACACTTACAATCTATTTTCGAAAGAGTTGATAAACGACGTAAGGGTCGGCGCCATGATTGAAATTTTGGGCAATTTCACAAAAACAACAGAATCGTTCACCGCCTTTAACGATTAAACTATTTGGTCTTTCGATAAAGTTCCCTGACAACGACGTTCACTAAAACCTTATAAATTGTTTCTGTTTCTGCGCCACTATTAGGACAAATATTTTTAGAACGTTCCAGATTAAAGTTTATCGTAAATGACGTAAGCGTGAGTAAGAACTAAGAAGATGATGGGACTCTCTTTGATTGGGTGAAAATGACAGCACATTACGTGATAGGCTGTTTCTCTTTCTTAAAAAATGATCTACCATGGTAGTATTGTAAGGCACGGTCAACACTAGATCATCATTAATGGTCGTTTGCACCGACAAATTTTAAAATCCATAGGCAGCGATTATTAGGACAACGGTTGCCATGGACCAGATGCCAGAGCATAATATAATGAAGGTACTCTGAAAGTGTCCCTTATTTCAAATTTAATCTCTAGTTCTCTATTTTTGTTTGGCGTCAAATTTTATTTTACTTTCTCTTTTTTGATCATATTACACGTAATTAAAGATCATGCTTTAAACAAAACTAGAACATTCCGATTACTTCCGAAGATATGCCAAAAAAACCGAAATTGTCGATGTTGTTATTTTTTCTGATGATATTTGAACACAGAAAAAATAAAAACCACTTTCCCATTGCCACTTTTGGAGCTCTACAAGACACTGTTGAGAAATTTTCAATCTAACGTTTCGTTTCGGAAAAATCATCATCAAATTTATTTTTTATGTGGCTGGTAAAAAAAGTAAACACTGTTTTGAGTAGCACCTTTTTTACGAATGACGACATTCTGCAATTTTCTTGTTTAGAACTTGTGCTATTTTTCTTGAAATTTAGTAATATTTAATTTTTAAATTTAATTAAAGTGGTACCTATGCGCTGGAAAATATTTTCATCCCTAATTATGAACTGAAATAGCCGCTATACAAAAATCCAATATCCCATATTCGTTAGTTCAGCCTTTCTTAAACTTTTTTTAACACGTACCCCTATGAAGTGGAATCTAAGAGGATGGACCAGAGCTCCCGCAAGGAGCGTATGTAGCATGATGTGTTGCCCAACGTTTGCATGCAATTTTTCTATACTGTCGATATTGAGTGTTTTCCTAAATTTCGTTTTAAACTGCGTAGAACGAATTTGAAAACCCGGTCAAAACATCTTCCTTACAACCTACTCATCCCGGCTATAAGACGTTTTTTTGTTAAATATCGCGTGAGACGCATCTAATCAGTCACATTATTTTTTGTTTAATGTCTGGGTTGCGCCCTGTAAAAAAATTGTTTTTCAAAAATACGAAATTATGGGGTTATCGCCTATCGGAAGAGTAAAGAAAAGTCGCAGATACTGTCGATAGGGTACTTATTAGTGTGCAATTCTTTTGTTAATTCCAATCTGAAATCTAAAAAAAGATGAAAATTTCTACTGTTACACGTCCTCCGTAACTCTGGAACAGTTCACTTTAGCAAGATTTTATAATACCAGGCAAAATGAACATCGATATTCAGATTATTCATGTAGGTTTCTTAACATTTGTTTATTCAATTCCACCAGATACAGTAGTCATGTACAATCTATGCCACTGCACTCTACGCAGTTGCCCACTCTTAACTAACGTTGCCTAATGTAATATATTAAATATAATAAATTATGTACATCAGATAGAATTGTAAGTGACATTGGTTACATTATCAGTTTCGCTATTTACAGTGCTTGCTGATGAAAAGGATACTTTTACTAACCCATTCTCAACATGCCTTCGTTTATGTTTTTTCATGCTACTGGAATCATAAAATCCTCTCTCACAAATTGGGCATACATGTGGTGTTTCTCCTGTATGAGTGCGAACATGTACAGTTAGATTTCCTTTTAAAGCAAAACTCTTGCTACAGTATTGACAAATGTATGGCCGTTCCCCGCTATGTGTGCGCATGTGATATTTTAAGTGAGACAACTGTGTAAATGCTTTTTTACAAATATCACAATTGTACGGTTTTTGCCCTGTATGAATCAGTAAATGTGCTTCGAAGCTTGCAACATGAGCAAACGATTTACTACAAATATTACATGTGTAAGGCTTCTCACCAGTATGTACTTTAAGGTGAGACTGTAAGGCAGCTTTTGTAACGAAACCTTTGCCGCAGTCACTGCACAAAAAACTTTTTTCACCATGCGTTAACTGATGGGCTTTTAATAGATGTTTAGTTTTATATGTTCGCTTACAAAAGGTACACTCAAAATTAGCACTTTGTTCCATTATTGATTTTTGATTGTTTACAATTTTAGAATTATGTTTAAGAAGGTGAGTATTGTAACGTGTTAATCTTTTAAAACCTCGACCGCAATGTGAACAAATATAATTACTGTCACCTTCGATTATCTCCCCTTTTATGTGAGTCTTTTTATGATTGTGAAGCGTAGTAGATTGTATAAATCCTTTTCCACAAACTTCACACACATGTGGCCTTTCACCAGTATGGGTCATCATATGACGTTTTAAATTCCCCGACATACTAAATCCCCGCAAACATATTTTACATTTGTATGGTCTTTCCTTTGTATGTGCCCTCATGTGTTGTTTTAATTTACTATTAGTGAACACTTTAGCACAAACTGTACAGGGATGTTTACGAATATCAAAATGTTGAGATAATTTGCAGTGTGCTTTTAATAATTTGTAGGTATGAAAAGCTTCCTTACAAGTGCTACAATTATAGGGGGTACTACCCTTTTTCTCAGATATGAGATCCTTTTTACATTTTCTTTGTGACACTTTCACTCGCTCCTCTTCTACACGTACACGACTTTCAGAGATGGAATAATCTTGATCTGGACTAAATACGTCGGTCGTTTTCTCACTTTTAATCATTTCATCCTCAGCAAAGTGTTTTGAACTTATATCTCGTAAGTAGCGCAAAATAACATCAGATTGTTGACATTTCTGCACAAAGGAGTGCATTCTGAACAGGTCCGTTAAGCAATTACGACATATTGTTTGCGGCAAACCGTCGTCGAGATGCACCTTAAACCTAAGAAGTAAGGATACCGTATAAACATATGAGCAACTAACGGTACCTTAGTCGATGTGTATAACTGAAGCAGATCACACACAGATTTCTCCTCATAATTTGTACCGACGATTGGTTTATTTTCCCCTTCTTTCAAGCAAGTTCTGCACATATTTGGAAATTTTGAAATAGTAACGTTAAAGTCCTTGTAATTTAAAAAAAATTTCTTTTCTTCTAGTAACTGTAACATTCCTTGTAATACAGACATATTACTTCAACCACAAAGAGAAATTCTCGGTTTCTTTTAAATTTTAACAATCAAAAACTGTAAAAATCTTTTTTTTAAATCACGTTTTATTTGTTGACCAACCGTGCATTTGTATCATGCTTCTGCCACAGCTTACTTACTATCCAGCTCCGCAACTCTCGAGCGGCGCCTTTGATCTGGCGGTCTACAACCAAGCGAGATGGAATGGTGCCCTCTTTCTCGCGCTTGGGGTAAAAGTCGGGGCCGTATTAAACGAATTTTCATCGCGCGGTCGCTTCACAGTACCGTAGTAGGTGATTTTTGAGCTGTATTGTAATGTGAACGTTTAGAATTTGCTGTACAATATTACGTAATATTGCAATGAAAGTAGGGTTAGGTGTTTAATACATTTTATTGCCTAATTGAATTGAATTCGGGACAATGGCCAACGTGGCAACACTGGGCTTGATTGCACGCCAAACAGGCAATGTAGTCTTTTACCCCAAGAGGCGGGGCATAAGCGCTGCGCGCGTAGATCGGCGCAAACCGCTCCCGCCAAGAGAGTTGTGCAGCTGGATAGTAAGTAAGCTGTGCTTCTGCGACTGTGCACCCCCCCCCCCCCCCCCAAGTAACACCATGTATGTATAGTATTCTATGGTTACGTTTTAACCTCAAAAGCTAAATGCTTTTGCTTTTAGCGTTTTTGTAGTTTGCATACGTAAATATTAGTGGACGTTTTGCGTAATGGTAAGTAGTAAGTCTTTAAATGTAGCCCACACTTTTTGTATCTTGTTTTAGGCTCGAAATGCAGAAAAAGCAATGTAAGTTACACGAGTGTTAAGAGAATATCAGAACTTTTTTTTCTTAGGACAACATTAGCCCGATGGAGGGCCGCACAATTAGGCGAATCTGATAAACATAAAAAAAGACGCCCTTACTTGGCGACCGAATGTAAAAACCTGTATGCGTGCGAAAAGTGGCGTATGCAAATAATTCGCGAGATAGCGAAGAAAGTTGCACAAATTCAAAATGCGGGATTGGGGGAATTTAGAATAAGAGATCTTAACGACGAAATTAATAAGTTGCTTAGAGAAAAAAGACATTGGGAGGTACAAATTAAGGACTTGGGAGGGCCAGATTATCAAAGGGTCGGTCCTAAAATGCTTGATCACGAAGGAAAAGAAGTACCAGGCAATAAGGGATATAAATATTTCGGAGCAGCCAAAGAACTTCCAGGTAAAAGTGATCTAAAACAATCTAAAATGAAATTGTATTTACATAACAAAATAATCGACTAGCTTTTACAATTTGTAGGTGTTCGAGAATTATTTGAACAGGAGCCACCACTTCCACCTAGAAAAACACGTGCAGAGTTGATGAAGGATATTGATGCGGATTACTACGGATATCGTGATGATGATGATGGCATTCTAATTCCGCTTGAACAGGTTGCTGAAAAAAATGGTACGTTTATTCTGCACATACATTTTCTTAATATCTTTACTTACTATAGCCAAACAGAAAGCAATAACAGAATGGAAAGTGGACAAAGCTAATGAAAATAATAACACCGAGGATGATGAAGAAAATATTTACAATGTAAATGATTCGTCCGACGAAGAGTACATTACAGATAGTTCTTGGGAAAAATTTGCTGTTCAGATTCCCGTACCCACACAACATGATGTCGAACAAGCATTATTAAGACGAAGGAAACAAGAACTTTTAGAAAAATATGGGGCATTATCAGAAGAAGATAAATAACTACCTACTTACATTTAAGATATATCCGCTTTTATGATTCCTCTACATAGGAGAGTAAATTCTGTAACAGACTCCGAGAGTTTTCTTTTGTTTGCCTTTTCTCTGAAAGTTTATACTTTATTGATTATGATAAACATATTTTTTATACCTTAATACGAGTTTTATAAAGTTTTCTTTTTGATTGCTGGTTATCAAAGGTGTTGGAAATCCGTCCTGCGCTAATTGTATATTTAACCAACGGCATAAATTATCACAGTACTTTTTGTTTAAAATCAATAAAATATCCGACAATATGTCCGCCGCAGATCGAGGCACAGTTCCACCTAAATTTATTAATATTCTATTAACCAAACCATCTCCACACTTTTGAATAACATGAGCCTGATCGTTTTCACGACTCAGCGATATAAAATTGACTAAAAAAGCCGTACACGCTTTTAAGGTTTGAACTTCGGGTAAACCCAAACATAGAACAGCTAAAAAAATATTATTACAAAAAATAACATAAGCCCATACCATACCACATTGGAACATGGCCACACAATCCAAATTACTGTTGAAAATAAGTCTACTATTTCTCTTAGATACATGGGTTAGCATAGAAAAAAAGCTTTCCACAACATCTCCTTTTTCGGACAACTGATTGTGGCAATTTAGTTCAGCACACATTTCCAAAGTTTGACGGATCAGTTCGTACAGGAGTTGGTGCAATAAACAAATAACGTCTTCGTCTATTCCAAACATAACTAGAATCTACAAATGTAACGACCCTAATATTTAAAATGAAACTCAAAGCTGCAATCAATATACAGGATCATGGCCAATTCATTTAGACACCGCTGCCATCACAGTACTCAAATGTTGGTATGAGAAAAGCTGCATCTTTCATTTTACTGTCCAATTTGCCCGACAATGAACATTACTTTATTCAGTCGCCATTCATAATTAAAGATGCGTTTTGTATTTTGTTTTTGTTGTTAAAAAGGTGAAACATTGCAGACCCACTGCTTACATGGAAAATGCATAAGTTTATCCCTTTACATACTTTAGTACATTCTAGCTGTCAGATGCGCTCGATGACCTGTGGTACATAACAGTCAAAGAGCTAGCGAACCATTCGATTAACCCATTTCCTACAAAGCTAAAAAATTTTTAAATGATGCTTTATTATCAGTCAATTAAGAATATACCGTTCTGGCAGGCATCTCGCGGTTGCGTCGTGATCCTTTAAGGCGGCTCTCACACTGAGGCAACAAGCAATACGCAACATCATTTTGACATTATCTGTCACCGAAGCAAAAATTGACTGACTACGCAATATATATGGCTTTGCAACGTGCAGTGCGTATCGCCAGAAATAAATGTTGTTGTAACTAGTAAACACTTTCTGTCCGATTGAAATCGTTGCTTGTGAGACTTGCAGAATAGTTTCAACTGATAATATTGCCAGTTGCCCATTGCCTATTAGTCCCAGAGCTGGTAGGCATTTTTGGGTAGGTATTTGAGGCACACTGAGAACTTGTCCAACACCTCTCCAATAATACCCAAACACAGAAATGCAGACCTGGCTGAGGAGTGACGGGGCTAACACTTTGCCAGGGGCCTTCACAGTTTGAAAAAATAATGTCATTGATTTGTGAATCAATTTCAGACATATGCAGACATAGCTAAAACGCTGCAACAACTATCAAGTATGCGAAATCGATATTAAAACTTGTGTGAAATTGATTGACAAATTAATGACACTGGGCCAAGGGACTCCTGATTTGAAGAGTATACTGGCCGCAATAAATGCATGAACACCTAGTGTACTTTGATCACTTTTGACGAACGTTTCAGGAGAATTGTCTTTATTTTGCATAAGAAACGATGAAAATTTCAACATGACAATACATTCAACGTCTTGGCTGCAGTAGCGGAAAATTCGAATATAAGTTTAAGAACAATTCTTCCTCAAATCAATTTCTTTTTTTTCGATTATGTACTCGGGTTCCGGAAAATGATAAACAAATAGTATCTGATGCAGATGCTTTTTCTCTTGCGTCGGTTAGTTGAAAGAGAATTAAATATGAAAATCGTTTGACGTCAAACAACGATAACTTAGATGCGATGCGCTTGTAATTTGTTAAACGATTCCAAAGCATCACTGATTTATAAAAATGTAATTTTTTATTTTGTGGATTTCTACAGTTTTGAAAAAGGGAAAATTATAAGTAATCGTATGAACAGATTTTATTTTTTTAAATTTTTGTAATTTCGTTATCAAATACTCAAATTTAGTTGGCGTTTTCAGTTTTAAAACAGCCGTCATTTAGCCACAAGTGTCACATTTGCACCAATCTAAATTGGCACACTGGTACATTAGTCCCACACTACCTACACGACTCTCAATAATTGCCTGAACTACTAAAATTTAATTTTTTCTTTACCTTACAATTCAACGCAATCGATTATACGAAAACAATTACCGAAAATATGCTAGTTAATAAGGTACTTTCTCACTAATGTTACTCAATTGTCGCCGTGTAACCCACACCTCAAAGCGTGCATATGCTGCCTCGTATGCGGGACATGAGTTCAGAGGTGTCAATTTGAAAAGGCGACAACCCTGTGCATACCACAACACTTACCGTTTTAGATAAAAGTAAAATACTAGCTTGTGGTGCTAGCGAATATGTGCTAACTAGCAGTTCCAATATACTTGGCAGTAAAGTTTTAGAATCGTTCATTAACGTCGTAATAACATGCTTTAACAATTCACATAACACCTCCATTAATTCGGTATTAGCGTAGTATGTTCTGGAAATTCGCAAATAAAGTGGCAAAGTGTTTTGTACAACTAGAAGGATGGGTTGTTTTATTGTTGATGCATCTGTTGACACATTTTTTTGTTTCACATGCAGTGTTGCAAATAAAGCCGATAACATTTTCAATCGAGTTGTAAGTGATATACCGACACCCGTACTCTGAAACAAAATACTAGATATAATGGAGAAGAATAGCATTTTAGACTTACAGTTTGGGAATTTAATAGAGCTTCTATTTCCTGAATGAACGAACCGACAATGGCATTCAGGCATTCCATAATTTTATTAATAGGCATTATACTTAAAATTATACCTACGCTGTGCATTAATCGTGTACGTTCGGCCAAACGCAACTGTCCCGTTTGTAATACACACTGCAAATACCAAATAAATTTGAAGCAAGTTGCAAACAATCCAACCTGGCACACAGCTAGGAGATGATCTGCGTAACTGACGAGTTCGTTTTGGCAGTTACGCGAAATGTCCTTTAATGCCAACGTAGCATTGGGAGCAACCTCTGTATTACCCAATCCCGATGTTATCAACGGTATAACGTTATCAAGAACTTGCGGGTGGTCCGCAATCCACTCTGAGTATGCGCCTACCGTGTCCAAAGCAGTTGCCAACACTTTAATATGTAAATCGTCGTAAGGAATGTCTTTAATAGTACTCATTAGCTTAGGAAGGTATAAAGTTTCCCATTCGATGCATTCAGAGACAGCCGCAAAGGCATGTAAGCAACTTTCGACAGCATTCCAATTCATTGAAAACTTGTGACACTCTACCAATGCTTCCAGCAATTTTGACTGTAAAATATCCAACATTTCTAAATTTAAAACATTGTAACAATACATAAATGTGTCGGCAACATCTTGCCTATAGCATCTAAACATTTCCTTATCATCGAGAGACCAACAAACGTTTGGCGGATCCTCCCATATGTTGGGATACATTGACTTACGAAGTAGTATACACACCAACTGTCGATAATACGGTTTAACGATCCGTAATAATTCAGCACATTCTGCCGAATCGAGAGATAGAATGTCATCCTATAGTCGATATTATTAAATTTAAAACAGAAACTAGTTCTTTTCGATACCTGCAGTGTATACCAAAATCCGAATGGTAAACTACTACTCGATTCGTCTACTGGATAAATGCCTCTTAAATTTGAGCAACCTAAAATACACGCCAATATATCAGTCGTAAGTTGTTGCTCTTCAGGATTAGCAGATTTGAGATAAGAAATTAGTAGTTTAGCGTGAGTATCCGCAATGGTGATTATTAATCCATATATATTTGCTATGATATCCTAGAAAAAGTAAGTTAAAAACCATCGATAAGTAATATCCATCACCTTGTTTGAATCACCAGTGAGAGATTCGGTTTGCAAAATTTTTCCAAATTTCTCCAAGATATTCCGTGTATGCTTCAAAACATACGTATTAAATTTCAATGTTTGCGGTTGAAGCATTATGGACGATAGAGCCTCAATAGCTGTTTCTGTAAGTTCCAATTCTTCGGATGAGAGACATTCCGCTTCTTGCCTGTTCCTAATTATTTATTATTAACTACAGTTACTTTCCCGATATAATGGGAAATATTTTGGGGCGATCAAAAATGAGTGACTGTCGAGTCGCCTTTGGAATTTCTAGTTAAGAACGATCTCCCATGTAAACAAAAATTCCAAAGCCGACTAGACGGTCACTCACTTTTGATCTCTATGTACATTACATACCAATACACGTAACAAGTTAAATCCACCAATAAATTCATAATATGAGAGCCCTGTTCAATAGTAATGCCTCCTAACTGAATCCACGTGGACGCACAACGTGTAGAGTTTAGGTACGTCGTTAAATTAGCAATACTGTAGCCACCGCCCGTAACGGGCAATAAACACATTTCAATAACCTTAAGAATATCCTTACTAACATCGTATAAAACACTCCTTACTCGGTTTTTCTGACTGACAGCCAATGTCGTACTTTGAAACTGAAATTTCCGAATATAGACTTCGTTTAATAATAAACGTCCTCACTTCCTCCGGTATAACTGACAATATCTCTAGCAACATCCAAATGACACGTTCCGGCTCGACATTAGGTAAATGACGTGGTTGGAAGCTGGAAACCAATTCTTCAAAAGCATTTGGCCAATGGAGAGGTACGGTGTGAATAATATATGCAGATAACTTCATAAAGACTTTGTTAAAATGATTTCGTATGCTTGGTTACTTACTGTGATACATAGGCGATTCAATATTAACTTGGGACCCATCGCATAATTAACTATCGATTCCAAAATTCGATTTTTCAGTAGTTCATAGTGGTCGACAGGTACTTCCGACCAACACTTCATCAATTTAGTATGAAGTGTTGTAGCCGCAAAAAATTGGACTTCGGAGCTCTTAAAATATAACCACTTTCTATATTGCTTCACGATTTTATATTTTTACCCTTCGTAGATCTAATAATTCCCACACAAAACTCCAAGCTTGGGGAGAATTCTGTGCCTCGGTAAGCCATCGATGAGCTTCTGCTTGCTGACCAGCCTCAGTTTTGTAAAACAAAGTAACGGCCCTTTCTAAATTTTCAACGGAATAATCCATTTCTTCTCATATTTTACTCTAGCCAAAGAGTATTTTTTGCTCTAACAATACTTTATCACTTACAGATGTGTTTCATATTGACTCCCTCGATACTGCGCAAACGCAAGCGCGCTAAAATTTGAAATTGCTTTAACCCGCTCGAAATAATAAAGCAAGCGTTTGGTCATATGGTATAATATGTTTGAAAGCAACCGGCATGATCTCTACACTTTACAGCCTAATATGGAATATACAACAACAATTGATAACGTTATTATTTATTATAATCAAAACTCTTCTACCATCATGGTGTAGAGAAAATAAATTTACATATTCTACCACATAAGTCACTATAAACCAAGCTATAGACTATTGTGTTCCATTTTTCCTATCTCGCGTTAACTTCTAAAGGCGCAGATAGACTAGCAAGTTGTGCGAGAATCTCGCGGGAGAAACTTCCACATGTATTTACACTGTGAGCAATAAGTGTCGCGATATAAACTGTCGGGCAAGTTGGGTGAGCCATTGCTGTCGCATCGCAAGTTCTCACAAAGCTGTTTATACCGGCCGCGTAAAGGTCCTTTAGTTGTAGAAGTGTCGCGCCGCTTTCGAAATGCGGCGGACCGTCGAGCCTCTCTACGAGCGGGTGTTCCGGATGATCGGACGGTCCTACTTTCTCTCTGAAGGGCTTACGTGCGTGATTGCTAGTTGCCCCGAAATATAAAGGAATCTAGATCAAAAGGGGGCCCTTCGCGTCTCGCGCGTTTGTGTGCCTTCCGTCATCTGACGGTCGGTCTGGTGAACCTCGCACTCAATTTCGCGCCTCGAATTACAGGCAGCTGCATTATCGGCAATCTACGGAAAGTTCAGCGAGCGCCCGTTAGATGGATCTACTCGCGATTCCCGTAGATGGTCTTTTGCAATCGTTCGATGTTCGATCGGTAGCCTAACCTCAGAAACTTGCGTGAATTTGTTGTTAGAAATAAATAAATAAAAGGTAATGAACGCCTATTCTAGAATTACCCTTTCGCTCTTTCAGGCCTAAAGTGGCGGAGAACCGACCGGTCCGGCAGTAAAGGTGCCGGCGGCGGACTCTGCCGTTCCATCCGAAAATTGAAGACGATCGCCCCCCGCTTGTTTTGCTCATCAGCCCCTCTTTCTCGGATGCACGAGAAACGTTAGAACTCAATTACTACGAGAGGGACCTCAAGAAGGTCGAAGTGCCTTGCAATTGAAACGTTCCGTCGGGATTTCAGCCGTCCGACGCCGATGCCATTCCGCATACCTATAAGTGAAAGGATTGAGGCCGCAAGTTTGTACCGGAGTACATGGTTTAAGCTGCCAGATGAGTGCAGGTAGTTTCGGTCGCCACGCAGCATTAAACGATCCGATAAGAAGAGAGCATCTGCGGATATCCCTTCCATTCTCGAGCCAACAGGTTTATCAAGAACCGACTGAAAGCGACCTGATGGAATGTCCCTCATCCCGTTGAAAAATGGACAGATCCTTGTTTGGGCCGCAACGCGTTGAGATACCATCGATTCCCTCGGGAAAATGATTGCTGCTAAAACTGGTGACCTGAGATCCGTGCAATACTTCAAAAAGCGAATAAGTATTGCTGTTCGGCGGGGGGAACGCCGCCTCCATTATGGGCACCTCCTTCGGTGCCCATGGAGGAAGTGTTTTACCTTTTGTAAATTTATTATTGTTTAATTTAAGTTTTATTGTTATGTAATAAGTGCTTGTTTACAATGAAAGTATAGGTAAAAAATACGTAAAACTTAAAAATTTCGCAAAGTTGAACTGTATAGAAACGTACGAGGGTGTTTATAATGAGCGTAATTTTTACGTAAACGATGTGTAAGCCTTGCGCGTAGTCACAAAAGATGAAAATGTTTCAAAGTTACGTACGGTCAAAGATCGTACTACTATGAAGTATGAAGTACGATCTTTGGTTTATTGTAAACAGCGAAGTAAATTTTGTGGAAACGATACGAATATGTACGAGTTACGGTTTATGAAATATTTACGTGAACGTTCATTGTAAACAAACACTAAGTATAAATATACTTTATACATTAATGAAAATATATGTAGCTCTAGCTAAGGTATAATTAAAATTTCAAATAGAAATGGTTTGAGCCATCGATTGGCGCTGTCAGAATTTCGACGAAAAATTGAAAGGGCTGTAGCTTTTGATCTAGTTGCCCGATCTTGGAACTGTTTGAAATTACGGATTCTACAGGCCACATTCTATAAGAAAATGTTTTTTTCCGGTCGATCCGAGACAATTTTCTCTTCGGGCCAAAAAAAAAGGAAGTGTATACAACCTTCCTTTTTTACCAAAAATCGACTGCACCAAAATTTCTCGGGGAAAAAACTTTTTCTTATTAATTTGGGTGCGTAGAATCCAAAACGATTCGTACTTTTTCGATTAGACGTCTCAATAGTCTAAATAGCATTATGCGGGTCACTCTGTAATTGGGCGCATGCCTGTTGAGGGCCCAAAACAAGAGAGGGATAATAAAAAAAAAAAAGTTATGGGCAAAAAACCAATCATAAGTATGTAACCTGACGTGTAGGCAACCTTACATACTCGAAGATCGGCCATGTTTTTTTTTATATACAGGGTGTTACACGACCGTTCGAAAAAAAAAAATCGGGTTGTAGAGGGCATCAAAACAAGCACTTTTTCCAAATAAACCGAGGGTCCAACGTGTTTCGTTTGGGAGCCACCCCCCAAAGAGTGTAGAAATCTGCATTTCTTCTTTAATTTTTTTCTCAGCAACCATAAGAGTTACAAAGTCGGGTGGCATGTCTTTGAATAGGTTTTTGGGTATGCTCTTTCCGATTTTGCAATTTTTTTTCAAAATTCCTACCCCTAAAGGGCGCACCCCTAAACTAGGGTGCAAAAAAAAAATTCTGATTTCGACGAAATTTGGTATCTGGGGTTTTTTTAACATGAAAATCACGAATCTGAAATTAGTTTTTGAAAATTCGAAAAAAAAGTTCCACTGCAATTCTTGGCGGGACAACATAATTCCACGAAATTTGTTGTGTACATACTAAACGAGTTAAGGAACAAAACTGTCGAACAGTTTTTTAAAATAACTTTTCAAACAAAAGTTATACTCATTTGAATCTGGTCCTTCGGGTCGCGAAGTGTCCCAAGCCTACTAGTAAGCCAGGAGCGTGTTCTTTTGGAAGTTATTTTTCAACCTAAGATTATGAAAATTTTTGATCATAGTGAAAAAGTATCATACGGAAAGTGATTTGACTTTTTCCCCTACCTTATTTAGATAATAAATAATCGATCAGCGCTTTAAGATTCCTTGGTAGGTGTTTTAATCGATACATCGAATTTTTTAATCATTTAATGACCGAATTAATTCCAAATAACAAAATATCGACTCAAACCGTTAATCTTTTGTTTTTGCAACATTGTCAACCAACACATGCGAAATTATGGCTTACTAGTAGGCTTGGGACACTTCGCGACCCGAAGGACCAACATTCAAATGAGTATAACTTTTGTTTGAAAAGTTATTTTAAAAAACTGTTCGGCAGTTTTGTTCCTTAACTCGTTTAGTATGTACACAACAAATTTCGTGGAATTATCTCTATTTTCGTTGTCCCGCCAAGAATTGCAGTGGAACTTTTTTTTTTCGAATTTTCAAAAACTAATTTCAGATTCGTGATTTTCATGTTAAAAAACCCCCAGATACCAAATTTCGTCGAAATCAGAATTTTTTTTGCACGCTAGTTTAGGGGTGCGCCCTTTAGGGGTAGGAATTTTGAAAAAAAAATTGCAAAATCGGAAAGAGCATACCCAAAAACCTATTCAAAGACATGCCACCCGACTTTGTAACTCTTATGGTTGCTCAGAAAAAAATTAAAGAAGAAATGCAGATTTCAACACTCTTTGGGGGGTGGCTCCCAAACGAAACACGTTGGACCCTCGGTTTATTTGGAAAAAGTGCTTGTTTTGATGCCCTCTACAACCCGATTTTTTTTTTTCGAACGGTCGTGTAACACCCTGTATAGAACATTGTAAACGCGATCCCTGGTACTAGGAGAACATAATCGTGAGAAGGTTTTTAAAAATTCGCGGTGCTTGAATCGACATATATCGGTAAAGTCGATTCCCGTATTATTTATGGACATTTTTATAACCACAAATTATCGTTTATTTTTTCTATAATGTTATTTATTATTATTCCCCTTTAAAGATTTAAATTATGGAATTGGGATTGAAATTGAACTAACGAAACGATCTGGGCATGTACCTAGTTCAGACTCCCGGCCCCCGGAAGAAGATTTAGGTTAGGTTAGGTTAGGTTAGGTTAGGTGGGCTATCACCTGACCCAATTCCTGACGGGACACGGGGAAAATGCCGTGTACTTACTGCGGATAGGGAAACGCGATAGTGACGAGTGTGTAGACTGCGGAGATAGAGACACGGAGGGACATGCCGTATTTGAATGTCAGAGATGGACAAGAGGCAGAATAGAGACCGAGACAGAAGTGGCAGCAAGTCTACAGCCGGAAAACATCATCCAGTTGATGATAGAGAGCGAGAGCAAGTGGACCACAATCGCGCGGTTCGTGATCACCGTAGTCCAAACCAGGGAGAGGGAGGCATGGACTAGGGGTCAATAGACGGGCAATACATAATAACTAAGGCTACATCTATGGGGACGAACACCTACCCCGGCCGTTCGGCATAGCGAGGAATGCTAGCGCGGTGCCCTATGCCGACAACTATGGCGAGTGACGATGAGTCGATAGAGGATAGGGTTTTAGTGGGTAAACCTTACCTAGATGGAAGGGAGTCCCACACACCCCCCCCCTGAAACCTTTTATAGGGAACAGCCTATAAAAGGTTTCCCAAACCTCATTAAAAAAAAAAAAAAAAAAGGTTAGGTTTAGGTTAGGTTAGGTTAGGTTTTAGGTTAGGTTAGGTTAGGTTAGGTTAGGTTAGGTTAGGGGTAGGTTAGGTTAGGTTAGGTTAGGTTAGGTTAGGTTAGGTTAGGTTAGGTTAGGGTTAGGTTTCCACCCTAAGTACCCTGGCGATACTGGATCATATAAGGGAGGACGCAGTTA